CTTGTCACCAAAGTCCGATCGGCATCAGCGGTGTCATCGTTGTTGTTCCGAGTCTCCCCTTTACTCAATCTTTGTAAAGCCGAAATTATCCTGTCGTCTTTTGGAGATTGCTCGAACCTTATTTTGAAAATTGTTGGCGGTGAAAGATTATAGTTGGCCAAAATGAGTAGGTTATCCTGGGCCATTACAAATCCACCTGCATCAAACCTTACCTTCTACCAGAAACACTCAACGCCCTGCCACAGAGCTTGATTCTGCTCATTTCGGCAGCATCACAATCGCTCGCAAGTCCAACATGGCAACAACCTCAACAAGATGTTATGCAGCAGTCGCTGTCGGGGTCCAAGGGTGGTGTCGCCAGCGAAAGTGAGACGTGTAGTCAGATTGGCATCGACCTCCTCGCCCGTGGAGGAAATGCCGTCGATGCTTGGATAGGCACGCAACTGTGCGTCGGCGTGATTGGAATGCAACATTCGGGCCTAGGTGGTGGTGGCTTTAGTCTTATCCGGGACCAAGATGGCAACTACACTGTCATTGACTATCGTGAGGCGGCTCCTGCAGCGGCATTTCAAGACATGTACCTGGGCAACGAGAGGGGCAGTGTATTCAGCGGGCTTGCGGCTGGTGTCCCGGGAGAGTTGCGCGGACTGGAACTCGCACATAAGAGGTCCGGCCATCTGCCGTGGAAAGCAGTTGTGCATCCGGCAGCTCACGTCGCACGATACGGCTTCAAGGTCACCGAAGATCTCGTACGATACATGGACGCCGCGGTCGGCTACGCCAAATGGAATTTTCTTGTCGAAGATCCCAGCTGGGCCATCGACTTTGCTCCCCAAGGCACCTTGGTCAAGTTTGGAGATATCTTGACACGCAAACGCTATGCCGACGTCCTGGACGCCGTGGCAGAGGGCGGCGCCGAGGTCTTTTATACAGGCGCCATCGCCAACTATACCATTGCGGCAATCCAGGCAGACAATGGCACGATGACGTTGGAGGATCTGGCCGACTATGAGGCTATCATTCGCCCTTCCATTAACATAACGTACAGGGGTTATAAACTGTTCTCGTCTGGCGCTCCGTCCAGCGGAGCTGTCTGCCTAAGCACTCTAAAGACAATGGAGACATACAACACCGAGGACACAACGCACGGGAACCTGACGCTTCACCGCTTCATTGAGTCCATGAGATTTGCCTACGGCGCCCACCAGCAGCTCGGCGACCCCGCCTACGTCAACGACATTGGCGTCCTGGAAGAGGTGATGCTCTCGGCCGCCGGCGCGAACGCGACCAAGGCCCACATCTCGGACAAGACGTCGCGGCCGGTCGAGCACTACCTCGCAAACCCGTACTACTCCCAAGGGTCCCACGGAACCTCGCACATTGTCGCCGTCGATGCGAGCGGCATGGCCGTCTCGTCCACGACGACGGTCAATACGCTCTTTGGCAACCTCATCATGGTCCCCGAGACGGGCATCATTCTCAACAATGAGATGAACGACTTTTCGATCCCGGGCAAGACAAACGAGTTTGGGTACGCGCCTGCTCCGTCCAATTTTATCCGGCCGGGCAAGCGGCCCCTCAGCTCCATCACGCCCGTCATTGTCGAGCACCCCAACGGGACCGTGTATGTGTCCGTCGGCGCCGCCGGGGGTAGCCGCATCATCAGCTCTACCACGCAGGTCGTCTGGAGGATTCTGGAACAGGGGCTCAACATGACCGGCGCCATGGCCGAGCCGCGCTTCCATGATCAGCTCATGCCCAACACGGTGACCTTTGAGCTCGCCTTCAACAACCAGTCCACTGCCAATATGGCTGAAAGAAATCACAACGTTACTTGGGTCCGCCCGGGCGGGAGTGCTGTTCAAGGCGTCAGGATTACAGCGGATGGATTTGAAGCTGTCGGTGAACCACGACAGAAGAACAGTGGAGGACTAAGTCTCTAGATATTCATATAGATGATGAGTTTAGTGGATGGATGACTGGACATGGTATTTTATGAACGAGCAACTATCCATTTCGACTCATGTATATACGCGGATACATATGGTAACTTTTTGGTGTCGTCTAGATCACGATTCCACTGAGCTACTTATGGATCTGGTCGAAGCTATCCCTATTCATGAGGACAAGTTGAATTTTCTGTTTATTCGCAGCTGTGGAAATTGCAGTCTTGTTGGCGAGACCCAATCATCAGATTCAGTCCACTTCCCATACCTGAGGCTGATCATTCTCTTCCAGCAAGACCTTCAATGCCTGGACCGTAACCTCTACCACCTCGGCCCTTCGACTTTTCTTTGCGCAGCCTTTCAGAATCTCTAGGCCGTTTTCGGCTCTGACCATTTTTCGTGCCATCTTTCCCGTCTCTCCTTCGCATGAGATCAAATTGTAAACAATGAAAACACCACGGTGTCTCAGATCCTCGGACTCCTCAGCGCACAAGCCCAAGATCACCTGAACGCCACGATCCCGATGCACAATGGCTTTGACAATCGGCTCATAAGAGGTGAGCGACGCCAAAGCCCCGCCTGCAGCACTTCTTGTTCCTTCATCTTCGGCATCGGCAAGTGCAAGCATAATGTGTAATCGGTTCTTGGCCTGCGCCGAGTCTTCTGCGTATAGCATGATGCCTTCCGGACACTGAACAAGGTTGCAAACAAGTTCAACTGCAGCCTTGGAAACCATATTGTTGGAACTCAGAAGTTGTTCTTCAATCTCAGGCCATGCGGTGCGTATGATCGTCGTCCGACTATCATCATCAGTGGAGGCTAGGTTTGTGAGAGCCATTAATGCTTCAAAGGTAGGCAACAAGTCTCGTGTCTCCGCGGATGGGTCCGGTGGAACAATGGATAGAAGCGGTCGAATCGCAGAGTTTTGAGGACGTGCCCTTGTGCCACCGAACACAAGTGCAGGGTTTGTGCTAATCAATATTCTCGCAAGTGCTTGTGCTGCCGTCCTTTTGGCTGTTCCTTCTGTTTCTGGAAGCGCAGTCCAGGCAGCGATCAAGAGATTGACAGCTCCTTGTTGAGCCAGCTGACCTCTGATAGATGTAGCGACAGACAGTGAAGCAATGATTGATATGATAATCGATAGAGATGCGACGGAACCGTTCCGACTGTGCGTAACCAATACAGGCACAAGGTTGGCCTCGAAGACTGCCTTGCACCTCGCTGCTGTATGAGCATCGTCATTGAGAGGGTTCGGAGCCGCCAGTTTTCCTCCAGCATTAGCATATGCTTTCAACTGGCTCATCTTCTTCTCTTCATCCGATTGAGGAGGTTTGTATCGTGTAAGATTGAGAAATATGCTGAGTACGCCGTAAGTCACCGGCGATTTAGGGGTTGCTGCGGCCAAAATCTTGACCAGGTTCTTTAGTAGCTGTGGGTTGTGTGCCACTTCTTCCTTGACAGAAGGCTGGATCGTCGCGTATGCCAGTCCCTCCACTGAATGGTCCTTTTCCTGCTCTTCGTCTGCAAGTAGTATGGTTGTGAATTTCTTGGACAGATCCTCGATGCTTGTCGTGGCGAGCGCGACTCTGTCTTTGCCTAGTTCTCCGGGTTGCTGTTGATCTGTTGTTGTCGGTACCGCCTGGTTTCCTAATGGTCAGTCATTACCTGTTCCTTCTTTCTAAATCCAACGCAAGTGTTCGAAGACAGGTGAGGCGGCGGGGAGCTTTAATGTGCCTACTTTCAATTTGGCCAAGATGACGGCGGCCAGATTTTTGACGGCGTCCGAGTGTCTCTTCATGGCAATTGATCCTTGCGCGCCTTCAACCCCAGTGTCGACTGCATGCACCGCCGTCTCAAGTTCAGTCGGGTCTTCATCAACAATTTCTTCAAGCCATTCGGTGCAGTATTTTGCAATCGCCTCCCGGCAAACTGAGTTCATGGATGCGGCGTTGAGCATGTCCAAGCATGCAGTTTCGACCTTTCTGCTCTTCCACTTTCGTCGCATAAGCGGTCCCAGACTGGGCAAAAATCCCTCGGTGAGGAACATTTCGGTCACCATATCCGGGGATATGGGGAAAATGGATGAAGCAACGCAAAAAGCCACAATGTAGTCATCGTAGGTACCACGCTTGATCCTGTTGAAGAAGAAATGCGTAAGAGCCTTTGGCCCAGCATCTCCCGAAGCCTTGAAATAGGAAGAGACCGTCAAGATGGCGTGGCCACGAACGGCCGTGCTCTGTCTCATGTCCAAATAACTGAACAAGGTATCAACGCATACTTCGTCGATGATGCTGCAGATGGACTTGTGGGATTTGTCCTTCGCAGCAGCTTCCGCATCCTTGTTCAAAAGGGTAGTGAGCTTGTCGAGCGCTTGACAGGTATCGTCATCTTCTTGCCCGCCTTCCATCAACTGCGCAAGCATGAGTTGGGCTTGGCTAAGATTGTCCAGCTTCGCTATCTCCTCCTTTGAGGCGATGTCGCTCACGGGAGTTTCTTCCATTTTGGGAGGTGCGGAAAGTACAATGCTGCTTGTTCTCTTTATACAAAGAAACGATGAAACAGGCTGGTAGGACCTTGCTGTGTTGGTCAAGTCTGAGCAAAGGTATTCTCAGTAGTGGACAACACTGAACGAGCTGCCAAGGTATAACTGAGTGAGCCAAAGAGTGCCAAGCTCCATGCAAAGAGCACCGAAGCAGAACTTGCGTACAAAATCGTCTTGTAAGGCTCGCCTGTAGTAAAAGACACGGTCAGTAGATCTGACCGGTAGGCTCACTTGTTCCTGCAAAATGATGTGAGCACGCAGAAAGAAGGAAGAGATGGTCTGCTGGATTTGTGAGCTCCCACGTTTTATATGTGCATGCCCTTGGTCATGTACGCCACGACACGATGGGACGGCTTTGAATGACCCGTGAGGACGTCTGATTGGACGATGAGCAGATTCTGGGGGAGAGCTTCAGGGTATGATACTTTCTTGGAATCTGGTCACGGCAAACCCAGACTGGGCACGTCTTACACGAAGGACGAGACAAAGGTCCGGCTTGTCATTCGCTTGGGGTCGCTGCGTCACCCTGGTACAAGGCGTGGGCGGAGGTAGGTGATTCGACGTTGGCGGGCGCGGGATAACCAGAAGCTGGCTTATTATGAGGGGTACTGCTGCTGCACGACAGAGCTGAAGTGCTACCCACGGGAATGGATGGATGCCTGGCTGTATTGGTCAGAGTATTTGGTCAGGGACCTTGAGGAAAGACGTAATGCTACCTACGTACTTTGCTTTCTCCGTCTTTCGGATTTGTGTTGTCGTTTTGTTCAAAGGTCCGACGCAACAAAGGTCCAAAAGGTTCTACCTTGCCTGCCCCTCATTTATTTCATGTATGTTGTACCCTAAACTTCAGCTTTGGAGGGGTTCCACGCAAATACCCATACGCAAGTCTGTGTTCTGGAATATCCATGTGGGTTGCTTGCTACGACTACTTCAAAGTACATTGGGGATTGTGTTGTCTAATACATATATGGGCATTCCTAGAGATTTAACTGCTAGCAATAGACATATGTTCATAACTTTGAGTCCGATTAATCTCAACCACGCCAACATCGAATTGTCTTACCGTTTTCATTTCGCACCTTAGATACATGCCAACTGCTCTGAACAAGCAGTGACGTCTTGTCCTAGTACATTTACGAATCACAGCACTGAAGTTAGCGCTTGCAGCCGCAGACATCAACCGTAGCTTCAGTGGGTCCCTAGCGCCGGCAGATCGGCCAAAGCTTGACATATCACAGGCAGGGCCTGATACAGCCAAACTTCGTCCGTACACGAAGTCAATACACCAAGGAAATATTTTTTGGCGTTGGGGACGGGCTTGCTCAGTATGCAAATCCGAGACTGCATTTCTTAGTGGTACAAGACTTGAGAGAGATTGTGCCTCGTCGGTGGGGATTCCTCCTTTGACCAGCGCGGCCTCGACCCTCCAGAGCCCTTGTCCTCAGTGTCCTCGTGCTATTTCATCGGTTCGAAACAATGAATAGCATCGATGGATCGGCGCATTACGAGGTCGAGGCCACGGGCCAGACGCCGTCGCTCCTCACCCTAATCATCGACACGAACCCTCGCGCCTGGGCAGCCCTCGAGGACACGATCCCCTTCTCAAAGGCCATTGCCAATATACTCGTCTTTGTCAATGCGCACCTGGCCTTTGGCAACGACAACCAAGTCGCCATCCTCGCCGCACACTCGCACCGGGCAGTCTGGCTGTACCCGAAGCCACCCAAGAATGTACGAGGAGGTGGTGGCGGAGACCAAGATGGCGATGTCGAAATGTCGGGCACGATGAATGGACAGCAGAACGGCGGGGGCGGCGCCGCCGTGACTTCGGCCAACAAGTATCCCCAGTTCGCCTCCATCGAAGCCTCGATCCTCTCGTCGCTAAGGACGCTCATGGCCGAGAGCTCATCGACCGATCTCCCGTCCACTACCCTCGTCGCGGGTGCCCTGACCACGTCCTTGGCCTACATCCACAAGACGTCGCTCGCCTATGCGCCGCCCAAGCAGTCCACCGACCCAGCCAACCCGCTGACAACGGCATCAGCCGTCTCGTCGAATCCGACATTACACGCCCGGATCCTGGTCATATCCGTATCGGACTCTGACCCGGCGCAGTACATTGCGACCATGAACGCCGTATTCGCCGCCTCGCACGCTCGGATCCCCATCGATACGCTTTCCGTCTCCCCACACGCCTCGCCGACTTTTCTCCAGCAGGCCGCCTTCATCACCAACGGCTCCTACCTGTCTTGCGCCTCCAATCCGACCGGCTTGCTCACCTACCTCATGTTTGGCTTCCTCCCCGACGCCGAAGCACGTACACATTTGGTAATGCCGTCGCAAGATTCGGTCGACTTTCGAGCTGCCTGTTTTTGTCATGGCAAAGTTATTGACAAGGGTTTCGTGTGTAGTATATGTTTGAGCATTTTTTGTGAAGTACCTGATGGAGCCGAGTGCTTGACATGCGGGTCGAAACTGGCGCTCGGCAAGTTTGGTGCGAAACCAGTCGTCGTGCCCCGGAAGAAGAAGAAAAAGAAGAAGATCAACGGTGTCACAGGACGGGAGGAAACGGGAAGTGCAACTGGTACACCAGCTCCAGCATAGGGTCTGTTGCTACTGGCCAATTTCTCATGTAAAGGATAAAGCATGATAGATAACATGGCGTTTGGCGTTGGGTTTATCAAATGAACGGCATCTTTTCACGATTCAGAGCAATTTCCATATCAAGGCACGATTGAAGCATGTCTTTTGACAACGATCATAGGCAAATGTATCTTGTATTGTGCCTATCTGGTTTTCCCTTCGTGTCTTCACCTCTGAAACGATACAACGGCAGAAAAGTACTCTTTCTATCCTGGCCTTCCTTGTGTTTGGCCCTGCAAAGTACGCCCAGAGAAGCAGAATCTAGGTGGTGAGTCAAAGTCCATGGCGTTGACCAAGGTGGAATCAGAATAAGCACGCCTGAAGGTTGGGTATCATCTAAATAGGCGCGGCCGCGGGCATATGAAAAGGATGAGGAACTCCACGAAGAAGTGGCCATGAACCGACGGTAGTTGGATCAATATGAGAGAGCAACAAAGTTTGCTCAGCTTGATGCAATCTTTCTTGATCCTTGCGCAACTCCCATGCTGCCTTCACCCAGTCGGCTCATGACACAATGAGGCTGGCGATCATTACTAGACATGCTAGCCAACGCAAAGCTGTCTGTGTTATGCGCAAAGAACAAATAATAACCTCTGGAAGTCTGCTTCACGGCCATAGCACCAATGGCACTGGCAGACGGCGTTCGTAGCACACCAGGGTGCTTCTGGAAATCCTGAACAACAAAGTTCTCCATGAGAATCGTCTCATCCTCTTCGTGAACATCGTTTCCATCGGCTCCCCGTTTTGTCTCATAGTACAGTCGCTCCGCACACTTCTGAGATGCCTGTGAGATAGCCATGTGTTCACCTGTACCGCTGGTTACAACAGCCACAGTTTTCCAATCTGCCGGCTCGGCCGCCTTGTTTTTGTCCTTTCTTGTAGTGTCGCGCTCGTTGGCGGGACGGTCTGTCATGTCAGAACGCGGAATCAAGGCTGTTCCAATTCCAACCAATGCAGCGGGGCCAATGCGACCAATATGTTTCATGCCAATACCGCCCGATGAAGAACCAGCAGCCATATTTCCCCACTGGTCGATTGCAATGGCACCAACTGTATCTGTAATTTTGTCCTCACCTTTCTCATATATCAACTCTTGATTAGCAGTATCGGAAATCTCCTGATCGGATTTGGGTGAGTGGACCGAGCTAGGTCTATCGCCAGTCTCCATCTCACTCTTTCCATCTTTGCTCATTCCACGCTTGACTCGGGCCTTTTTTGGAATAGGTGAGCCTGGGTTTGTGCCTCCAGAGTTTGATCTCGGACTCGTAAGGGATCCGAAGAAACTTAGAGGACTACGATCTGTAGATACCTTGGTCGAGCTTCTGGGGCTAGACGAATTGTGCAAAACGGGTGGCAAGGCTTTCAGAGCGCTTGGAGTCATCGGCATGATTCTGCTGTCTGATGGTGTGGCCGGTGCAGGGGAATCAGGTTGTCCTTCGTTCCAAGTGCCCGTCGCAATGGCATTTGTATGGTCTCGCTTTTCATGACCCTTGTGCAAAGTATCATCTGTCGAAGAAGAAACATCAAGTGCAGGAGTTGAGTGGCCAAGAGCGTCTTCAGCGGATTTCAGTTCCTTGGCCCATCTCTCATAGCGGTCGAATGCATTTCTGGACACGAGCCATTCGTTGGGCACCAGGGGCATCCCATGTTTGACAGCAAAGTCCTTTGCACCCTCCCCTATAAGGAGATTTGGCGGCACTCTTCGAAGGCTGAGAGCTTTGTGGCTCTCCAGTAGTATCATCTTTGCCAGGCTAATGGGATTCTTGATGTCTAATTCTGCATGTCAGTTCAAATACCAGGTCGGAAAACAAGAAGGCCTGCTTACTGGGTGTCGCACCACAAGCGCCACTCCTGCCATAATGGTCGACGATGGTCGCGTCGCATTCGACAGTCCCATCAATGGCCAAGTTGCTCCCAAACCCAGCGTTCGTAATTTCTCTATCCTCCAATACCTTGATTGCTGCCTCAACGCCTTCGACGGCCGAGGCCCCCAACTTGAGTAACTTCATGGCAGCACGGGCCGCACTATCGTGATGTCAGTATTCATTGGCGCTTCACATAATCCCCTAAAACGTACTCGCTGCAAGCATCTAGATGTAGTCTCTCATTGGTAGTGCTGTGGTATCCCGCACCCGCATGGATGAATATGGCTGCAACTGCAGGCTTTGCGTGGATACTGCGTTCATCCGGTCCATCAGACCACCACACGTGACTGCCTGGCTCTCTGTACCAGTCAGGGGTTTCGGCATCATGTGAGAAAATGGGATCATCAAGATCTTCGTGAATTATGCGCGTCGGTGAATCGTCAGACATTTCGGAGTTCTCGCCATTAGCAGGTTGTTCGGCTTTTGTGGTATCATGCTGGCTTGGTCGTGGCGAGATGGGGTGGTCTTTGCCAAGTTTTCTCTTTCCGAGTGAAGATGTCAGGAAGGGAGAAGACCCATCCTCGCTCAGATGAGACATCGGATTGTGTCGTGTGTTGGATAAAATGCTCTGTTTGAGATGGGTGACGCGGAAAGAGCTTGCTGGTAACGAGGTAACTATTGCTGCCCGATTTTGAGAGCTGTTGAGTCTGGGCAATCAAAACGGGCAATCACAAAGATGACAGAGTGAACCTCACCGCAGAGGTTGACGGAATCTTTGGGGGAAAGGCTACGCTTTGAGGTCTTCTCCGTGGAAATAGAAGTGTAGGGCCGGTGTGTGCTAGTTATCAACTGGAGAAGTAACGCGAACGGCATACGATTTTAGTGTTGGGTGAAGTCCATGAAAGAACTCAATAGTAATACTTAATAATGTCTGGGAAGGGATTGTCTCTTCCAACGAGGTGGGTATGATCTCTCCTTGGGAGGGATACAGGATAAGAGGCTGCAGAAAAGGAAAGGATGGAGAAGGAGGCAAGTAGATCATCGCACTCCTGCTTCAAAAAGGAAGAATTATTTGACCAGCTAGTTCCAGACCGAGTGAGCCCCGGTTACCTTGGACCGCCTTATATCAAGGTAGTTTCCACGTCTTTGAAGGAATGAAATGTGCAGTTGCCAGTTTTTCAGTCCAATGTGTCGGCTTTGTGGCATCAATCTCTAGGTCCTGTAAAATCGCTACTTCCAACTTATGATATCTGAAGCGCCACTGATATTGCAGACCAAAAACAGTATGACGGGGAACGTGAAATAAACGAAACTGTCCAGGTCAACAGCTTGCCACGTCTTGTCGTAGTGCTTCTTGCGAATCGGTCGGGTGTCTAAGAGAATCAAAACGAAAGACCTTCACATGGATCACCCACCCATGGATTTAGACAAGCAGGTGCATACCCTTTGACTATATTCAGGTTGCCCATGAAAATGGAGAGTCAAAAACCAAATTGTGGCTCCCAAGAGGAAAGGAAGCTCCAATTAGCACTAATTTGGTGGGGCTATCCAATTCACCCCACATTCGATCCCGGCAAACCTGGCTCAGAGACCCAGCGCTGAGGGGCCCCCCGGGTAGCCAGCACCAGCCGCTCCAGCTTACCACACTTGCACCGCCACAGAAGGTCGTCACAGGCACTACCGTACCTACAGCTCACCCCCCTATGAGCAGGCAACGTAATTCCACCCATTGAAGGAGACGCCGACAATAGCTGCCCCGCGGATCCAACATTCCCCCAGGTCGACACCGACATCTACCTTTCCCCAACACGCCGGAGACGGGCTTATCATACACTCGAATTTCCCTGTCCTCGCGACTGTCATTCTCTCAAGATGGCGAACCAAACGCCGGCCGTTGTCATGGACAAGTAAGTGCTCACCCCCAAACCCCGCAGTCGCAAGTAGTCCCCCTAGACTAGACGACGGCGGAGCGATGGACTCACGATACTGACCTGATTCTGCAGCGGTACGGGCTTCTCGAAGCTTGGTAGGACAATTCCAAATCCCCGGCAATCCGATTGCCACTCCGCGCCGATCGAGAAGCTTACTGGGAATGTCACATGTTCATAGGTTTCGCCGGTAACGATTCGCCCTCCTTCGTCTTTCCGACCGCGATAGCGACCAAGGGACCCGCCGCTGGTGCTGCTGGTACTGGATCTGGTAGACCAGCAGTCGCCAACAAGCCCTCCTTCTTGACTGGAGGCGCTGGAGCTGGTGGCCATCTTTCAGCCAAGCGAGGCACCGAGGACCTGGACTTCTTCATTGGTGATGAGGCGATCGCAGCTTCAAATGGGCCCGGTGAGCTCCTATACCTGCCGATGCAATGCAGAGCGCAGTTCTGATGGAATTATAGGATATGGCTTGCACTACCCAATTCGACACGGTCAAATAGAAAACTGGGTATGATCAACTAGGAGAAACAACCTCCGAATGCATGTCGGCTGACAAAGAGTCCAGGACCACATGGAACGCTTCTGGTCAAACTCCATTTTCAAGTATCTCCGAGTCGAGCCTGAAGACCACTACTTTCTTCTCACCGAGCCTGTACGTCTACCAGTGTATAAGACACGAATGAACCTTCTGGCCCTTGATCCTAGCATCATGAGACTGACCATCAACCACATTAGCCCCTGAACCCTCCTGAGAACCGAGAAAACACCGCCGAGATCTTCTTCGAGTCGTTCAATTGCGCCGGTCTCTACATTGCCGTACAAGCTGTTCTCGCACTTGCTGCGTCATGGACGTCCTCCAAGGTGTCTGATCGTTCTCTCACGGGTACGGTTATCGACTCTGGTGATGGTGTCACCCACGTCATCCCTGTCGCCGAGGGTTACGTCATTGGCTCATCGATCAAGTCCATCCCAATTGCGGGTCGAGACATTACCTACTTTGTTCAATCGCTGCTCCGAGACAGAGGCGAAGCCGACAGCTCGCTCAAGACTGCCCAAGAAATCAAGGAGGAGTACTGCTACGTATGCCCGGACATTGTCAAGGAGTTCTCCAAGTTCGATCGCGACCGAAGTCGCTTTGCCAAACACGTTGTCACCCAGCCTGGTGGCCGTCAAGTCAGCGTGGACGTTGGTTATGAACGTTTCCTGGCTCCTGAAATTTTCTTCAACCCCGAAATTTACTCGTCCGACTTCCTCACACCCCTGCCCGTTGTGGTTGATGGTGTTATTCAGCAGAGTCCCATTGATGTGCGACGAGGCCTGTACAAGAACATCGTGCTGTCGGGAGGTAGCACCTTGTACAAGGACTTTGGCCGTAGGTTACAGAGGGACATCAAGCACCTTGTGGATGCGAGAATCCGCGCCAGTGAAGTGCGCAGCGGTGGCGCCAGGAGTGGTGGCCTTGAAGTCCAGGTCATCACCCACAAGCGACAACGGCACGGTCCCTGGTTTGGTGGTAGCTTGCTAGGACAGACTCCAGAGTTCCGCTCGTATTGTCACACAAAGGCCGAGGTATGTCTGTTCAGGTCGATCTTATTGGATCATACTAACTTTCCAATAGTACCAAGAGTATGGCCCTGGAATCGTGAGAAGATTTGCTCTGCTTGGCGGACCTGGTGGCTCATAGAGCAAACAACCAGGAAATGGTTTAGATTAGACAAGGAGCAAACCACAGACATTGACCAGAATATGGTGGAAGTTGGGCGTAAGAAAATGAAACCAGATTTTGACCATCCGACGTGGAAAAAACAAGCATTTGATATGTTCATTTTTGTGACTTGCAAAGCATGCGTCGGACGATTTTATAAGATCTTGGCATCTCAACGTTCATACATGCATGTCGAGTCACTGTACGCTGACCGCTCCGTGAGCAACAACATTGCAAGATTATCCACCACAAACAGGACATCCATGGTGATTTTCTCTGATACCCAAATCCGGGGTAACATGAAAGGAAGGGGTGTTATCTTGGTCGTACATCACTAGTCCTACCCCGCCAAGTCCCTTGGCCACAACCTCCTGTTTCGTCGTAGAATGTCTGAGCGACGATCCAGGTTAGCACCCAGCAACAATTATTTCAACTTCAATGTATCATTCGCCTGTCGCTGAAAATGGCGGCAGTCCAAACAGTAAGGATTCGGCCATCTGCTTGGGATTCGTCTAGGTTAAATTTACCGGGCTGCGGCCATATACTCGGCGATATGAACTCGGTGATGCATACAAGCTTATGAAATAATATTGGCGCCTGCATGAGCAAGAGTTCAACTGTGGGGGCTGAATCTTCGTATCGATCATCTGGCACGAAATAAGAATGTTGGTATAGGCTTGATTTGACCCATCAGACAGGTCCAGCAAACTTTATTTGTTGCCTGACCAAACGACTGTGCTTGCTTTTCATATGATATCTTGAATCTCCAACTTGCAACCAAAGTTGCCCCACGGACCCTGGTGACTGGTCATACGAGTCTCGTTTCAGCCTTGCAACGGGGTACGAGGTAACAGTCAAATTTATATATGTCCCCATCTTGGGACCTGATACCTTTTGTTCTGGTCTGAGTGACAGCCTGATTGAAGTATCCCAAGGGAAATGCAAAAAAGAGGCGACGACAGTCGACCATGGACTTTAGGGAACCACTCAAGAGCCCTCTGCTCAAGAGCAGGCCGGGCTCCTCTAGAAAACGCGAATCGTTCAAGGAAAAGAATAACATTGTCATAAGAAAATCCTGGGACAATGACACGGGGCTCAACACCATTACGCCCACCAGCGGCCTCGACCTGCTGATCCGTCATGCGCTCGCGCGGAGCAACACGCCGGCCTACTTTGACGAGCACGGCAACCCGGTGCTGCCGCCGGCCTCGCCGCTGCGGCGGTCCATGCAGCCGCTCGAGAATATCGCGGACCGGATGCGGCAGAAGCGCAAGTCGTGGTACGATGGACAAGACGAAGACGACGAGGACGGCGGCGAGCAAGGCAAGGGAGTCGTCCCGTCTCGGCTGCTGGCCTTGCCCACGGAGCTCCAGTTTCTCGTCATCTCGCACCTCGAGCTGAGCGATCTCGAGAGGCTCCGGCGGACCTGTCAATACTACCGCTTCCTGCTGAGCCCCGAATATGTCCGGGCACTTTTTGGAGGCAGGCGCAAGCTCGCGTGGCATATGACGGGGCATTGCCAGGAGTGTCTCGAGTCACCGGGCCGCGACAAGCTGATTCTCCAGATTGCACCACCGCCAAGAGCGAGCAACAATAACAGAGACACCACCAACACCATCATCAACGACAACAACATCACCATCAACGATAACAACAGCATCATGGACGACAACAACATCATCGACGATAATGACGGCAATCTTCGTCCTCCTATTTCACGTCGGGAAATCTACCTCCCCAGCAGTAAATGCTTCACCTGCAGCGTACGCGACCGCGATCTAAAGATTGGCGTCCAGTACCAGCTGGCCGACGGCGAAGGGCTCGGCGCCTGGGCCTGCCGCTGGTGCGGGTGGCCGGTCGCGTTCCCCTCGAGCAGATACCAGTTTCACATTGCCTGCTACGACCGGTATTATAAGGTCCTGTGGAGGTTCATGTACCTGGGCTTTGCGCAGCTGACCGTGGGCATTGTGGCGGCGGCCTTGAGTCTGGTCTACTTTCGACGGGAGCTTGTCGTATTTGTTCCGACTGTGGTGAGTCGTTTTTCTTTTCCCTATTCCTCTTCCTTTACTATCGAGGTATCCCCAATTCGTCTCTCCTCCCCTTGAAATCAGTCTTCTTGGACTTTTTCCGTTTCGCCTTCTTACAACCTTGGTATCAAACGCAGATCAACTTCGTCTTGCTCTGGATTTGCTTGACATTTCTCGTGTTCAGAGGCAATCGCATTAGGACATACCACTGGGTCGGCATCCTTGAATTGATTATAATGTCCTTGTGGATTCCGCCCATATACACCGTATCTCAAGACTTGAAGAGGAATACTAGCGGGAAAACCTTTGCGAGTTCCATTGCCGTTTTGACCTTTGCTGCTATTAACATGTAAGTATTCGAGCGACGATACTCTTGCACTACTGGATGCCTGACTGAGACTGGTCCTAACTCTTGGCATTGTAGGCTATTTAGGTTGTTGAATGTCATCGGCAACGTCTTCTTGATGCTCCACTACGACATGACCAGGCATTATGTACCAGAAATGACCATCAAAGATCGACTGCTGAATTTCATCATGACGGGTTTGATCTTTTGGACGTATCCGCAGTCTGTGGAGCAGAGATACCCGCCGCATTTTCACTAATGTCTGTCCGACCATGTTAGGTAAAGCATTATCAGGTCTATGAAAACCAACTATATTCCTTTGCTTGCTTGTTTGCTACGGGTATCGAACTTTCTTTCTACAAGTGACACCGTCCCTCCAAATGATTATTAGTTTGCGCCGAGAGATGCAGTTTCCACCCAATTATATATAGCCGTCGTCAAGATCATAACAATAATACATTTTCTTTGGATACAACATCAACTACTATTAATGTTGCATCCCCCCTTGGCCGTGGCCATACTCGTTGCTCAGTAGCATAGCTGCAATGTCATTCCATTGACCTTCCCTCCAGCCCCAGGATGGATCCGGGTACCCATAGTTACCCGAGTAATCAGGCGTGAACTGGATACCAGCTGGGCCTTGTGACATGTACATGCCCGGCAGGCCATGTTGCTGTTCTGGCATGATTTGGCTCATGTCTGGCATGTTTTGCGGATGCTGAGGTGGTATCGGCTGGCCATAGGCTGGATGATTCGACGGCTCCGGTTGAGGTTGCTGGGCATGTTGTGCGGGAGGCACGTTTCCAGGTTGAATGTTCCCACCAGAGAAATTGCGGCTCATGACATTAAGATCCTGTATCACAACAGCGTACCGCCGTGTCGTGCCCGGTACAAGAGGATTCTCCAGGATCTTGGCAGAGAAGTCGGAGCAATTGGCCAGCAGTGCCCTGGAGGTTATGGACCAACGGGGAATATACGACGAGGAGAGAGCATGTTGCCTTGCTTCACAAATGATGTTGAGAACCAACACCAGCGCGGCCTGGTATAGAAAGTAGAAATCCCACCACGTTACCGTGTCGAAACAGCCGATACTGTCCAGTCTCAATAAAATTCGTATCGATTCTTGTGCGGCTTCGGTACACACATCCGACAGGGTTGTCGTGCCAGCCTGCGATAGAGGCGGGCTGGCTGTTGGTTCGGGAGAAAAGATGCGGCTGGCGGCACCGAGCATGGCATTCCTCGACAGTACGCAAAGGACGTGGTGGTACTGAACGTGAAGTAGCAGTATGGATCTTTGGGATGAAGGCTGCTGCCCGTTTACTGCTTCCAAGCATAAGTGCCTTGGTAAACTCTCTTTCCATCGCCGGAGATCTCGGATTAGTGCGGCAGCCGGAGACAACGGGCCGCTGTAAGACTCGTCGGCCACCTCACTCGTGTTGTTTATGCTTCTTACGACGCGGCAGGCTTGAGATAGCAGTACCAGGAGGCGGTTTGAATAAGCCATGCTATCTGATGATCCCATATCAAGAATGGCTTGCCGGGGGTTTCCTGCCGAGCACGCGGCATCGTCGATAGCGCTGGGCCGATCGAGAGACGCGGCCTGCATGAGTTCAAACTGATACAGTGTCCACCAAACACGTTTCCGCAACTCTCTTGCTAGAGGTGTGTGTAGAGGTGCCTTGGCCTCTCGGTGAAGACCGACGGCGATGGCTATTCTGACGGCCGTTCCAGTCAATGTCCAGCTCGAATCCTTGTGGTTGGTGTTGTTGAGGTGCAGAGCAGCTAACAGCAAGGCCTGCACTGCCGACACACTCGAGGTGAATACGACACTCGGCAGCAAAGCTTGCACCTTTCTCCACCATCGATCCTCAGCAGCCTGGCCCTGTTTCAGAGAGAATGAGTCGATGGGCGCAATCCGCCGAGCGAGAATCAAAACACATAGCAAGCTACAGATCCATGTCGGGTCGGCATCGGTCGTCAAAGAAGCGGGGTCCGAGCAAAACCGTTCGTATTCCTCGCGGAAGGATGCCTCGTGAAGCACTGGAAAATCAGCGTGTATTTGGTCGAAAAAGGCCGCGATCAATGTATCTGGGACGGGTCCGTCAAATACATCGTGCATGGTCGATGCAGGGGATGCCGTCGTCGCGGTTCCCGCCGTAAGATTGTTCTTCTCCACCACTGGCGAAGACACGGAGGCAATAGTCATTGGACTCTTTCCCGAGCTCATCTCCCTGCTCAGGTCGCTCACTTCGCCGACCCAGGCCTTTTCTGTTGGATTTCTTCCAAACAAGAAAAACTGCCCCTGTTGATCTTGAGGCTGACCGCCGGCGATGGCGAACAGGGATCGGATCCTAATCTGGAAGACATAACTGCTCGCTGGGCCAATGTACTGTGTTTGACCTTGTTGATCGCGTAATACGGGGACGTCCTCTTGCTGGCTCTGGGATGTTTGGTCGATGCTCTCTTCCGAGTCCAGTGGTAACGGCGATTCTTCCGGCGGTGGCAAAGGGATCCCAAGAGATGCTCCAAGGGCACGCATCCCCTCGATGCTCGACGTGTCTGCTTCCGGCACCAAGCCCTTGATCAGACTCTCAAGCAGACTGATGCGCGTGCCCAATCCCTCAGCCGAGGCGTAGATGCGCTTCTTGCGCAGCTGCGTCGTTACGCACTCAAAGCCATGGGTCTGACAGTACCGACATGGTGCATGCTCGACGCCTTCAGGTGCCTCTGGCGGTCGGTGGCATTTCTGCTTTCGCGACTTGCATCTAGCACGTCATGTAAGTATAGGTTCGTCTCACAGGATTGCCGCGCGAGCCAAACTTTGCAGAATGGATAAGTAATAAAAACGACAAGTATGAACGAATGTGAAAAACAACCGGGCAGCAAGAATGAAAAAAAGCAATATTCTTTGTCTTTGTGATTCCCACCATGTTCGGGCTTACTTGTCACAACTGATCTCAGTGCGCTTACGCCTCTCGGGCGGTACACGACGGCTGGGCATCGTGAGATGTCATTGGCAGAAAACACCCCCCGGAAAGCGTGGATTGACGTTGGGGACTTTCGGGACGGAACTGGACTGTACTGGGCACACGGGTACACACAAAACAACACACACGCACACACGCTACTGACTTGGTAGTACTGTGCCGGTAGAGTGCCCAAAGTTCCAGTCAGTCGTTTCTTTCCTCTCGGATACTGGCCAAGCGATAAGTGGAGAGCAGGGCAAGAAGTAGGACGGCTCTCACACGGGAACGCTGCGGATGCTGGGTTAAAAAGAGTGTGATCCGAACTGCTTCTCTGGCCAGCCTCTTTCTTGTTGGGTGGAGGGATTGGATCGAGGTCGGCAATGGCTAGGAATACTCGGTGCGGATGCCGGCTCCCGAGGGTTTCGAACTACCCTACGCACCCAGCTAGCTAGCTAACCCCAGGACCTAACGAAATAGTGTACGTCGTAGTGGGCAAGCAGGCAAGGAGCGATCGATTTTCAAGGTAAAAAAGGGTCGTTCGGTCGGTCGGAGTTGTGGGTGACGAGCTGTTCACTAAAAAACAACCCCGCCCATGTCAATCTCGAAGCATCAATGGAACATGTTAGTCCCGTCTGTTACGCACATACGTCGTTGCCTCTGGGTCCTTACCTTGATAGGACTACATATATACTACTAGGTAGATATGCACAGGATTCATCATCCGGCTTGCGCGGGACCAGTAACGAAATACTCATGGTACCACCGGTCAAGATTAAAACTCCTATAGTACCCAGATATCTGGAGCCCAGCCCTGCATATAAAAAAGCGAATAATACCCTCTGATTGGAGCCAGAGATGACGAGTGAGGATCCCACTGTGGAAATTGACACGATATTTTTCTTCACATGTGCCAAAACTCCATCAACAAAAACAAAATAGACCTGGTCATTGGGTTTACCTAGCATGACACGACCAACAGGACCCATGATATAAATGCATGCAGTGTCCCCGAGTGCTCGGATCTGCAGGAAGTACACTGCCAGCATTATTTGACAGGCGCCCCCCGGGGGGATAGTGTACCTAACTTACCTAGTTCCAATGCCAAGACCCCAGGGAAGACGCATTCAGAATATTCCACGAGATTGCTGGTTGCTGAAGCCTGTCACCTGCAGCCAACACACAAAATCAGGGTACGGATGAATGGTTTTCCAATCACACCATTCCTGGCGGTCTGTCTTTTCTGTATCATTCTACCTGCAACTCAGATGATACCGCTTCGTCTTCCTTTTTCTACTTGGCTCCTAGAATCTTTCATTTCTCTTCGTCGAACTAATCATCCCGGAACTTCCGGGAAAACCTTAATTTTATGACTGACTTGATTACGGTGGTACTTAAACTGCCTTACCCCGGATCTATCTAGAAGGATTCGCTAGGAGGAAGCCACTCACAAGACAGCATCCAAAGTTGTTTGATCAAAAGTTGCTGGGCATCAGGCCATTGGGACCCTTGTATCATCGCTTATACTATGACCACCCCGTGTCATCCATACACAGTAATTTGACCCTGAATTGCCTGCCTAAAGCTGGTTCTTTAGGTAATATTCGACACCGTCGTAGGATTGATTTTCATCAAACTACCTCGTCCATGGCTGCCAGCGAGCAGATCGCCCACCGGTTCTTCAGCGCTACTTATTTAGTACCAATCTACCCTTCTGTTCCTACCTACCCGTCTCGGAAAATAAAATCGCGCCCAGCCGCGCGTGGCGTGTAAAGTTAGTCGGCGCTTCAGGCTATCATGGGCCCAGACGAGTTCATCTCGGTCCAGAAGTGTTCTAGAGATTTATTGCCAAGGCTGTCTGACTTGAAATAGATGGTCCGGCACTTCAACAACGGCAGATCAGAACTACATACCTAGGCAAGTCAGGTCATCTACTGGATACAGGTACCTTGGAATGATCCCTAGTAATCGACCAACCTGCTAAAAGGTTCTGTATATGTAATGTAGGTACGTACCTAGTAGACACAGGCAACGGGGCAGGTAGGTAATGTATACACACACCTGCGGGAAGGTGCAAAAATGCCCACTGTTCAACAAATGTGAAACAAGACGTCATGCATCGGGTTCTTCTTCACCGATATTTTGAGTGCAAAGCTGGTAAATTATTTTTTTTTATTCTACTTCTGCTTCTCATTGTCTCCTACACTACCATGGCATGAGCAGGTGCAGGCCTATGATGGTTATTCTTTGGCAACCTACCTGTAACAGCTGATGATGATGCGAGCCCGCCAGCCAACACGTTGAATTCGGCCTCAGCCTTTTTGACATCCTCGTCCAGGTCGTGGAGCCAAATCCAGAGATACCTCTGCGCCTGGTTCTCCACGATCTTGTCCATGTCGGAACCAATCCCCGGGGCCTTGAAGGCGCACAGGTCGCCCGCCTCCTGGCTCGTCTGCACGATGCGCTGGGCTCGCGGCCGCCGGATGGCGTCAAAGACGGAGAAGGCCGTCTCAATCTGCGTCGCGTCCCTCACCAGCCCCAGCAGCCGTGACATGACCAGGGCATCTTCAATGCATTGCCCGGCGCCCGCGGCTTGATGCGGCAGAGTTGCATGGGCAGAGTCGCCCAGCAGACAGATGCGCTTGTTAAAGTACGTGGGCGTGACGAGATGGTGGAAGAGACCCCATCGTAGCGGTTTCGCCCACTGTTTCGCGAATGTGGTTAGCAAGTACTTCCACATTTGGGCTGAAGTCAGTGACCAGCATCTCACTCACATCTAGCAGCTTTACCAGCCGTTTATCCACCCCGAGATCTGCTATGTCGCGTGTCATCTCCTCACGAGACACAGGCTTCGTCCACTCGGGATGCGTCCACGGCTTGTCGTCAAGGCGGAAACAAACCATGTTGCTCTTGGTTCCGCTCGAGATGGGAAAGGTCGTGATGATGCACTCGTCGCCCATGAACATTTTGGCGTCGCCGGCAATCTCGTTGCCGTCCACATCCCGCCCGAGCACGCGCATAGCGTCCTCCATCGGGATCATGGCCCTGTAGACGTACTTGCCAGTATACCGCGCCCGAACGTACTCGGGCCACCGATCACCCAGCACCACACCACGCGAGACGCCCTTGACGCCATCGGCGCCGATGGCGCAGGATGCCGTGGCTATCTCACCGTCCTCAAATTCGATTACGGCGCCCCTTGCATCATCCTGCGAGAGGGACTTGACTCGCTTGCTAAAACGGACGCACTCCTCGGGGATATCCGCCGTCATGATATCGAGGAGGTCCTTCCTATGTGCACTCGTCCGCATGTAGCACGGTGCACCATAGGACATGGGCCTAAGCCCCCGACCCTCACCGAGGCCCTCCTCGACCAACATCGCGTCCATCATGACATGATCTTTCCCCGGAGTCACGTTGCCACTTGAAATGCCTTGGTAAAGCTCCGTGAAGCCCGGCTGGATAGCTTCCATGGCCCGGATAGCATTGGGCCCGAGCCCGACGCCAGCCCCAACAGCGCTGAAGCACTCGGCCGCCTCATAGAGCGTGAACGGGACGCCAGTTCGGAGTAGTCCGCCCGCAAGAGCTAATCCGCCGATGCCTGCGCCAATGATGGCGACACTGAATGGCCGCTCCGCCTCGGTGAGTTTCAGGGCAGGCATTTTATATATTTCGGCAGGCGGCACGACGATGATTTATTTTTGGGATAGCGACCTGCAGGAGTTATGTTGGAATCCTGAAAGATTCGGCAGGCCCTTTCTCTCTTGCTGGGTTGTGGCTCACTTTCTCCTTTTGAACTTGGTCCTTGTCGTATTCGTACTATGCCTATCCAGACTTTTTTTTGAAATTTTCTGTCAAAGAGGTAGGAGTATATTCCTCTTGCTAATCTGCCGACTGCGGCGACGGGCGAGCTGAGCCTGGTTACCGTGTGTCGAATCGAGGGACCCGAAAATCACGCCGCATGCAGATCATATCACACCTGAAGCTTGTTTTTTCCCGACCCAGCAAAAAGTCAGGAATGGAGCCAGAGGTTGTCGTCGGACAGGCACAGCCGGTTGCGTCGCGTGCCCATGTAATAGGAATAACACCGAATAATCATGAATCAAGAACCTGGCACCAGTCCGCATAAGGAGGTTTCGACCGCTGGGGGCCCCGGGATTCCGAATGCGCGCCCCTCCTCCTCCGCCCTCCATGGGCCAGCGTATATATGCTTTTAGGTGCGTGTAAGTATGTGTTTTATTCCGCTCACTTTCTTGCCAAATGCATCGTCGACGGCCTCGGTTCGCGAGTCAATCGGTCGCCTATCGGGCTACTACTACCTGTGTGGTACATGAAGATATGGAGCCCGCCCAATAGCACCCCTCAATTGAACCCGTTTTAATGTGCGGCTGCCGGCAAGCGACCGAGGGCCCTCCCCTTTTATCTTGCCACTGCATAGTATGCACATCTGATAATCCCATCGGAAGGATGATCCCGAATGCACCTCTGCTGTCATTGCTGTCGGACCGCATATTGGTATAAGTGATGCAATTATTACTCATGCTTATAGGAGCAAGCTTATACGACAAGCATCGTGAGAATTGAATGCAAATGCCCGGATATTAGTCGGTATTATCTGCGATATCCATATTCAATACAACTGTTACTACCAAGAAAGAGCCTGTCCTTGAGATAAATCAGTAAATCAAGAGCAAATCATGCCAAAGAAGACCGACCGAAGTGATGGGCCGCTGGTCGTTGACGTGCACTCGCATTTGTATCCGACATTTTATCTCGATCTCCTTAAGACGAGAACCGAGGCACCATATGTCAAGGACAATAAACTGGTCAACCGGGCCTCAGCAGCGGGCGCCGGAAAGCCCATCCTACCCATACTGCATGATGTAGGCACCAAGATTGCCTTCATGGACGCCCACGGCATCGACGTGTCTGTCCTATCCATTGGAAACCCGTGGCTGGACTGGCTGCACGGGGAGACGGCCGGCCCCGTAGCCCGCGACGTCAATGACCAGTTCAACCGGCTCTGCGCCGAGAGCGACGGCCGGCTCTTCTTCTTTGCCACCCTGCCGCTGGGCGGGTCCATGGACGCGATCCTGGCCGAGGTGGCGCGGCTCCGCGAGCTGGCGTCTTGTCGAGGTATCGTGATTGGTTGCGCGGGCACGGGCGACGGCCTCGACGACGCGAGTCTGCTGCCCATGTACCGCGCCCTGGCGGCGGCCGGGCTCCCCGTGTTTCTGCACCCCAACTACGGCCTGCCCGAGTCCGTCTGGGGACCGCGCGCCAAGGAGTACGGGCAGATCCTGCCCGTCAGCATGGGCTTCCCGCTCGAAACCACCATTGCCATGACGCGGCTGATTCTCTCGGGCGTGTTCAAGGACGTGCCCGATCTGCAGTTCATCGTGAGCCACGCCTGCGGCACGCTCCCCTTTCTGGCGGGCCGGATCGAAAACGCCATTGATCACGACCGGCAGTGGATCTCCCAGGGCAAGGCGTCGGCGGCGGACCGGGAGACCGTGTGGCAGGTGCTGCGCAAAAATGTCTTCATGGACGGCATCGTCTACGACCAGCTGCCGCTCAAGCTGGCCGTGGCGGCGGGCGGTGCGGACCGGGTCATGTTTGGGACGGACCACCCCTTCTTCCCGCCCCCCACGGGCCCGTCGGGCGCTGACGAAATGTGGCCGAGCATGTGGAGCAACGAAAAGGCCGTGAGCGAAGGATTTGGTCGAGACAGTGACGTGTATAAACAAGTCATGGGTGAGAATGCGATTCGTGTTCTGAGTCTGCGGGAGAGTTTAGACCATGCTGGCTGCGACTGTTGAGCAAGATGAGGAAGAGAAGGAGAAAAGGAAGAAAGAAAATCTTCTATTGAAAAGATGTTCATGTGGCTGCCGACGTCTGTTTGGTCTAAATCGATATGCTCTAAAGATGCTCTACAGTCAAACGTGATCGTTACGTTTTCATCACCTTGGCTCTCTGCCTGGCCCTTTCGAGACTGTTGACGCTCTCGATTCACCCCCTTGCTCACAGCTTCTCAAACTGAGCATCCGTGCTCACCTTGCCGTGTTCACATACAGCCAGCAGCGGGCCCAGTTTGCCGTCGTCGCCCACGGCCCTCATTTCGCCCTTCATGGTGGCCAGCCTCTTGCCAATGGACAAGATCTCGCACTGTATCTCAATCGTGGTGCCCACGGGGATGGGCTTGAGGTAGGTGCAGTTGAGCGTCCTGCTCACGCCCATGTACATCCAGAAGCCGGGCTTGTTGATGAGGTGAAGAGGAAAAGTGGTGCACGAATCAAAAATGGTCGAGGTGCACCCGCCGTGGAGGTTTCCCATTTGGTTGCAGTGGACTGGCTGTACCGTGAGGCGAAAGTTTACGCGTGGATAGGGCTCCAGGGCATGCGAGTGAACTGTGAGGTATGGAATAATCTCCGTCATCCAGTCCTGCAGGTACAGTCAGACCATAATGAACTGCACGGAAGAGTGTTTGCAGAATATATAGTTGGAGAAAACAAGCGTCAACAGGCGTCGGTCACTACCATGTACCCAGATAGACCATGCAATAATCATATTGAAATACCTTGAACAAGTACTGGAGAAAAATGAAGAAGAAGAGCTCACATGACTGTCCGAGTCCTTGTATTTCTCCGTGGCCCATTGTAAAGATGCCTTGACTCTATCAATCCCACGCAGTTCAGACAGGTCATCCACCAGTTCCGCCCTGGTAGTGGCTAGGAGCTTATTGGTTTGCGACATGGCGGTGACAGATTTGCAGTGCAACAGAACACACGCGTCTCTAATTGAGGACCGAAATGTATGGTTTCGCGTACTAATTCGTCGGGCTACAATTTGGATGAGCGACAGAGTGATTGTTGCACAAGGAAATGAGTGTAGACAATGTTGATGAATGAAGTGAAGATGAAGATGAGAGCCGCCGTGTCGTCGGTCGAGCCATGCTAAATCAGGCTAACGCACAACTTGCCGAGGTTCAAGGGCGCCCGCTTATTGACTGCAGGTACGAATACATACCCAGTTACTTACTGTTCAACTCTTCTCCCACTACACGTATTGTGGGATCTCTATTCCCGGAAACATGAATTGAAAAATTCGAATTGATGATATTCAGTCTCTTTGCATAGCAGTAATCTCGATTTCGCAATGGCATTGGCGTCTCGTTGCTTCGATGTCGGCCAGCTTGCTGAGCCTGCATCACATAGTACATACCTACTATCTCGGTACCTACTATTGCGCTAAGAGGCCTGTAGCATGCACTGTTCACTACTGATCACTTATATGGTGGCAGCTTGACCTCATTGATTCATTGCAATCACACAAATTCCCATGCATCCATACTGTAAGGTGCTAATACGTTACTGATAATCTCTCTCGGTATCTAGGGTGACCTCGAATGCAGCTTTCGCATCTCCAAAAGAATAGGGAACATCTCCCAAGCGATCGTGGATGAGCCAGTCGCGCTTCAATCCCACCAGTACATCCTCCCAGAAAAGGTCTGGAACTGGTAGCACAATGCCAAACGCCCCGATAAACGCCTGATCATGAATGTAATCAAATGAACAGCAATCAGTCTTCCATGCTGTGGGTATCAACGATAGTAAGAAACGTAGGAGAAGAGAATGAATAATGCCCCCAGCAAACTCCGGTCCAAGTTGAATGTCGTTGAGCATCCCGATAGTTAATCCACAGCAGAGAATAACTTGATCCTTAAACGGTCTCGTGGGGCTTGATAGGCTGTCTTCCTATGTCCAAACTGTCGCCATCGTCGTCAATGTCGCGCAAATGTGTCGCCCCTATTACAGGCTCACTTCCCTTTGTGATACCCATGGAAGGACCGTCGGTAGGTCCTGAGCTTGTCCCAGCTCCAAGTTCCCAGCTGCCAACGCGCTCATGTTTCGCGCCGCTCTTAGTAATGGAGACATCTCTGTCCGAAGCCATCTTCTCCTGCCCTCTAAAGCCACCAAAGACGGAATTTCGACCAGACGATCTACGCTGGATCCCAAATCCAAACACGAAAAGAAGCACAGCAGCCACTGCACCAATGGCAATCGCTATTGCCGCTCCAATAGCCCCTGCCGCTGCTGGTGAAAGATCAAGATTCTTGTGGTTGTGAGATGATGTACTTCCTCCTGATGCTGCCCTCGAAGCTGAGCAGAAAAAGTTGACCGCATCACATGCTGTGCACCAAGCCGGGATATTGTTGATGGAGAATTCTCGAATGCCCGAGACAAAATCTCTATACTTGATTCGTGTTTCTGAATTGCCGTGGCTAAATAGCGGATACTCGTAGATTGGATTCTCTTCTGAACTTCCGTTGCGATATAAGAAGCGAACCCAGAGATCATCTGTATCCGGAAACCTCGTTGCATCGGTGCCCTCAGAAAAGAGCTCAAAAATCACTAAAAAGTAATTCGAGTCAGTAGTGATGTGTGGCAGGATGAAAGGTCTCACGTACTAGCACCACCAAAACCGGGTATCTCTTGGAACAATCCTGAGGAATGGCCCGTAGATAGTTCCGACAACGAGAAGAAGGACAGCATTGGTTGAAATGAGCCAAACATGAGATTGATTTGGGGGGCTCCTCCCTTTAGCAAGACGAGCTGCTGGAATTGTGACACAACCTTGGCACTGAGTGTCCGGCCAGCTATAGCGCGAATCATGTCGCCATCTTTGCGGCCGGATGCGGTGAGATCACCATTCAAGGAAAATTGCTGAATATTGGCAAAGTCCCTCAGCCACTTTAGCTGATTAATGTCCAATGTATTTCGAATGGTTGAATTGTGAATGTAATGATAGGCGGCATATTCGTATAAATCGTAAGCATAATAGAAGCTGGCGGCGTTGGCAGGAAACGTGCCATTGAAAACTGTAGACCACAATAGCTGGTACTCGGGTAGAGAGTCATCAAACACTTGAGTCATGCGAGGATTGCTCTTGAGGTTGCTGGTAGATCTCCAATATTCGGTACATGCTGTATGTCCCTCAAGCCTGCATAATTCTTAGAATCAAAGGCTGAATACATTCGCAATTCAAATACAGTCTTGACTTACCACACAGATTCGGTATCAGATAGCGAAAGCGTCCGAAAGTTGGGATACATATACCCGCCAAGCGGAAAGTCCACCACTGAGCCATTAGCCAGCATGGCAGCGGCAATACCGCCATTGGCATCAGCAAAATTTCTCGTCTTGGGGGGATAGAGCCCTTGCATGAAGGCCTGGGCGCCCGCGGTGATGTGGTCATCCCTGGTGGTCCAGATGGACAGCTGGTTGTTATCAATGGCCGCCGTCCCGACGGCCGCGATTGGCGCATTGTCCGTGTTGTTGCTGTCAGTATCGGATTGCGTCGTGTTTATTAGCCATCTGTTTCTGAGCAAAGAGCCTTGCGAGAACATTTGTTGTGCCCCCAGAGGTGTCAAACTGCCATCGCCGATTGCGAGATCCCTGAGCGGAGTGCGTTCGCCATGATTCACGTATGCGAAAACTGACCAAACAGTTTCTGCTGATTGTACGGACGCGAAGAAGGTGAATAGTAGGGTAAGCGTATTTTTATTGATTGTAGGAGCCATGGCCCAGCAGGATGTCTGGCAATAGGGTTGATCCTATTTGCCAAGAGGAAGTGTAAGGAAGATGTAATCACAGGTAGGCGTTCATTAGGGACGAGACAACGACGAGGTCAAGGGCCATACACAAGGGTTGTCAGAAGAGGTGAAGAGGAGAGATGAGAAAGTGTAAGAAGTCAGTGAGATTCCGTCATACTGAAAACATGTAGGCCCCTACGAGTCAAGTGGTAGCTTCCGCAACGTCCAGCCTGAAGCAATCACATCATAAGCCGCTGTTCTGTGCCTCGCTCCAGCCTCGCGCCTGTCTTGGCCATTCTTTCTCACCCTCAGGGTAGTATTCCGTAGAGCAATAGCGAGTTCTGGTCCGCAGCTTCCCACCGCTCCCTCCCACCATTGGCGACCAACTAAGATGGATGACGGCACTGCTCGTTTAAGCTTCTTCCATTAGTTTTTTGGTGAAATCTTTTGGGTACGTGAAGGCGGGGATCATGCAGGTGAGCTTGATAAAAGCTTCAGAGCTGTCTGTTATCTCTTGGAGCTGCATCCCTGTCCTTGACCACGCGACCAAGACCTGGGCAGAGACTCGATCGGCGCTTCTATAGGTGCCATGGCAGTGACGAACCAATAGACGTAGGGCACATGCTCAAGAGTGTGCAGGAGAACCCCGGCATGTACGGCAACGAGTGTGACCGTCATATCGTAGCTGAAGTAACATAACGCTGGTGGCTGGATTTCAATGGTAAAAGCCCGCGGCTTGGCAGTACACTAATGAAGATGAGGGGTTATAGTTTACGATGGTCGTTATCGTAAATATACAACTTTGGGAGTTCATCAAATGCTCGCTAGGGTATGGCTGACGGCAAACTATTGTTATTGTTTGAATCATTTCTCTCTCTTGTCGTTGTATATACTATCAAAGTCAATTCTTCAGTTATTTCCAAGATTTGAAACGAACAGAAATCATGAGTAATAAGAGCGTGGGGACAGCTTCATGGCCTGTTTTCTAGTTATGCAGAAGCAAAGTTCCATCCGTGCCGTACAAACAATACCTATATTGCCTTTTGAAAACAGGTTTCTTCGAGGCGGAGCGGGTAAATTCGAGACGTTTGAATGATGTTTGTTGCTTGAACAACATTGCGCACTTGTCTGTCGAGCAACAAATGGATGACTTGATCTCGGGTCATGTATTTCGAGGCTCAAAGGTGCGAGATTTGGCTGCGAATATGAAAGAACTTGTGGAGCAATTGTAGTTTTCTGAGGGATCTCTTCTCTGTAGACACGTAGCCCGCCATACTTGTAGAAAGTGGTGCAACTCTTGGCAACGAGATGGCTGCGGCATGTGATTGACTGACTGTGAATCTTGCGCTCGGCTGCCCCGCGCGCATTGCCGGGTGTCGAGACCGCAAAACCCGTCGCCGACGGTTACATTTCGCTATACCTATCAAGGGCAATCAGAACATTCTTATACTCTGCACATGCGCTCACCCTGTCCTAGCTCATTGTGCGACACTTTGACAGACTTGTATTCGTCTGAAATGCGCGCCGAATGCGCCGGCTACCTGTACTATATACTCGCATGCGACCACATCAGCAAGAACAATGCTGCATCCAGCCTTTCTGACACTTTTTTACCCTGTGCGGGCCACAATCTGTCAGCGGCTTCAAAATCAACTGCATCCCGTGTCTCCGGAGCGAGTCGCCGCAATGTGGACGGAGCTCGGTGCATTATCTGGCTCCCGACAGTGTGCTTGTCTTTGTTTTCGACTTGGCCATGAAACTACGTACACCAGGTGCTACTGCTATTCAAAGGTGTTGATGTGTGCTTGCATTATTCAGAACTGGCATGAGGATGTGACTTCGTGACACAATGACGCTATCAACATGGCACCAATACAGAGAGGATGCGCAACTGGGGACCGAATAGTCTCAATATTAGCTAATACGGTATTCATGGACTGGCCACATATCATTACTTGCTTCGGACCGTCGTTGCACAAAGCTTCTCAGTCAGGTATTCCCATATCATAAACATGATTGCTCATTACTAACGCTATACTCATCCTGCCGCATCTCCACAACAATGCAATCCGCCTCTCCGCTCGAAGCTGCGGGCGGGACCACATATCTTGCATATGTGACCTCTTCAATCATACCCGTCCGGCAGCAGATCACTGGACAGAAGCAAGAGGAGACAACTTCCCAAGTCTGAGCGCTGCATTTATACTCGCCACTTTTTTTCCAATGGCAAGATAACAAGAGCATGCATCTTTCGGCAAACAATTTCCATTGCATGCATCTCAAAAACACTTGGGAAATGGCGGGTCATGGGAAAAACGTGAGAGGGTTGCATCTGCAAACTTCTCCAGGGCCAAGGGCAATCCACGGGAGGACATGGAGAAAACCAATTACCATTGGCAATGTTGGACGAGTTCCCGTAATTCCCATTGATATACAACGAGTAATATATCCAAACATTTACCCGCGGGCCGTCCAATCGTCACCTCCACCCACCACATTCTTTTTTTTTACTCGCCACCCCACGGAGGGAAGGACGGGACAACATTTTGGGAAGGATAAACTCCCAAGAACGGTAATGGACGCAAAACGCGTCTTTAATCAAAATTCCGTGATTTCTTTGTTTGTTTGACAGATGCAGATTCTTTACGAGTTGGGCAATTTAAATCTGAGACTCGGACGTTTGCTTCTAACGAGATGGCGATAACTTCAACCTTCCTAACGCGGTATCTTGCTCCACTCCCCATTCGTCCACATGTGGTTGTCCAAACTTGTCTGTCAACACGGGAGATCGCCCAACCTTAAACATGTTGAGATGCCAGGGAAGGAAAAAGGAAAAGCACATCCGCCGTTTTTGTTATTCTTTCGTCCCATACTTGTTGATGTTCATCCATATGAACTAACAAGAAAAGAAACATTTCTGTTTCAGTTGTAAAACTATTTAATGATTCATTCAGCTGCGTGCACCTGGCCTATCCCAAGTCGGTTTTGTATATAACAACAACGTCATCATGTTGCTCCTCTCAGCCGTGATACTACTTTTAAATGTACATATATCTCTAGCAAAATTCATACGAACGTATCCTCGACCAGAGAAGCCCGCCTTTCACACCTTGGTAGCCGGGAAACCATCCAAGGGCGCAGGAGACCCGGGATATATCAAGTCGAGTCTCGGTACCCAGTTTGTCGATTCCAGACCCAGCAACCGATCGACGATTGCCCAGCGAGATGGACGAGAGGCGCTTTCCGAGTTCCAGGCCGGCGTCGTCTACATGATGGACATTGACGTGGGCACGCCGCGCCAGACCCTGACCGTCATTGTCGATACCGGGTCGTACGAGTTGTTTCTGAATCCCAACTGTGACCGCGCGGCGGATCAGACGTATTGCGCCGCTGCGGGCCATTATTACCCGTCCTTGTCGAGCACGGCCAAGAATTTGTCTAGTCGATATTATGTATCGTTTGGTACTGGCGGCTACGTTGGCAGCTACTTTAGCGACACTCTTTGGTTTGGGGATGACTGTGAGACGTTTCCTATTGAAAATAGAAAGCCCTGAGGGAGCTTGAACTGATTCATTCTGAACAGACTGGCCAGTGTCATCATTGCAATTTGGCGTCTCGGATGACAGCGATTATGTCTGGGCCGGTATCTTGGGTCTCGGATATGGCTCGAGATTCAATACCAACTATCCCACGTTGTTGGACCTTCTTGTCTCGCAGGGCTACATTAATGTTCCGATTTTCAGTTTGAGTGTGGGCAGCCAGGGAAACGGTGATTGTAAGTCGTCTGTATGCTGTTTGGGATAGTCATCCAAGACTGACCACACTTCTATAGCCGAGATCATCGTCGGTGGAGTGGATAGTCACAAGTACATCGGGTGGCTTGAACCTCTCGAATTGTATCCACCTCCAGAGACTCAAGAAGAAGAGTGGAAATCAGCCCAGTAAGAAATAACGCCAGGGCCTTATGTGAAATTTGTACACTGACCAAACCCTCAGATACTGGATAAACATGACCTCGTTTGGCTACACTCTTCCAGGGGGTTCCGCAGTGACAATGACCGCCAATGGCTTTTCCAGAATCATGATGGTCGACAGCGGGTCGACATATTCGTACATTGACGCCGACCTAGTGGCTGCGCTCGCCAAGCAATTCAGTGCCACCATTGACGATTCGGGCGTCTACTACGTCTCTTGCAAGTACCTCGACATGGACGGCTACGTCCACTTTGGCTTCAACAATGGGGCCATGGTCATCAATGCCAAGTATAGCGATTTTATAGTCGACTTCGGGACGCGCTGTGCCTTGGGCGTACAGCCGGCTGATGCTGGGGTCAATACTTGGGTCTTGGGTGCCACCTTTATTCGATCGGCCTATAGTAAGCCTTTGATTTTCCTCTACCCATGCGGCCCCCAAGTCACATCTATCGCTTATTCTAACCTCGCTCGTGTAGTTGTGTTCGATCAATTGTACGACGCAATCTGGCTGGCAAATTATCAACCATGCGGAGGCTCCCTCGTAACGGATCTCACGGAGAACGCGGGTAACCAGCTTTGGACCGAGCTATACGGCGGCTGTTGATCTACCGACAAGACATTTCCATTCAACGTCTTCCGAGGTCTAATCTCATTTGTACCTAAAGTCTTGCGAGATTTGGTCAAACGTCAACACCTCTAATTTCTTCGCTCAAAGGTCCCTGCCGCGTCCAAATGTTCATGCCAATTTTCCAGCCGCTGGTGACGGGCAGTCCGGCATGCAGATTCCGCTGATCGCCCCGACCGTCTTCGTGCAAGTTCTGCCAAAACACGGCATTGCCCACGACGGGGCGGAACGTGACGCCGTTATCATAGGCCTCGTCGCAGTCGATAAAGTCGCACCATTTCTGGTTATAAGGCGCATCGAGCATGGGGAAATTGGTGCCGCCGCCCGTGATATTGTCGGCGGCGGCCACGTAGGCGAAAAAGGACGACTGGCGGTTGCCCCCGAGGGCCGACGAGGCGTGGACGGCCGCGTTGGTGAACCAGTCCGTGTGGTAGTGGTAGCGCTCGCCCTGGGCGTACTTGACGAGCTGGACGGGCTCAAGGTGCGACCGCGGCACGTCAAAACCCTGGAACAGCAGCGCCCGCTCCTCGATGCAGCGCACCACGTCGTCGCGCTCGACATTGGTCGACTGCGATGTGCGCGTCTCGCGCTGGCCCTCGGCGCCCGTCCCGTCGGCTACGGCCGAGTGGCTGAATGTATCTTTACTAATAGTGCAGCAAGTCAGTGGGAAAATAGAAATGCAGAATCATTGATTATACACATGTACGCACGTGATTTCTGTGAGATGTTGTCGTTCCTCGGCGGTCAAGAAATCCGTCAGGTAGATGACCAAGGGTGATTTCGACAAGATGTGACTCTTATACGCAGGATGACGACAATTCGCACTCAACGCCAAAGGCTTCTGTGCCGGGTCTTCATCGTGACTATGTGCCGAGGCAGGGAGGATCGCTGCGAGGGCGCAAAGAACAAGGTATCTTGACCGGACCATGATCATGTAAGTGGTATGAATACAAGTCTCAATATTACGAGTCTCACGATGGTCGACTGCTACATAGTAAACACAAGGAAAGGAAAAGGAAGAATAGACAAGATTGTACTAGAAACCTCGGGATAGTGACACAACTTTTTATCCGGCCCAGGATCTGACCTCTCTTTCTGTTACCTACCTATCTGCTCATTGCTGCCGTTACATCACATACATGAACGGACATTCAGCAATCTGAAGGAGGGCGGGGGGGAACCCATGGGACGATGCGGGTAGATGATGAAACCCCAACCGTCTGTAGGTCCAAGAGGCCGTTTCCACTGCTTAGCTACTGCCATCCCCCTGTCAGACGGAGGTCAATGGGCTTCCCCAGACGTTCTAGCGGCGCCGGTACGAACCCTTTTAGTGCATCGCCTCTGGCGCTGATCCTACATTAATGCACCCCTGGTACCCTGACGAAAGCGGATTCATGGGCCCCTCAGAACATGGTACATCCCTGGCGGGGGTTTCTTCCTTGGCTGTAAGTAGATAGAGTTGTAACCATGGAGGAACGAGAGAGCTGGAGCTTAACTGTGATTGCACCCCACGAGCTCGCAGCTCCCGTCGTACCTTTTTAAGCTTTGCTCTGGGGTGAGGTAGTCTTGGGCTCTGATGTAGAGAATTCAGACTTGAATTGACAAAAAGATGAGGATCAATACGATCAAGGCAGTCTTGTTCCTCGCGAATACTGCCCTGGTGGCCGCCTGGAACCATGTCGACGAGGCCGGCTTCATAAGGGCAGTCGGAGGACATAATCTGGCACTTGTCGCTTGTGAGTAGTAGCTCTTCATCTTTGGTTGTCGCATCTGCAGACATGTGCTAATAGCCATCAGTTGTCGAGGTAAGCATGAATCGGTTCAAATGTATAAGTCAGTGCTTTAACAACACCACTAAATTCGGATTGACCTCTATAGCCCTCAAGGTGAGTAACAGTATACATCACCACCGTGTGCGTTGCAACCGCTAATCAATTGGCCAGTGCCGCAAGTCAAGCACTCGAATCCGAATGGGAAAAGATATCCGAATCCGAAAAGACTCTTTCAAGCATTGACTGCAGTTCTCTGGCTCAGCTCTGCAAAGACTACGAAATAATATCATATCCGACCATTAGATTCTTTGATGGGCATGGGACCATTACGCCATATCGAGGTCCGAGGACTTCCCAATCGTTGGTGTTTTTCCGTTCAGAACTCGATTACTCCTTGAAGCTGAGAAAAAGGGACATTTAGCATCATATCGTTCTTGAGAAGAGCGGCGCGACCGACGTTGACGCAACTTGACGAGAAGACGATTACGGCCTTTCAATCCATTGACGACGCCGTCATCGTGGCACACATCAATCCGCGAGACGACCACATTCAAACCCTGTACAAATCTCTGGCCTATCGCTATCATGATCGCGCATCGTTTGGGCTGCTGGAGACGGACGAAACCAGCACCATTGTGTGCTACAACAACAAGGACAATGAGCAGTCGACAACCTCGGACCTGTCGGCCATTGATACGCTCTCTTCATTTGTCGAAGCCTGCATTAGGCCCTTGGTCGGGGAGTTTTCGAGAAGGACAGAGGTCAAGTACGCTCAGGTAAGAAGCCGAGATCCTTCACAATATGCATGAAAGGAATCACACCCCCAAGATCAACTAATTACAAACCCTGCGAGCAGTCTGGCAAGTCCCTGGTCTACTTTCTAGCCGAGACACGAGAGGAGCGCGAAGAATACGTCGAAATCATCCGGCCCGTGGCGAAAAAGTATCGCGACTTCATCTCCTTTGTCACCGTCGACGCACTCGAATACGCCCCCATGACCAAGGTCCTCGGCCTGCCCGGCCGCTCGTTCCCCGCGCTGGCGGTTGAGAATCCCGCCCGCGGCCAAATTTTTCCCTTTACAGAGGACGAAATCACGGCCGAGCTCGTCGACGAGTTCATCGTGGATATTGCCGGAGGCAAGGTGAAGCCCTGGGCGCCGTTGCCGATTCCCGATCCCGTCAGCCATGCACATGATGAGTTGTAGGAATTTCGAAGGGGGTACCAGCAATTATCTTTTACGGGATCAGAAATTGCATGGCACCATGAGGCGGCCAGAGTGAGACGTTTGGTGCTACACCAAGGAGTGTATGAACACGAAATCATACTAGTAAGAATTGGATTCATTCAAAGCAATAGCACAACTGTTTATCACGTGAGGAACATGCACAAACTTCAAGTCACGATTGATGATATCGTATCCTTTATATTGAGCCCCAATATGAACAGACACGACCAAAGTTGACGTTCAACCAGAAGGACCAGCAAAGGTCATCCGTGGCCCTGAAGAGAACTTCATCTCACAACCGCCTAGCTAGCACCAGTCCAAAGAGCGGGGCCAGGAATGGTGTAGCTCGTGAAGCTCGTGTACAGGTTAAACAGGATACCGGGATCAGTGCGGGTGTAGAGCGAGGTGCCGGCGGTACCAGTGGGCACGCTGACGGTGCCGCTGCCGCCGACGACGACGTTGAAGCACTGGGGGTAGTTTTGGGCGCCATTGTCGGAGCTGGCGCCGTGCAGGGCAATGATCTCGTGCCGGATCACGTAGTTGCCCGCGGCGAGCTTGGAGGGGATCTTGAGCGTCGACGTGTAGTTGCTGCTCGTCAGCCCGTCGGTCGCCCACACGCCCGAGTTGTAGCCGTTTTCGGCAATCTTGGTCCAGGTCAGCGACGAGGCCGAGGCGGATGAGCATGAGCCTATTTGTTTTGTATTTTTGTGTCAGTAAGATATTCCTCCATGTCGAAAATGTATTAATGGCCTTCGGCGGGGGACTGATCAGAGAGTCGACTTACCACTGCACTTGGCAATGTAGTTGATGATGGGTCCCTTGTGGGAGTCACTGGGCCAGGTGTTCCAGGTGATGCTGAGGGTGTCGCCGGCGTTGGCGCTGACGGACAGCTGTCCAGCCGTGGCGCTCTTGTGGCAGGCAATGTCGCTAGTCTGGTACGCAGAAGGGGAGACGAAGCCCAGGTCCTGGTTCAGCGAGTTCCACCCGACCGTCGCCGGCGAGGTTCCGGCCGTGTAGTAGTACCACACGGGGTCGGCGCCGGGGACCCAGGTGCCGCCGTTGACCCTGATGCCGTTGACAAAGCCATGGGCCGATGTCAGGTCCAGGAACGCAGCGGCGACCGTCAAGAGAATCGACGAGGAATGCATCTTAGGTCAGGAGATGAGGAGTAGTATACTGTCTACAAGGGGCTGGGTTCTGTTTGCGAATGGAGTAGCAAAAGAGGTCGATCACTCGGTTGCAACTCTGAAGTTATATACCTCTCTGCACCTCTCAACGGGACATCCTTCCGATACCGATTAGTCATGTTTTCCTTATTGACAAATCGCGATCGCAAAACAGAAAACGCCCTTCAGCACCGCCGCTGATTACCATCGCGTGATCTATCAGAGACCATGATGACAATCTATGCCAAGAGATAAAAGCAAGAGCTTGGACAATATTTGGCATCACAGTCACATTGATATTGGAATGACAAGGCTGGGATTGGTTCAGTATTTTCTGGGGGAATGGGCTGCATCCGGCTGCCAGCACATTTATTTTTGTTCTCGACCTCTTCTGAAAAGATCTGGACCTGGAGCGGCCATCCGCGCGAGGCGGCGACCAACAGAGAATAGTGTAGCAAGAATAGGGGCATTGTCTCTGATCAGTGGCCAAATGTGGATGGAAAATCTTCTTTGGTACGGATGGTCGTGATTCCGCTCTACTCTAAGGGGAATGTAGTGCAACTCACCGTACTACGGCGCCAAGGAATCATGACCCGGGATCCCAGCTTAGCTGATCCTGTCATCTGCAGAAGCAAGGGCACGAGGCGGTAAAAGAGAAACAAGAACAATATTTCGGATTACGGCATAGACTGCCTTGTTTTGTATGTGTGTGGAAAGACAACAACAAGTGGTTGACTCATGTCCTTTTCAAGTTGCATTTCCATCCGCAATTTCAACAGACGCAGACTCAGCTTGAATTCTCACGCAAGGCGAATACTCGAGAGAAGAAAAGAAAATTGCATGATTCTCGCATATACTGATGCTGTCAATATCTTATCGAGCATGTTTTCTGTGGTTTCGAAACACTCATGCCATCAAGGAAATAGGGCTGTATGCAGTATATCTAATCAAGGCTGCTACTGCATATACACAAGTCCAAAGCCACACCATGAAACAACAATTAAAATAACCTCTGACTTGTACATAGGAATTTTGGTTTCACAAAGTAACCAGACACCAGTATGGTACATTTTGTTATGGGAGCCTGTTTGCTAGTTCCTTCGACTAGATACGCACTTCTGACACGCGTTGGCTGGCTGGGCTCGTTGTTTTTGCCATGCTTCGCTATATCTGCCCTCTGGTCACATTCTCTTTCAACTTTTCATGCCATAACCAATGGTATGACTCGATTGATTAGCAGCAAGAATCGTCTCGGTTGAGAAGAGGATCCCTTGTCTGACCTCCATCTCATAAACTCGGTATTTGACATAATCTAACCCCTACATTGACCATACCTTTAAATCATCCCGCAAGGACACACCGATTGGCTAATTCTTCTACTTTGGCGCCTGACACTGACAGGAATGCCAAGCCACGACTCTCCATCGGGTGCGCATGACAGGAACCTTCGTTCTTGAAACAAAACATCTGGCGATTTTGCACCTCTATTACCTTGGCAGGTGAAGAGAACCATGTGGCCGAATTTGGCACAAAAGAACGGGGAGCTCTTTGTCAGTCCCAAGACCAGCTGTTTGTCTCACCCTATAAGCTCACAGCCTTCTCGAACGACTCCCACGACTGCTCCCGTTTGTATAGCCTCGCTGCCTCCACCAGCCATGCGGTATTCGATCTCGGCCAAACCATCTAACCACCGAATCATGGCTTCGGGCTTGACGTCCATGGTTGTGAGAATCTCGGAAAGAGCCGTAATGATATCCGCCAGTGCCAATCCATTTGCCACTTTGAGGGTATTGATGGTAGATAGACAGCTCGACACATCGCTGGTACTGAGTAAAGTCTCGGCAATCTTTTGGATGGCGTCGGGCGGCGGTGCTGCGATACAGTTGTATATGGTTTGTATGGTAATGGTGTCCCGAACAATGTCCTTTTCGGCAATCTTGGGTCCGTCCTTGGGTTGCAGAGGAGTGCCTATAATCTCAAACATCAGCCAAAAAGGACCGGATTTGGCCACGGGTGCATTTTATAGAACTTACTGGATGCATGGCAAGCTTGCAGCACATTGAGCGCTCTTCGCATGTCACCCTTGCTCAGTTTCACGAGAGCATCCGTGGCATCGCTCGTGATTTTGATATCTTCCTCCATGATGACCTTGTCCACCAAGACCCTAATATCAGCCTCCTTTAGCGGGCTGAACCTGAACCGGGTACATCTCGAGAGCAGCGCCGGTGACAGCTTGTGTGTGTAGTTGGCAATGATGCAGAACCGCGTGTTGGCCGTGTACTTTTCCATGATGCGACGCAGCGCCATTTGTGCCGTGTTGGTCATGGCATCGGCCTCGTCGAGGATAATGAGCTTGTAACTAGCCATGCCACCCGGCCTTGCGGATGCGCCCACTGTGAAGATCTGCTTTGTCGAGGCAAATGTCTTGATCTGCTCGCGCACCACATCGATACCTCGGTCGTCGGAAGCGTTGAGCTCTAGGACCATCTGTCGCATGTTTTGTTCGCCGTAGATGCGCCTGGCAAGGGCCAGAATCGTCGAGGTCTTGCCGGTACCAGGCGGGCCGTAGAGGAGCAGATGTGGCAACCGATTCGAATCGACAAACTTGTTGATTGTGGCGAGGATATCTTGATGACCAGAAACGTCGGTCAGAGATACGGGTCGGTACTTTTCTACCCATGGTAACGAGTCCTCGGCTTCGACTGGGAGGTTGGCAGCGCTGCGCTTGCCCTTGGCTGTGTTGTCAGATGAGAAGGTGATGTCCTTGGATGGCGCAGGACCATCGACGTCCATTTCATCTTCGTAGTCTGACATGATGGGATGGTTCTCGAGTGCTGGCAAAATGGATCAAGACTGTGTGGGACAAATCAGGATATCGCTGGGGAAGACGGTTGAATTGAGGCTGTCGACTATTGCTGCTTGTTATCCAAGGCTGTAGGCAGCAAAGGCGGGACAGTACGACATGTACAAAGCTCGTCTGAATTGAAAGACGCGACGAAAAGACGCGTTGATTGACCCCAAATTGGCATGGGCGTCAGGTATCCACAGGTACGTACCTCAAAGCTCGAGAGAGTTTGGTGGTTTTCATTGTCACTCCATTCACCTGAACGGACTCACTTTCAATCCCGACATCATAAAAGGACAAGTACGGAATTTTCTTCTTCTTTCATTCCGTAAACCACATTGGCGTAGATGTCCATGATAATGTTGCCTATGCACGATTGTTCTCGTTTTTTTTTTTCCCAATCGCCAATATCGGCCAGTTGCAATCCACTAACTGAAACTGTAGCTGGGCAATCTAGTTGGTGGGGTCGTTATACTCTACATAAGGTATCGATGACGACCCAAAAGCACAAGATGACGGGCTTATTTCTTCTGTACATGATCCGAGACCTCCGCAGCCAGTGCGCGTTTCTCATACTTGACATGATAAGAGTTTCCAATAACGAACTTAGATGTCGCACGAAGTAGCAGCGAAATATGCATACTTTGACAGTGCCCGTTGCCATTCTAGCATGAAATTTCAGAATCATTGGCACTTTTATCTAATCGTATACCTTACTATCCATAATTTCCAGTGAACCAGGGTGTCCCGGTCTGGCAATAGGATGTAATGTAGCTCAGAATACTATGGGGTGTACAGGTTAACTTTGAGCTCAGCCGAATCGACCCTTTGATCTCAAGCATAACTACTACACAGTAGAACGGTCACCTCGACATTCTTTTGTGCAATGAAGCGATCTTTGGTAATACAAGAAGAAAAGGTTTGGTGGCAGCTGAAGTTATCCTTCTTCTCCCAGGATACTACATAATCGCCTCAAGTTTAAATAGTCAAATCACCGGCGCCTCGCTTTGACTACACGCCTGAACAACAATATCTCGGTATTCTCTTGCGTCCCGATAATTCGTAGACTACCACTTGCCCCCATCACTGTGCTCAGACCTGCTGACCCAGGCGATGCATCAGAATCATACCCCGAGTCGAGTAAAAACTAGTTCCAGACCGTGCATATTATAGGTGCATTTTCTTTCCGAACCACCTTGGGGCCCCACGAACGTAGATGCGGGGGTGACTTGTATACCCCGTGAGGAGAGCCAGGTCGGTGCGTTGAACAGCGATTCCCTTTATTCGATGGTACAAAAGGTGGAATGGAGTAGGACGCGCGAAGGTGGCTCGTAGCAAACAAATTCTGTTAGTAGTGGTAACAGAAGCCAAGAAGATTGTGCCTTGTAGCTGCATCTTTTCAAGGAACAAGGTCAAGACTCGTGTGCTTGCTTCGCCGTGCAACGGTCACGGCTATTACCAAAATTTCAACATGATGAACAAGACTATAGTTTTCTTATTGACAGTAGGTGGCTTGACCTTGAGCCACGGTGCAGAGTTGTCAGCAGCCACTTACACGGCAACATCATCGGTCTTGGCGGCGTCACCCACCGCGAGCTTGGACTATGCCCAGTATGAAGGGAGTAGATATGCCGCTGGTGTGGATGCCTTTTTGGGCATGCGCTTTGCCGCTCCGCCCGTGGGCGACTTGCGGTTCCGGGCGCCACAAGATCCCTTGGTCGAGGCTGACGGCCAAGAAGCCAAAGAGGTAAGTCAAGCATACTAGCAGAGAAAGCTCGAATCCAAGCCCGTCGGTATAGATCCCGCAGGGTTGAAACTGACATGAGCAAACTTTATAGTTTGGTCCGATTTGTTTAGGAACCGACCAAAGCCTTTCTTCCTCCGTGGCCGAGGATTGCCTCTTTGTCAATGTCTTCAAGCCGTCGAATGCTACCACTAAGTCAAAACTCCCTGTTTGGGTGTATATTCAGGGCGGTGGATATGCGACCAACTCAAACTCCAATTATAATGGGAGCGAGGTTGTACAAAAGTCGGATTACGGCATCGTCTTTGTCAATTTCAACTACCGAGTAGGCCTCTTTGGCTTCCTGGCAAGCGAGGATGTGAGGCAAAATGGTGACTTGAACGTCGGTCTGCTTGACCAAAGAAAGTTGCTATACTGGGTACAAAAGTATATTCAACAGGTATGTCCGCCACGCAGGAAAAGAAAAACAGATCGTGTCTGACACTCGGTAGTTTGGTGGCGATCCAGATCATGTAGTCATCCACGGGACGTCGGCTGGTGGTGGTTCCATTTCGTATCACCTTACAGCATATGGTGGTCGTGATGACCACCTCTTTGTCGGTGCAATCGCGCAATCACCATTTTGGCCCACCGCCCCTCAGCCAGAGGAGATGGAGTTCCAGTACGAGCAGCTTCTAAATGAGACGGGCTGCCTCGCGTCCGATGACTCCCTGGCTTGTCTACGCTCCCTCGATACTAGCTCCTTTGTGCCGTTTGATGTCGAGGGCACATTTCCTGGCGCCTCGTCCGTGGCCCGGTGGTATTGGCTACCCGTCAAAGACGGCGACCTCATTCGCGACGACAAGTGGAACATGTACGACAGAGGAGAGTTTATCAAGCTTCCCTTGCTGGTGGCGACCGACAACAATGAGGGCTCGTACTTTGTACCAAATGCCAGCACGAGCTCAAATGTGACGGCATTTTTCAAAGATAATTACCCAAAACTCAATGACACAGAACTACAAGACATCCTCGATGCGTATCCGCTTATGTCGCCTCTACCCAAACACGCCGTCTGGTTCCCCTCGGTTTCGGCGGCTTATGGCGACGCAACCTTTCTCTGTCCTGCCAATTCAATGGCGGAGAACATGGCGAGCTATTTCTCCCCAGATGAGGTGTGGCAGTATCGTTGTTACATCACTACTGCTTCAAATGTAGCCAATGGCCTCGGCACGCCTCACACCATGGAGATGCCAGCAATTCTAGGTACGAGTCTACAGAGTTCGGTGGACAGCACATGGTTTAACGAGAACGCGGCGAGTGTGCCTGTCATAATGCACTATTATATCAGCTTCATCAAAGCGCTTGACCCGAATATATATCGATACAAGACTGCGCCTTTCTGGGAGTCTTGGGGATCGGACGCGGGCCGGAGGTTGCATCTCGAGACTAATGCGACCTGTATGGAGAGTGTTCCGCAGAGTATGACCGACGACTGTTCCTTTTGGGATGAACTTTCAGACAGCATGGAGGTTTGAGATTATATTGTGGTATTATTACCTGAGCAGTAGATAGGAGTGATGGAGGACGTGGCATTACTGAGGAATAATTAAAAAATGGCGCCTTTCAAAGTAAGCCGAGCAAGATCTCGGAGTAATCGGAGATATTTCAGAGACTTGTCACTATGAACATGTCTATGAAGCTTGTCAGTTCAAGAGGAGGTCGGCTCACGGCAAGAAGGACTTTATTGTTTCAGTACATTCCAGTATCTCAAGTAACTCCCGAGTTGCCAGAGTGATACTGAATCATGTTGGCAAGACGGTAACGTTTTCTCTCTCAGACATGTGCGCGGATTCTCTTGATTACCAATGTAGATTCACCCAACAACGCTTGGTCATAACTAAAAACAAATTGAACCAATACCTGATGCCTGATTAAAAATCCGTAGCCCCCCAGAATGAATTGGCCGCTTTGACCAAGAGCACCTGGCTCTGGTAAACACCATTGTCTGCCCCTTTGGCCGAGTTCCGCCACTTGACCGGGTTCCCATCCGTGTCAACCAGATCCTCATCGTCGTCGTCGTCGTCGTCGTCGTCGTCGTCGCCGCTATCCGAGTCACTGCTAAAGTTTTCCCAGTCGGCCTCGGCGTGGTTTCGCACCCTCAGCTGTGTCTTTGGGCCTTGATGAGATGACATGTGCTCTAGCGGTTTGACACTGCCATCATCGCTATCATCATCATCCTCATCAAAGAGAGCCAACACTTGTTGATCGCTCAGTGTCGTGACATTTGTAGTATTTGCTTGTTTACTGGGCCGTCCCGAGCCGTCGAGGCTAATGGCCTCGTTCATGACTAGATCATCGTCGGGACTCAGAGCGGTAGAGGGTCTTCTAGACTTTTTGGACTTTTTCTGCTTCTCTCCGTCTTTTCTACGAGATGATGCCTTGTCCTCATCCGAGGAGGAAGTGTCACTAAGCAGAATATCCTGCCAGACGGGATGGAGTTCGCGCCGCCGATGGGCACACTGCGAGGGGAAATCGCAGTGATGCCAGTCGTCTTGCGCTCTCAGCAGAAAGCTGCGATCCCGCTGATCCTCGGTGATTTGCGTCCCGGTGACTCGTCTCCGCCAAGCCCCGTACGCTGACCATCCCTCGTAATCAAACTCGGTGGTGCACGTAATAGGGTTACCGCTCCGGTCCACCCTGCGCTTACGAGTATTACTTGTCCGTTTTCTACCAATACCACCACTACTACTACCACCGCCGCTACTCCTCGCAGAAAAGGAGGCCGCCTGAGAATTGACGGAGCAAAAGGTGTGAGAGCACAACAGACAGCGTTGGGTTACGGACAGGTCGTACGTGGCTCTGCATGAACAGCATCTCCATCGCCACGGAGAGGGCACCTGCGGCGGTGGAACTCGGCTGCCCACGGGGGAGGGTGGCAGACTCGCGCGCAGGCGCCGACGAGTGATACCTCCTGATGCCTTTGTCGTTGACAAGGGTCGCGGGCTGAGTGGCGACGCGTCTTTTACTATGACTGGGTCCTCCGGCTTAATGGAAACCCTGAGATTAGAAAGGGAAGCCCGGGATACCATTTTTTTTGGTCTTTGCTTGACTAGTTTATTTTTTTCTTTTTTGTTTAAGCCTTGGCTTGTCGATCAAGGCTGGATCCGTCTTCCCGTTCCTAGTTTCTGAAACGTATATTTTTATTAGGATCCAAAAGTGAACCTCCGAGGCTATTGTAAATTGTTGCGGCTCCTGGCAGCTTAATACCGTAATACCTAGATGAGCTTTGTAATTCGTTCCTTGCTAAACTATTGAAGCAACGTTGAAAAGTTGCAATGAAACTGCAAAGGTTACGAGATTCAATGAGTGACTTTGAAAGAAGGTAGTATAAAGGATTGAATGATGCCGAAACGGCACTCGACTCAAGGAAATCACAGTAATGAAATTATTATAGAGGAAAATCTCAGGGATAGAGATGTATGACAAGGAATATTTACAGGATAGTTACTGGGTATACCATGTTCAGCATGAAATATCATCTCAGCCGGCTTTGTTCTCACTATACAAAGAATTTTACTGGCAGCTTTCTTGCACCCTGCTTTGATATGGTTAAAGAAGGACCGCCACCGAGATTAAACATCACAAAGCTTCATTATTTCATTGAACACGAAACAGATGAACCCCATCGAGGTAATAGCGGCGGTGACCTTTTCTTTGCATCACGATCGATGGCTGAGTTTCTGCGGGCCCTCGTTGAGAGATCAGTGGGTCTCGTCGCATATTCGCTTTACCTGGATGATGACCAATTTCCGATTCATGTTGTAAAAGGATTAACGCGAATGCAATTCCCATTGCCAAGCCTCGGGGGAGGGACAAAAGCAATCAGAAGTTTATTTTAACTCTCAGGGCCGTGCCTAGTATAATGCTGTCACAGTTCAGTAATTGTCACGCATGAAAACGATACAAATTTCTGATGAAAAGCAGCACTGCTCCCTACGCATTCAATTACTGTGTACATGGGCAAACTTGGGGCCGATTCCGGAGGGACGCGTGGACGGAATATTGTCCATGGTTGGGGGATCCCATAAGGGTGGTGATCTGGCTACTGCACGCGATGTCTATACACGTGAAGCCAAGCTTTTTCGATCTCATGATTGGAGGCCAAAAAAGTCTTGGAATGTGATGATCGTTGCCAGAGACAGTAGGAACTCGACCAGTGGCGTCGGCTATAGCCTTTGGGGGCAGTCTCGGCGTCCAAGAGGCCTAGATCGCGTCAATGTGTGTGTGTACCACACGATTCAAAGCAGCAAGTCGTTTGGCGGGCCGTGACATTTTCGTCGAGACAGAAATCCGGTCGCTCCCAAAAGTGGTGCCGATGAACAGCACATCGTAAGGCTTTCTCTAAAAATCAATGGAGTATTCTGCGCGCGAAGGCGCTTCTAGATCAAATAGTATCAGAACAGACATGCAACGGACAAAGACTGAAAATGGGCATGAAACGGGCCGATCTATTCAGTCACATTTTCTCTGACCAGAGCCCAAAGATGTACCAACAGCCAGTCAGCCCACTCACCAATGGGTCAGGTTTGGAGGTAAATGGGGATCTCGGTCGTGCCAATGTGCATACTGCAGGAGCTGGCATCTGCGAGACGGGAAGTGGTCCCTTAGAAATCCTTCAGATGCAAGTGAGCAGCAGTAACCGACAGTACGGTTCCGGACTAACACATTCTGGGAGGACAGCTCCTGTCGTAAGTTGCTTCGAAAGAAGACTAGATTGGGCAGAGAGGTAGGTAGGCTGGGATGTAGTAGGTCAGCCCTTCGGAATCCGAGCGTAAACCGTCTCCTACTTGAATTGTGGAGGATATTCGTTTGTACCTTGTAGTAGTCAGTAGTCGTACGCTACGTTACCTACTACTCCTCTTCTCTCTCACTCGATATGTCTGCTGCATGCCAAGATGCACAGACGACTTGTAATGGCAAATCCATACACCAAACAGAAGGAGGCAAATGTGAAGCTTTATCTCGAGAGCTTTCTTGAGGGCGTTATGGCGCATTGGACGAGCCAACCGCGGGATCGAATGATTTGGGGGTCTGACCTGTGATCCCTCGAGTCCCTTGCTTGGAGGGTTCCATTGCATATGGTGCCATGGACAAGGTAGGGAATTTACGCACATCCACTCCTCCATCCGCGGAGGAACACAAAACCCCTCTTCCATTTTTTTTTTTTTTTTTTTCCCTCTTGTTCCCGCCAACATGGCTTACCGCCAACCCGCTTGACTCCTTCAAGGCTCCAAAAGACTACGTACAGGGGCAGACCAATACACTATTACACAGTATACACTAGGGACGGGGGAATAAAAAAAATTTCAAAAAATCCTTGTGGACATGGGAATAGCACCTTGGTGACGGTTCAGTTCACTTGCATATTCAGCTCGTGCAACTAACATCATAATAGTGGCTACTGTGTACACATCGCGGCGGCCCAACAAGACATCGGTCGTCCCCTAAAAGGAACGATCTGGATCGTTATTGGAAGAAGAGGCTGCTTCCAGTAGTGTAGTGTATGGAAACGAAAGAAAAACTTTTTCCATCATGGCATCCAATGATGGCCCCCTTCGGAACAAGTTTGGGAAGGAAATGGCGGCCGATGTTCGCAGCTATCAGATGGAAAAGATAATCTAATCAGCGGAGACGTCGACAGGGAAGATTTGCACCAAGGTGAGTGGGTGTTGTGTGTGTGTGTGGATCGAGCCCAGCGCCAGGTGCCGTGCCATGCCTGAATGGCCCTGAGGATCCATTGACGAACCCATGGTGCCGCCGGCCACGCAGACGCTATACCCACACTATACCGCTTCTGCCAGGTTTTCGTAACCGAAGGGCCGCGAAAAGGTCCCCACCCACCATCCCGAGGCCCTGAGGCCTTTTGCTGGGAGGGCGTCTGATCATCTGATAAGATAATTCGTGTCGCTCAGCTTCCCAAACGCAGCAGTCGTCCGTTCCGTGGTGTGGGGAGCCATGTCCACTTAACTTGAGATCCGACAGCGTGTTATTGGATTTGTCGAGGAAGAAAATCTCTGCATTCAGACCTGGGCCCGAGACGGGCAAGGCAAAGACGGGAGAAACAGGCGGGATATGCGATGCGAGGCAAGGACAGGACAGGCCAGGGCCCAGTGAGCGGGGATCGTGTAGTGTAGTGTATTCATAAATTTTTCTCACTTTCTCTTTGTTACTGTGTCTCCCAGCTAGGTATGTACCAATAAACAGTTGTATTTTTTGCCTCTGCCGTTGGGCTGGCGTGTCGTGTGGACTCGGAGCCGATACCCATGACCGACCGAGGAAGAGGTAGTAGGTTAAATCTATGTGTGGAAATGGCTCCGGGAGTATTAGTGATTTGAGCTGCATGGCATACAACGGGAGACCCGCCACCCAACCGAAAGTTGCATTCCGCGCGAATATATAGTAGCATTGGACGTGCCTCAAATCTGATCGTCGTTTCTCTTCCTTTCTTGTGTCGTGAGCTGTGCATCTCTTCCCCTTCTTCCCTTTGCCATAACTTTTTTGGATCAAGTTCTTATACAACTTGATCTCAATAAAGGGAACCCACCAAACCCAAAGCTCTCAAAAAAGTCGCCATGGGTCTCAAGTTCCGAGGCGGCCTTATTGGCCCCAAGAACATCGGCCACGATGTCACCCTTGAGGAAAAGCAAAACGATACCGAGGGACAGCCTCAAGGTGTCTTGGGCACTGACAACAACAAGGAGCTCGACCCGACTGTTCAGCCCGCCGGAGCCACTGGCTCTTCTACCAGCTCCGTTGAAGAGAAGAAGGACCTGCAATTCGGTGTCCAGGTTGCCGAAGCTACCCTCCAGGTATGGACCAGGGAGCACCTGATTGCCGCCTACATCATGTAAGTCATCATTACTGGTCAACCGAATTATCTTGATGATATACCATATTATCGACTTTGGACAAAAGAGAAAAACGATCATGGCCCTGGACCAAGCACAGACGGAGCTGACTGACGATTCTTTCCAGGATGTGGCTGATCAACTTTGTCAACGCCTTTGCCTCTGGTGTCGCTGGTACCCTGACTACCTACGCCGTCAGTAGTTACTCGTCTCACTCCCTCGTCTCAACCACCAGCATCATTTCCGGTCTTATTCCTGGTCTCACCAAGCTCGCCTACGCCAAGTACATGGACAACTTTGGTCGCCCCCAGGGATTGCTGCTCGCCGTCAGTTTCATGACCATTGGTCTGGTCATGTTTGCCGGTTGCAACAATGTCGAGACCTACTGCGCCGCCGCCGTCTTTTACTACACCGGATACTCGTGGCTCGACTTTACCATTACCATCTTCATTGCCGATACGTCCAAGCTGAGGAACCGAGCCTTTTCCATTGCCTACATCTCCTCCCCCTGGCTCATCACCACCTGGGTCTACGGTTACGCCTGCGACAGCATCCTTGACGGTATGGGCTGGCGATGGGGATACGGTATCCTCGCCATTGTCGTGCCTGTTGTCTGCGCACCCCTCGGCGCTCTCTTCTACTGGAACCAGCGCAAGGCCATCAAGGCGGGACTCGTCCACGTCAAGCCCCACGGACGTGGTGTCATTCAGAACATTGTCTTCTACGGCAGAGAGTTTGACATTATCGGTATTCTGCTGGCCGCCGCCGGTATTGGTCTGTTCCTCTTGGCCTTCAGCTTGTACTCGTACCAGACCGAGCAGTGGAAGGCACCCCTGATTATCTGCTTCTTCATCTTTGGTGGCCTGCTGATCATCTGCTTCGTTGTCTGGGAGAAGTACTTTGCGCCCATCACCTTTATCCCCTGGTACCTGATCAAGAACCGAACCATCTTCTTCACCTACAGCATGATGGCCTCCATCTACACTGCCTGGTACGTTTGGGACAACTACCTCTACTCCTTCTGTATCGTCGTCTACAACCTGAGCGTGCCCCACGCCACATACATGGGCAACGTCTACACCATGGGTAGCACCTTCTGGGCCATTATCTTTGGTATCTTCCTGCGCTACAACGGTCGCCTCAAGTGGCCCGCCGTCTTCTTTGGTGTCCCCATCACCGTCCTCGGCGTCGGTCTCATGATCAAGTTCCGTCAGCCCGACGTCAACATTGGCTACGTTGTCATGTGCCTCATTTTCATCGCCTTTGGCGGTGGCACCCTTGTCATCTGCGAGCAAATGACCGTCATGGCCGTCTCCAAGCACAAGAACATCCCCGCCGTCCTGGCCATGGAGGGCATGGTGGCCGCCATGGGCCAGTCCATTGGCTCCACCATTGCCGCCGCCATGTGGACGAGCATCTTCCCCAAGAAGCTGGCCGAGTTCCTGCCCGCCGACGCCCAGTCGTCCCTCAGCGACATTTACGGCAGCATCGATGTCCAGAGCTCGTACGCCGTCGGTACCCCCACCCGCACCGGTATCGAAAACGCCTACGGCGCCACCCAGAGACTCATGCTCATCACCGCCACCTGCATGTACGCCACCACCTGGTTCAGCACCTTCATGTGGGAGAACATCAACGTCAAGGAGATCAACCAGTTCGACGGTGCCGTCATGTGGTAAAGAAAGGAAGAAAAACAAAAGTTTGGAAAGCCCGTTGGCTCTACTGGCACTACAAGGTGCTTTGATCAAGCCGAGATTCATTCTGTCTTTAGAATCAGGATCTCACAATCGCACATGGGATTTTGCTTTCTTGTGAAAGTAAAGTGCTACCTATAGTGGATATCTCGTCTCGGGTCTTTTGGAAAAATTACTCGAGCATGACGTGCATGAGCACGTATACAGTCATTTGTTTGTTTTAATCAATTATACCCCTCTGTTTTGCATCAAAACTACCTTTATTCATGAATATCATTATGTGACATGACGTGCATATGTGGTTCCGATCATAGTTCATTGTCTAGGTTTCTTGACAATTGTTTCGGTCCCTTGTCTCATCAGTTGTCCATCCGCATTGTCAACTTGGTTGCCCCTTTACTGAATTGAACATGCTGATAAAGGCATTGACCAGTGATAGTGGCTCATTCTTCACATATTTGGTATTTATAGATGCTTCAAGCAGTATGAAATTATGATACAGCAACATTCAGCCAATACTGAGCAGCGCAATCATCCCATCTTGTCCAAGAGCACCGCCCAAACCTGGAGAAACAAAAGTGACTTGCAGAATTATTACAGGTAATAATCCAAAATGAATCACAACGAGGAGCCATTTCACTTTGACCAGGCAATGGGTCCCTTTGCCAACGACAACCACAGCGTGGCTGTCGGCCCATCCCTGGCATTTAATGAGTTCGCCAGCATGACCAACACCTTCCCGCCCTTTGGACCGGTCCCCGTTCTCTGCGCCGGCGGCTGCGGCATCGCCATTCAGCTCGCCACCTCGCCCTGGTGCGACGCCTGTCTCCCGCCGACGCCTTGCACCCGCATTGGCTGTTCCAACACGGTCTCGCTGCTCCAGGACGGCGTCGACGTGGATGTTTGCCTCGAGTGCCGCGGGCTCAAGCTGTGCGCCGGCCAGGGCTGCGCCACGGTGCTGTCGGCCCAAGAGTCCGGCGACTTGTGTGCGTCGTGCGGTTACATTGCGCCCTGCGCGGCCCGGGGCTGCGAGTCCATGGTTCCCGCCGGTCGGGACTGGCCGTTTTGCGACCTTTGTACAAAGGCCTGTGCCACGGATGGCTGCCCAGGAGACGCGGCCATGGGGCTGTTTTGTGTTGATTGTGAACCTAACGCTTACGCTCAGCTACAGGCATATGTACAGCAAGAGCAGCAGCAGCTCACGTATGGTGAGTATAATGCGAACATCATGATGGAAGACGAGACGCCGTTATTCGAGACCGGGCTCGATATTTTTATCGACTCACCGTCGCTAATCCTGACTGAGGAGACGTTCGATTCCCCGCTTGAACACGAATTCCTTTCCAATACACAAGATATTGGATTTACTGGCATTGCCCATCCTCAGTTAAGCATGTGTGATGAGACAATGTTTCCACCTGTTGAATATCAGGTGAGTACTGGCTCCGAAGAACGTGTCGTGCCTTTAGACTTGCTGATTTCACCATTCTCACCGCCTGAAACTGATCTCGCAGCTCTTTCCAGTCAATGCGTCAGATGCCGCTCTGCTTTTATTGGGGAAGTCGGTAGGTCGTATTGCGCGCAGTGCAACTCCGAGGCTCTGGTGGTTGCGGGAGAGGAAGATATCACAGACCCTATTCCATTTATGCCCCATGACGCGTAGAAATGTAGAAGAGCTGAGTCGACTTGGTAGGTCGATGAGTTTACAGGTAAGTATTGTGTTGGAGCGATAGAACAGATCAAGTAATCAATTCGACCACCAAGAGCAACCTTTGACTTTCCCTTTTGCCTTGATTTCACCAAGCATGTCCTTCAAGGCTTTCATCAGTAGAATCGGTATCCAAGAGGTGAATGAAGTAAGCCGTATATCGCGTGTGAAGGACTGACATGAAGGGATTCCCGAACATTCTGATGATTTGATTCATCTGTCTTTATACGGACCATTAACTCGATTCGTCACATTTTGCATTGTTTAATAACTCTTTGGAGTAGCGAAACCACTTGTTATACATTCATGCCTATCGATAGAATACGGGGGAAGTCAATCCACCTGCTTGTCTGGTATGGCAGACGAAATTTTGACTTTTTTTTTCTCACCACCACTCGTGTCAGTAAACCTGCCCAAACACTAGGTAGACATCTCATACACATTTTGGTGTATTGTCTGCTCTCCAAAAACACAAAAGACCAAGACCGGATCTTTCAACCAACGAACTAAACCAAGAACCGACAAGCTGAAGACAAAGAATCAAGAACGTTTGGAGACCTAAGCCTCAATAGCCTTGTTCTTCTTCTTTTGCTCAACCTTGAGAAGCAGGGCGCGGTTGATGTGTGGCAGAACACCACCAAAGGCAATGGTGGCACGGATGAGGGTGTCGAGCTCCTCGTCACCACGGATGGCGAGCTGCAGGTGGCGAGGTGTGATACGCTTGACCTTGAGGTCCTTGGCAGCGTTCTGGATTGTTATGGTCAGTAAAAGTTCTTGTTGCAAGACAGAGGAACGCATGGGGGCAGGAAACAGGCAGCAGGACGGAAGGGTAATGACTCACTCCTGCCAACTCGAGGACTTCGGCAGTCAGGTACTCGAGAACTGCTGTGACATAGACGGCTGCCTTGGCGCCAACGCGCATCTTGTTTTGGGTGTTTTGCTTCAAGAAACGCTTGACACGACCGCAAGGGAACTGTGAGGGGGAAATGTCAGTGCATGCATCTAGACCATCACTGAGCATTCAAACAATGTATCCGGTAGGTATCATGGCAACTGGTGATGAATGAGGCGCAATTTTCGTCGGATGTTGCGGAGCTGCAGTGTTGCGCCGGGTCACGTCCAATGTCTCCTGCTCATGAGGGGTCGTGTTGTTGACGATGCGACGCGCTCACGATAGTGGTGCAAATGCGCGCAAATGAGTTGGAGATGGGTGCATCGTGACCATCATTGCTGGCATGCGCGCATAGAAGAGAGAACGAAGCCCAATAATTGCAGACGCGTCCTCAAGTATTGTTGTGTGCATCGTCGTAAATTTTGCGTGGGGTCGAGTGGTGCAAGTTGAGCTCGTGCGTGCGACTTTGTTCGTCGGGGTCGAGTATCAAAGTTTCGAGGTGGCTTGTCGCGAGTCGCAAAGACGAAATCGGTACCGAAATTTGTGATGCATCCATTGCCAGAGCAAAGAAGGCGTGTATTTTTGCTTACCTGAAGACCTGCACGAGCCGAGTGGCTCTGCTGCTTCTTGGGACCATCGGCAGACGAAGTCTTTCCACCGGCACTCTTGCCGCCAGCTGATTTGCCCTTACCACCGGCCATTGCTTATGATGATAGATGCGATGTGCGTAAAGTGGGAGATTTTGGTGTCGGGATGGGGGTTGCAGAAAAAAAAAAGTCGATGGCGATGAATGTTGTAAACGGTTTGCGACGCGTCGGGTTGGCTCAAAGATGTGAGATGGAAATTTGTTGATGTTTTTTTCTCGATCCTGGCTAAAAGCTGGCCTTGGCTGCTTGGTCGTTCGGAATGGTCGTGGTGAGAAAATCGATGGCGGGCGGCGTGCAAAAATCAGCATCAAAGCCGTCCAGGTAAGGCACCGACCTTGCTAACTTTGACCTTTGAGCTTGTCCAGAGCTTGGGATTGGTTCCTTCTGCTGAATGTGCCTTGTTGGGCGCCTGCAAAATCATTCAAACAACCCCAAATTCACCCACCATTTCGTGACACCTTAGCAGGCAGCGCCCGCCCGTCTTTGTTTGCTTGCTTTGCATAACGCCTCCAGCAGGCACCATTGGGTACCTCGTTGGCAGGCTGCTTGCTTGCCTGCTTACCTAGTAGCAGTGGGCGCCCACCACCTAAACGATAGGTTTCCCCTCTTGGCATCAATTGGGAGGGGGGTGGGTGCTCAAGGCTTGGAGATCCGCCAGGCTGCTGTCATGGCAAGGCGCCAGCTGCCTCTAGAAATGCGAGTGCCGTGGCCGATGCCCGACCCACCAGATAAGGTGTATCTGTCGGGCAGCTTGGTACGCCGGAGAAACTACGGCTGTCCAGACGGACCTAGTGCGCAGCCTGAGGAGAATGGGAAAGACGATATCAGGAAAGAGGGAAGATGAGAAGACGCCTCACTTGAGAAGTCTATGGACTGATGGCGTCCAAAAAGCTAGAAATCCGCTCGGCAGAGTTCACAGAACCTGCCACAAGCTTTTTTGACAGGAAAGGACCAGCAGCGTGCTGGGGAACTGACCTCTGATGTTTACTTACCTCAAGCCCGAGCTGGCTGTGATCTCGAAAGTTGGCGGCAGCTAACGGGCAACCACAGCCCTTGTGTGGAACTTTGGCCCATTTCCGGGCTGGTAGATGACTTGCCTGATGATCTTGATGCCTTCCGTATGGTTTGGCGAGGCCAAAGATCCAATTGTGGAAGACATGTCGACTCTTGTCAATATCTTGCTGCTCAAGTCCTCATGTTTCTGACTGACTGGGAGCGGTCATTTGGAGATCAGATACGTTTGACGCTCGGACCTTGTGGTGTGGCGCACATGACATTCAAGTGTGGCGCCAATCACCCAATATATTTCATAGGCCGCCACATTTCCTGCGCGCAGGAGTGGCAGCTCTTTATGGAGTATGTACTCCGGTCGAAGCCAAAATACAAAGTACAACCAGCTAAGGGAAAAAAGAGAAACTTTATAGACAATTGTCGATGGTAAGCTCTCGAGTATATTTCTATTCTCTTACCTTGTTGAACTTCATTCATGAACATCATCGACATCTTCACGAATATGTCATGTAAGAATGTTCACGGTGCACTCCATCTTCAAGTACCCCAGCATTATAAGCTGAGCGTCGTCCCAATTCTCTGAGACCGTTACAGAGTATTATGTTTGCATCCAAAAATCAAATGAATAGGCCTACAGTATTGAGATGATTGCGGGTATATGCCAAAATGATTTAAAGGAACCAGCAAGTGAGCGTGCTCTGATCATAAAGGGAGTTAGAGCTCAGCCTGGCCATGAAAGTTCAAACTAGAGCATAATCCAGTATAATCACTTGCGCATCGGAACACACTATCCTGTAAACCGCGGCAAGTATTATTTTCTTTACAAATATTGCATGTCAGCTTCACCTCCCAGACCGAATGTCACCAATCGTATGCGGCTCGAACGACGGTGCTTTTCTCTGCTTCGTTTTCGCACCGGAGCCCCCGAAAACTTACGATCCAACGTGATCATACGAGATTCGCCAAACCGAAAAAGTGGGGCTTTATGGATGATGCCGGCAAGAGTCCAGACGACACAGTCATCATATCATAAATTCACTCGCCGTCGCTTGTCTCTCAACATTTACAATCACGCTCAAATACAATAAACACCACGACCTGGCTCAAATCTGAGAGGAAGAGACAAACTCAACAAGGCAGAGGGGGGGAAAAAAGCAGATACTCAAGATGGCAACATTACAACATTCGCCGATCCACGAGAAATGGATCCATGTGGTCAAGGAGCAGCAACGCACCATAGTCGCCAAATTGGAAGAAATCGACGGGCAGAAATTCCACGTGGACGAGTGGACCCGGCCCGGCGGCGGCTACGGCATCTCGTGCGTCCTGGAGGACGGCAACGTGTTTGAGCGCGGCGGCGTCATGGTGAGCGTGGTCCACGGCACCATGACGGGCGCGGCGGCCGTGGCCCAGATGCGGGCGAGCCACGCCTCCATCCCCGAAGGGGTCGAGGCCCTGCCGTACTCGGCCGTCGGTCTGAGCCTCATTATGCACCCCAAGAACCCCCTGGCGCCCACTGTCCACATGAACTGTCGCTTCCTCGAGACCTTTGATCCCGAGACGGGCCGGGTGAATCTGTGCTGGTTCGGCGGCGGCGCCGATCTCACCCCGTGCTACGTCTATGAAGAGGACGCTCGCCACTTCCATGCGTGCCTCCGGGACGTCTGTGATCGGTACAATGAGACGTACTACCCGCGGTTCAAGAAGTGGTGTGATCAATACTTTTGGAACGCGCACCGGAACGAGGCGCGCGGCATTGGCGGCATCTTTTTTGACGACTTGGAGGCTTCCTCCGAGCAAGAGCTCGACTCGCTCTTTGGGTTTGCGCGGGACGTGCTGCAGGTGTTCCCCGAGGCGTACCTACCCATCGTGGAGAAGCGCCGCCACGAATCCTTCACCGAGGCCCAGAAGCAATGGCAGCAGCTCCGGCGTGGTCGCTACGTAGAGTTCAATCTATTACACGACCGGGGTACAAAATTTGGGCTGGCTGGCTCGAGCCCGAGGGTGGAGAGTATCCTGGTATCTATGCCGCTCACAGCCTCTTGGAAGTACTACCATGAGCCGGAAGCGGGCAGCCGCGAACAACAATTAGTAGATGTACTCAGAACACCGAAAGAGTGGGTTTGAATGGTTACAACATATATTTTCTGTGGGAGTGAGATGGTGGAAGAGCATGGAAGCACAAAATCACCTACCTGCCCGTTGTCTCAGGTCTTGACCAGGTACGGATATAACAAGGCTCTACCGCTAGAGAGCCATCATCACGGAACAGAGGGAAAAGAGGGAGCCCCCAGTGTAGCAAAATGGCCATAGAGTCAGTGTTGTGATTAGATTGAAGGTCTTGCATGACTTTATTCCTGTACTATAACCATTTGTCGAGAGAAGAGGGAGGAGGATAATTAACAAAAGCCGCACATTTACAGTGTAGAGCTGTTAATTGAGAATCCCTTGGGAGATGTTGCTGTATTTCTCAGAGTATGAACGGGAAGCTCTTAATCCAGATCTGGAAAACCACTATATATTTATATACACAGGTATATACGTGAACGGCTGTAATAATCGGGCGCCTCTGAATACAGGTCAATTGATTCAAATTTCATGTTCAAAAAAATCCTTTGGACTTGACTGCCCCTAACCCTTGCACGATAGGATACTGAGCGTTTCGGTGCTCGTTGCTCAAAGTTGAATCTGTACAATATCGTTACAATGGAACTTCATTCATACGATTAGACACATGAAGCTAAAGACAGTGCAAACGACGAGACAAGGAGGTAGGTATATTACGAGTCAGTTGAAAACCACTTTTTCGATATCACGCCAATTCCTAAGCGATTGTGAGCTGATCCTCCCACTGTTGACTGCCGACTTCACCTCAAATGTTTCCCCTTCCCAACGCTGGGCCCACGCAGTAATTCCAGGGCCAATATGTCGCAACAAAACAACCAGAATGACCGGGGCGTGCGCATTCATAATGCAATCAAGTATTGTAAGATGGTTGCTGCAAACTCATATGATGGATGATGTTCAAGCCATGACGGCAAGCAACGCATAGAGGGAACGCGTGATAAAATAGATGCGATGTTATACAAAAATCCCAATTCAAGCCTTCGTTGTCTCTCCTCCGTGCGGCTCAACTCATCCTGTCTTCACACATCTCTCATGTTGATCTCATCGCATTGAAGAAAAAATTCATCTTCCACCATTCGTTCGTCTTCTCATCGTTTCGTTCTTTCATGTCCAATCAAGCGGGACTGCTGACCCCGACCAGCACCGGCACCCAAGCCCCCCCGTGGTAGCATAATGCCGATGTTTCCATCCGCAAAAAGCCGAGAAAGGGCATCTATTAAATTTTCCACGTCTCATCGCCAGTCCATTGCCAGTCCAATTGCCAGTCCAGCCAGCCAGCATCGCGCTTGCCATCTAAATGATGTGCATATGCGTCATAACAGCGTATCCATCGTAAAAGGGATTCTCTAGGTGAATCGCCCGTCAGAGGTGCTCGAGGTCGAAGAGAAATCCCAGCAGGGTATAGAAGTAGAGTCGTGATGCCATGAATGGTTGCCCATAAACACGCTGTATGGTGTATCCAGTGAAGGTTGTTGGCGTTAAAATGCTGGCGTCAGTCGTCACCGAGGGGTATATAAAACGGATCCTTGGAACGTCCCTCCCCAGTTCCAGAACGATCACCCTAGGCCATCCGCAAGTCACACAAGTTTGTGACTGCCAGATGAGCCATCCCATTTTTTTTTCTTGTTTTCCTCAACTTCCAATACACCCGCGGGTCAATGCAGCTTCAAAAATAGAACTCCAAAAACACAAAATGGCGAGAGATGATATTACAGGGAGTATTAGGTCGGTGCTTGCGCCAATATGGTCGAACGGAAATTTGAAATTCGTTGAGAGATGGATAGTATTGGTGACGGCTCCAACTATTGGCGTCAAATGCTGAGCTTTCAATGGCTCTGAAAGCGTCCAGTCTCTATGTCGTAAATCGTCTCTCATTGTTGACTGATAGATGTTCGGGGCATTGATGCCATCGCATATAAATTTTCTTCACTGGTCATATATCTCAATGGAATCGAGTAGCGGCAGTGCGGCTGCCAGCATCGGAGGAATCTGAAATGAACATTAGTTTCCAAAGGCCGCAAATGACTGTGTTTTCGACTCCAGCTTACCGCTGTTCCTCTGCATATGGCCTCGGTTGCGGCTGTTGAAGGCCTCACCCCACTCCGGTCCACGTGGCTGCCGGTCGGGGGCGGCACGGCTGGGTGCGGACGTATTGCCACCAACAGGTCTCTGGCTACCGATCGCTCCAGGAGTCGAGCGGAGATGCGAAGAAGTGGGATCATATCCCAAGCTCAAAGAGCCCATACCGCCCGACAGCAGGGTATCCGTGCTGGCCCCGGGATTCTGTCCCGATGTAGGTGTCAGGTTGGGCGGAGTGGCAAGGGAGCCATAGTCGCCGTATCTGGAAGCACCGAGCCCGTTTCCAATACCGGCATAACTAGAGCCAGATGGAGCAGGGCTGGGACTGTGAGTGCGCAGATCGGCAAAGCTCTTGGCGGCGCGAAGATTGTTCGGGATGCCGCTTTCAAGAGAGTTGGGCAGCTCCAAAGTCGGACCCTGTCTTCCAATAGTATGGTAGGCGCTGCCTGCTCCAATTCTTGACTCTGCGAAATCAAAGGTGGCGGCGCGGCTGAGTCCTCTTCTGTGATCCTCCCACGAAACATTTGGCGGGAGCTGGTGCGGTGCATGCATGGGTGGCGACTGCTGAGCCTTCTTGCTGATTTGTAGCTGGCGCCTGTCATTCTCGCCAATAGAGTGGTGCTCAAGACCCATGTTGTGAGCGAGAATATGGATCTGTCGTCGTTCTTCGGGCGAAATATCCGGAGAAAATATGTACGTCTCTCTAGTCTGGTCGCGCTGGAACATGGTGAGTTCAGTGTAGAACTCAAGAGTCTTCGGATTGTTCAAGTCGATATCACCTAGGACTAGTGAGCGAGCCGGCGCATGTTGGATCGGGGAGTGCAAACTGCGCTTACGGATAGGCGAGCCGTTAGGTTGCTTGTTGACGCTGACACCAAGAGCCTGGAGAGCGGTTTGCTGATGTTGCGGAAGGGGGGCCCGGTGCTGTTCTTCCAGTTGACCACGCTTCTCACGCTTCTCACGGTCAATACGGTCCCTCTCTTCTTGGGGGAGCATCTTCTTATACTCGACGCGTAGCTTGCGTCCCATGACCTCCAGTCCGTTCATCTTCTGAATGACAATAGATGTGTCTTCTGGAGTCGAAAAGTTGGCAAAGGCAAGTCCTCGGAAGACGCCCTTATCAAAGTGGTAGTTGAAAGCATACGGCTGGGGGAGGTTGAGCGAGGCCATAAGACCTTGCAATATCTCCTTCCGACACTGAAATTGGATGTTCTTGATCACAATAGCTGTCGGAATGAGCTGCTCGTCCATGGAACCCGGCGTGTTGAGACCGCGGTGATCGGTGATGCTTCCAATGTCGTGTTCGCCTGGCATGTTGTGGTCGTAGTACTGGTTCATCGAGGGCATGGGAGGAGCAGGCTGCTCTGTCCAGGTCTGCAACAAAGATATTAGTTATGCGTGGCAAAAATGGAGAACCATTATTCAAGGACACATACAGTAGGAAGACCTGGTCTTCGAGCTGATGACCGCGAACCAAGTCTACTGTTTCCATTCAGGGGGCCATTCATGGCGGCGCCACCTCCGTTGTAGGCCCATGTCTGCGAATTCTCTAGCATGTAGTTGGCATTCGGGGCGAGACGATCGATTCGAGACATTGTATCGTAGCCGGATGCGCCGCCGAATCGGTCGTCGCCGTAAATGGATGGGGCCTGAGCCATGGAGTCAATGGGCCGTTGACCGCGCGCACCGAGGCCTGAAAGACCAACCGTAGCGTAGCCCTGCCTCGTGGAGCTGGGCGACCGGTTGGAAGCGGTCGGATAATCGTAGTACATTTCGTGCTGTTGGTTCATGGTTGAGATCGTGTTTTGAGGTGGCCGTTATAATGTCAAGGTTCGAGGTCGGACCGAAGCACAGCTGCTAGTACTGCTAGCGAGCTGCAAACCTCAATCCGTTTTGACCCTTCTAAAGAAAAAGCGACTGCCAAGTGATCTGCCTGGCGATTTTCAATACCCAGATGGGCAAACAGTAACTGATATGTTCACGTTGGCACTGCGCAGGACGACCGTTTGGGCTGCGCAGACTCGAGAGCACTGACGAGAGACGTGACCCTCTGCAAAGACGGCGTTCGAGCCCCTGATCAGATGTGACGGAGCCGCTTGTGAAAGGGCCCGACTCTTCTGCAGATGACAGAAGACAAGATCAAAGAAAAAAAAAAGTAAAAGGAAAGATCGTCGGGGGGGTTTGATCGTGCGGACGTCGGCAAAGTCGTGGAAGGCTGGAACTGCAAGCAATGCAGCTGGATTGGCAAGTGGGTTGGGGAGACGCAGGGAGCCGAAAACCACGTCGTACTTCGTCACGGAGGGCCCAAGCCGGATAGGTTAGGACTCCGTATGGTAGGAATGAGGCGAGACCGCCAGGGGGGGTGGAGGGACGGATTTGGAGGAGGAGGGGAAGTAAGAGCAAAGAAAGTTTTGGCGGAGGAATGCAACAACGACTACAATCTAAGCAGGCTGAAGGTGAGAAGGAAGAAATGGCCCTTCGTCGACGACGAGATTTCGATCTCTCTCCAGTCGAGGTCAAGAGGAGGGATCTGGAGGGTAGAAAGGGTTCGAAAATCAACAAGGAGAAAATTTGGTCTGGCGACAAAAGAGGTTTGGGCGGAGAAGGAAAGATTGAACTGAACCCTGTGTGTACTAGGATTTTGGGGGGCGGCCGGTCAACTAGAAGAAGTGGATTCTCTTCTCTCTGGGCTCGCTCGTGGAGACGAGACAAAAAGACTTGAGAGAACCGGGAACTTGGGGCACCAATAATTTTTTATTTTTATTTTTCCTGCTTCATTTCTTTTAATTTCATTTATTTATATTTTGATTTGTTTTCCCAAGGCGGAACTGGTGATTATTTTGTCTGGTATGTAACCGATAGATGGATGCTAATGGACCAATACTATGTAGAGATTGAGTGAGGTACTGAAGAGACCTCTCTTAGCTATGTGCGCGCACGCAACTGTTTATGTTGCTTTCCTATTTTTTTTTTCCCTCTGCCTTCCCTCGCCTCACCCTACCTGCCAGTCAATTTGTCTAGTCGTTGACCGACAGCGATCCCCATGCAAGAGCGAGTAGGAACCGCAGCCGCGTCTATTTTTTTTTTTTTTTTTTTTTTTTAAACCGTCCATAAGGAGCTACAATTATTAGCCCAAGAAGCTGCTCGCTCTCTCTCATGCCTGACTGTGTAGCGTCGGTTGGACAATCAATTATGAATGGTGTTCACAACCGCATCTTGGTTTCAGCCATGCCTCGTCTTCCTTCCCTTCGTTTGGACTTTTATTTTTTTAATCCTCTCGGTGTCTTTCTTGCTTTCTTACCTGCTCGGCCGGCTGTGTGTCATGGGGCGAGGGTTTGGAATGGTATTGGTTGTGGAGATCTGCCTTTTTTCAACACTATGCGACGCACTGGGATCCAATAAAATGACGGGCTCTGATCTGGGTCCTCTGCCAGATCTGCCGGGTTCCCATCCAAGGGGGTGTGGCCACGGCGGGAGGGTCAGCAGGAAAGAGGCTACAATGCACGTCGATTGGAAATGGTTGGTCGGCTGCCCGTGTGGCAGCAGGGACAGATAGTAATATAGGGTAGGCAGACAAAGCCAGGTGAGCGCAATGAATGGATGGATGGCCATGGTCACCGACTGGCAGGTAGTAATAAGTCAATTCTGCGTGAATTTGGTGTCGCCGGTTTGCACATAAGCTGCATCATCTAAACGAATGAGATTGCATATCAGTATGCGCAGCTCCAACTAGGTCGTTGCTTGGCGCGTTGATTTGTTAGATGCTCATATATACAAAGCATGTAAGCTATTGGGCCAGATCCAAAATTCAGTCATGCGAGAATTGAGTCCGGCCGCACGAAAACAATGAGTAAGGAAAGCAAGGCCCTACCTACCGAGTGCCATGGTTATGGGCTCGGTAACACAATCTCAGTATCTCATAGGTGACTATCCGCTCAGACAAACGCCGTAGCTTGCAGCATCTCTGCATGTCATCCAGAGTCAAAATAGTCGGTTTCTTTAGATAGACTGTCCATGTGCCATCATTGGACGAGGACGAGCGGCAGTACTAGGCAGGTAATGGAACTTATTCAGTACTTTTAGTACGGCTCGAAGCTTGAGCCCTTTGCCAATAGTCGACCCAGACCCGTGGGTGAGTGTCAGTGAGCCATCAACGACATCACCTTGACCTAGGCTGCCTGTGCTTGATGAGCCTACCCGCTATTGGTGAAAAGGAAAGGGTAGAGCAGGGAAAAGAGAAGGAGAAGAAGAAGAAACACACGCTCGCGGGTTGGGTCGTACGTAGAAAATACCGACCATTGAACTCGGTTGGTTGGTTCAGTGGATGGATTCCCAGTCGAGTCGGTTTTTGACAGGGTTGGAGCCGATATTCCAGAAAGCCGCTGTCAATCCGTCAATCCGTCAAAATCAAGCCGGGTGGGTGGTCCCAGCAGACCGTTTCCCCTCGAGCTGTACGTATTCAGTACAAGGGGTGCACGATTCCAGTGCACTGGGTGCTTGCTTTTTCCGTCACCATGAGATCAAGGTAGATCTGTACATGGCTGCATCGTGATTAGCAGCAGATTTGTGCCGACAGGACACATGTCGAATGCATCCATCCACAACGTCTGATGATCCATCAGATATGCATAACAAAGAGTAGTAGTTGGTACTTTAGAAAGTCGGGCAGCGGCAATGCATATCACCACCACTCTGGTCCATTCTATAGGCAACTCCCTACCTAAACTTTGAGATCAAATGCACGTGTCCCAAGCACGCTGCGTCCAGGTATTCCGTACAAGTACCCAGGGAGGATAACCAGGATTTCGACCACTCAAAAATGCTTGTTGGAACAACACTAAGAGGATACCTAGTAGTAAAGAGGGGCGCTAGGGTGGCTCGCGGGACGGGCCCGTGGGCTTGTGCTTCCTCTTTTTTAGGGGTCACATATTGGTTGTATGGTTACAACTTATTGAGACTTGCATCAATCACATTGAAACCACCATGGAATTTTCCAAGTGGACACGACTGAGTATGCATGTTTCTCCAAGCAATGCGACATCACGGGCAGAGAGATGCCTACATAGACAGAACATGATGTCAAGTGATGGGAGAGAAGGACGCACTTTGAGAGGTCTTTGCCTCGTGAGCACATACATGAGATGCGACTACCAGCAGAAGGTTTTTCCTTTCTTTTCTTGCCACAGGTTCTACAGGTAGCAGCTCGAGGTGCTTTGTGGCGCTGTAGGTACGGTGGACAGGGCGGTTCAGCTACCTTTTAGCATTGCAGTAGTAGGAGATTCAAGCTGGCCGTGTTTAGTTAGCTAAGACACCTCCCACCACATCCTGCGCCACGCGATTGGTCCGAACTCAAAAGTGCACAAGATACCGTAGCAGGGTCCGAGAAAAAGCAGATGAAGATGAAGGGGGGAAAAATGTGCTCTGGTGCACAGGGCAACCGCGGAAGTCGGAGCTACTATGGAGATCCTATATGCACGTTTTTTTTTTTTTTTTTTTCAGCTGGCCGCTAGTTAGTCTCAGTGCCTAGTGCTCCGCTAGAATGGCTGTTTTTTTTTCCCCTTGTCATCTATACACACGTACCGCCTCCAGGCGTTGCCATATTTTCCGGCTTGGTTTGGTACAGAGGATGCAACAGGCCTCTTTTTTGTGTTCCATTGTCGAAATAGGAGCGTAATCAAAAGACCCCCAAGCTCTTGTGTACACTACAAAGCAAAGTACCGCAGGAACTCATCCCATTGGAACGTGATCTACAACTCAATCAGAGACTCCCAAGGCAGTAAGTAATGAGTAATAATATAACCAGTAACGGCATCTTTCATTGCCATGCCGCAAGGACACCCCAACCCGACCACACCCATTTATGACCAGCCTTGCCGCCAGTGTGCGGTCCAAGTCAAAGAGTTGGAGTCTGCCAGCCTTGCAACATCTGGATTTTGTTTAATATATGATGATCTAACCGCACGTATCCACCAAGAAGAATATACCGCTATCTACATACCTGGTGGGATTACCGTTTCGCTTCGAAGAATCACGAGACCCGACATCCGAAGATACCGTGGACTCTGCAAGGACAATCACCGCTGAAGGTGATTGTGATGCACTTATTCATCCCTTTTTTTTTTTTTTTTTTTTTCAAGAAATAACCAACATCGAATGCTACAAAAACGACTCTTGCCACGCTGCCGAGGGAATTTGTGGCACCTTTTACCAGCGACTTTACCTAACAATCATGACGGCGAAATGATTTCATTGGCATCCACACCACAAAACATGGGCACAGCCATGCAATATTGTCGAGGCCATGTAATAACTATCGCAGCGGCTCGGCACACCGATCCTTCCTTGAGCCTAGGCATGAAACGGTTCACGGTATGGTCTTTCTGGGCCAGATTGATTGTATTTCTCAAATAGTTTGCGGCTCGCGACCCGGTCACAACCCGATTGCACCAGGCATTTCCCGGTGGTGCTTTTGACAAACGTCTCAAGATGGCGGAAAACGAAGGTAATTACCCAGGTGCAATTCCTTTTTTATTAGTGCTTTCTCTACCTAACTCGCCTACTACATAGTACTACTTTGGCCACCCCTTGCGGCCTGGTGAGCTGTGCGCACCATGAAAAGTCAATGTATCGTCTTTTCAGACCAAATTTCTTTTCTCCGCCATCACTGGTGCTCGTAAGCATATTATTAGTCCATTCATTCACACACAAGCTGGTCGCTGATCGAGGTAAACATAATGGGTCAATCTCTCTTGACGGCAAAGAACTCCCCACAATCTGGTGGCAGGGAGTTGCACAGCGCACCCTGGCGATTCTAATCAAATTCTTTATTTACACGCATCGGATAATTGTCCCGTCGTTACATCATTCGCACCCAAGCAATATTTACTAACTATCCTAGATCATTCATTACTGTGTATATGTTGGCAATAGCCTCAATTAACCCGCTACAGAAGTTGGTCGTCATAAGTGGACCGGCAGCAAGAGCTTCTACTCGATACAAACACCCTGAAGTGCTCTGCTAGCTCGAGAACTTACCACTACTAGTATTCAGCCTCCCTGGCTAGTCCCCAATACCCCTATTTCATCACGTCGTCATCGACGGCGTCGAACCCATTCCACTGGGACAAATTTGTGAAGTCGGTCTTTGCCTCAATAGTTCAGACGTGGACTATGGCCAAAGGTAATCATGACTGCCGCTCACCATCTCGGCGCATCCTCACCTGAAATAGAGTCCTCTTGTTGGCCACCATAGCCTCTCCGTCAAAACTCACCTCCATTATCCCATTTCGCGACCCGACGCGTCGATCCACGTCGTCCAAGACCCTCGCCTGTCACTAAACCTGATTCCAATCGGAATGTCACCGTGTCCTGGAGTGGGCTCTTTTTGCCTCTCGCTGCGCCCCTCGTTGCTCCGCTTCTAGTCATCTTCTAGAACTCTTGGGCAATATGGGCACACTGGCAGTCTAGCCTAGTCGCCTCTCCTCCCTCTCCGAGGGCCCTGTGCGGTTACATTTGTCCCACGATCAAGCCCTGGAGATTTGGTGGCCAGGCGGCTGGGTCCAAGCTTGGCCAAGGAGAGTGAACTCCTGAGCTACACCGCCAAATTGGGCCCCTACTCATAATAAAAAGGGACGAGATGAGATTGGCCCCCCATGGTCCTCATCTAGGTACGAGATTCAAATGTCCCGCTTACATACTTTCTGCCACTGTTTTTGACTCTTTTAAGCCATATGGCTACCTTGCTGCCAAAGAAGAGGGAAAGTCTATTGGGCTTATTAGATGTGCCTCGACAGTGAGCTGGCAAAAATATGCATGACTCGAGAGCGGGCCAATCATGATGTTTGGCAAATATGCAGAGTATGCATGAGTCAGTCACCTTGGACTTGGCTCGTATGCATGGCATGCTATATTTGTGTTTGTAGAGGCGCTCACGGCGAAGACGCTGAAACATTGGATCCTCTTCTGCACGGGATCATGCACGGAAATGGGTATAGACCATGTTATCGCGGTGGCCTTTTGGAAGACTGAAACTCACAAGAGGGGCTTCATACCCTCAAGGTATTGCCCATCTAGCTGCTACCATTTTGATAAAAACACCCATCAATGTCCGAGGTATCGCTGTAGTTGCAATTGCAACAATCTCGAACCATATCCACTCATTGGATGCTCCAGTGAGCTGTTACGGACGGGAGCCGCAAAGTCTCAAAAACCATGACGTTTGTTGGCTGCAATTGAGTTGTTGTAAACTCAAGTGATGCGAGATATTTGCCTTATTATGATCTGTCTTAACACGTGGAATAATACATAAAAGACACGAGTTCAGGAAAAAAGTAGGCAGTGCACTCATACAGAGTACTTCTCCTCCTAATGGTGAACTCCACAGCTGAAGAAGAACGTCCAGATGAGGCTCAATATTACACGTGATATAGTTAGGACTTCATCCAGTCAAGTGGCACACGACATGGATCTATCTGAAATAAACAAACTAGACGGAACATCAAAGGGAGCAAAACGTCTGCGACTTCTCTCTTACATTGCAGGTTCAATTCACATTCCCACACAGCGAGAAGCTTCTGAAATATCCAAACCACATTTCGTGATCTACACATGGACACTGTCAAGTCAGGAGCTTTGGTTATAACAAGCCACGATCGAACGGATCGAGAAAGGACTTGTCATCACCTAGCCAAAGCCCAGGCTATCATAGATAAACAAATCGATCTCGAACACATCAGTCATGTTCCAGCGTCAGACTGACTGATCGTGGCGGATCTATCTTGAATACATACTGTATAAGTCATATACTTATAGGTCCTCTGTAAATCTTGCCTCTAGACTTCATGCATCTAAGATGAATCGCTTTCAGAAGAGTTTGACCATGTACCAACCTTAGCACAAATTGCCGGCTTATTGCGAAGAACTGTTCTGTATATCATGCATAGGTTTATGCCAAAGAATCTCGGAAATCAATGCGGCTTTGCCTTTTCCTCTTGCCTCCACTTATCCCCCATCTCCTTGACCTCTGCATTCACCTTTTCGATATGCGCCCGCGCCCCCGGCCACGGGGCCCGGCCTCCTCCTCCGTTATCGAATAGGCGATAGACGGCAGGGGCATTCAGCCCGTCCATGAGCAGGTTATAGAAGCGACGATCCCGCCACCAGAGCTTGCACGCGGCGAGGCTAAAGCTGCCCAAGAGCAGAGGCAGTCCGGTTCCCGCCGTGTTGTTGAGCCAGTCAAAGGTCTCGCCCCCGCGCATGCGGATGCCCAGGTGCGTGACCTTGTCGACGTGGAGGGCGTCAATCATGGCCTGATAGTGCGCCTCAATGTCGGCTTCAATCTGCGCGGCCGTCGGCAGTGCTGCCGGGGCGGCGCCGCCGCCGCCGCTCCAGAGGCTCGCCAGCGCCATGGTGGCCAGATCGTACGTCACCCACGCCGGGCCCATGATGACGAGGTGGCCTAGGAACGCCAGCGAGTCTGGGAACTGCTCCGAGATGAAGCCCCGGTACAGGCGGGGGAAGGGGTTGTCGTCCTCGTAGTGCGGCGCCGCCCGGATGCGGCGGTACCCGTCGGTCGCCTTGGCGGGGTCGACCGGGTTGCCGGCCCCCGGGACCACGGAGAAGTCGTAGCGGTAGCCCGAGCACACGACAATGGCGTCGAGGTTGTCGACAGTGGAGCCGTCGGTCAGCATCACGGTATGCGGGCCCGTTACCTCGCGGACCCCCACGACGGACTGGACGATGCCGTCTCGCAGGTTATGTGCCAGGTCGTCGGAGAAGATGGGGATTCGATAGAGCATGGGAGCACCGGGGAGTGGGCGTGGTGCCGAAAAGGAAGTGTGGCTCTTTAACCATGGAAAGGCCTTTTGTTGCGCGGCTTGCATCCCCTTGGTCATCAAGGTCAGAAAGGCCTTGGGCGTCCAGCCGCTGATGAATCGCATGATACATCCCATGCGGTACGACATGGAATGATCAAAGGCTTTACCTTGGACGACGCGCGGGAGCTATTCAAGAATCAGTGTCGATTCAAACATCAGACTGATACGATAAGAAATGTTATCATGCGTACCAAGTACGTCTGGCTTCGATGACTCAAGTAAATCTTGGCTGCTCCGACCCTCTTCAGAAATGAAGTTGTGTCGGCTCCCGTTGCACCTATCCCAATGACCATAACGTTCTTACCAGCGTACCGATGAGGATCTTTGAATTCGCGAGAATGCACAAAATCGCCTTGAAACTTTTCAATCCCGGGGATATCGACCATTTTTCTAGTCTGGAAGATACCAGTTGCTACCACTACCCGATCAAAGGTGTGCTTTTGTGTCCCGGGAGCTCCTTGAGTTGAGAAAGACTCTGTGTCAATAATCCATTGGCCCGTTGCATTATCGCGTTCTGCCTTTGCGACCTTTGTTGAAAACTGGATATGTCGCAACAGGTCAAAGTGGTTTGCATAGGCGACCAGATAGTCACCAATGTCTTTTGACGATGGATGCGTTGCCGCCGCTATGGTAAAGTATTAGTCCAGGTTTCACAGTAATTTTCTTGGTTAATATTACCATCAGGAAATGGGAAATCTGTAAAGCAGTTCTGTCTGGGTTGTAAGTCGAGGTATTCGTATTTTGGCTGGAATGCTTGCATTTGGAGATTACGAACCACTTGTTTGGAAGTATTGGATGTCGTCAATTCGGTAGCCGTGACTTGACCTGGCTTGCCCGACGCCGTGTTCCACGTGCCTCCAATTTCATCATTGCGCTCAAAAGCCGTCACGTCAAGACCCTGCTCCTTGAGGTTCTTGATAGCGACCAAGCCTAGCACACCAGTGCCAATGACACAGACACGCTTGCCTGGGTTCTTCAAGGGAGAAGTCATTATGAAAGGATATACTCGTAAGATTCAAGTCATGCAGTGAAATCCAAACGATACGAAATTTTCTGACGATGGCATGTTTACTATGCCAAGACGCCGACTATATAGCACTTTCTATCATCCCTCGTCTGGCATCAAAACCGCACGCATCAAAGACCATCACGTATTAGCACCGGAGACTTTGTTCGGACACTTTTCTGAGCATCAGCAGGATCCAGTCCCATACAAGTCAGTGCTGAGAATAGAACGGTTGCTCTAGCATGGATCGTATAGGCATAGTGAATAAGAGTAAAACACATTAGGTCTTACAAGTGGTTTGCTAGCGCACTTGTCGACTGAGGATACCCGAACATCTGGGTCAAAGGTCACCAACAATGCTTGCCCTCATGTGAGTGACCTAGGGTTGATGATGGATCAATATCATGGTAGAGTCCTCTCAGATTCTGAAATGCTTGCGGTGAATTCGTCGAAAGGGGCATGGGAGTGTCTAGCATGGGCTTGATGGAATACCATGTACAGTTCCAAGAATTTCTTATTGCTTGGAAGTGATTCATCCTTCGATACAAGTGAACATGACTCTTTTAATGACCTAGATGACAGAATCATGTCAGATCGGAACCGTACTATTGTTGAGCTCGAATCTCAATGAGATGCCCGAGAGCTCTTAGTAATAGTAGCTGGCATTGCTTGAGACGAAAAGAGTGTGTACCTGCACTAGCAGCCATGATTCAGACCCACAATGATGCAGGTTTACTTTGTTGGTAAGCCGTAGCAAGACCGGAAGCACCATTACCAATTGGCTGACGGTGCAGAAAAAATCTATGCTTATATTTTGGTCTGAAGCCAACCTCTGTTCTGCAGGCGCGCGGACAGTGGCTTGCAAAAAAAAGCTTAATAACCACTAGGTATACATTTTCGCAAAGGTGAATGTTCCTATAAAGCCCAGTCTTGCCAACGTCGCAGTCGCTACGGAGTAGTATTAAAAAGGCTGTGCACAGCGGATCTGTTGTTGCGAGGTAGTACGAAACATTCTAAGAATAGGAGGAGATTGTCGCAGATTGACAGAAACTACGCCTCAAGATTCGTTGACATTGGGTAAAAAAGTACTGAGAAATGTGAATGATATAAACTTTTCTGGCGGAATTGAGGATAGATACGTGCAAAGAGTTGTTTTGCCCTTGCAAGGGTCTTATCGCCCGCTATAGTGGGTCGCTATAGTTGATAAGATAGAGACATATCCAGCCTGGAACGGGATTGCGACGACTTGGAAGATCGTGATCATGAAGCAGGGATACACTCACATATGCGCGTAAGTCAACACCCACAAACGAAAGCAAGCCACGAGTATTGAGACGCAGAATGCTACTTGAGGCATCAGGGGGCCATACTAGCTAGCATCTTTGCCATGCAAAAATGTATGTAAAAATGCTTTTTCCTTCTTATTCGCCCACCCGGTTATTCGCCCGGGAAAGACATGGTTCAAGTGAACCCCCTAACCACCACGCCAATACCGAAATGAGCATTACGAAAGCCACCAAGTGGCTGTGTTGGCCAAGGTGATCTACCACTTAAGCAATCTCTCTTGTTGCACGCTCCTAGGAAGAGGAGCATGTTGATATTTGAACGCCATAAGCAATCTTTTACTACGGTCCAGCAAGAAGGACAAAGATGGCACAGAGTTGGCTTGGGCAAAGGGCCAGAGGGGACGTCAACAACCTGCACCAAACCAATGGAAGACTCCATTTGAAAGAGAAGGAAAAAAAAAAAACACAAAAAGTTCTAAGCCATTCTCGTAGTAAAGTTCTGCATGATGTTTCTTGGCTTGCATGATGGTGATGGATCGAGTATTCGTTGTTATTGCGGCTTCTTTATTTTTTTGAGGCTGTTTACTGGCTTGTCGATGAGGGGTCCACACCTAACACGCATCGTGGGGAAGACAAAAGCACCAGCCCCTTGACCAATGTAACGCAATGGTTTTGTCAAACAAGGGGGGGGAGAAACAGATGCGGCTGCCCACAATCCGGGTTATGCTATACTCTTGGAAAAGTATTCGTACACGCGTCCGTTCAGGGCGAGCCGCAACTATCCCACTATTTTTAACTTGTTAAGGTATTACTGGGTGTCGATCGAGCCGCATGGACTCGAGTAGTATCGCTTCTTTGCTACATCATGGCCTGGCCTGAATGAACACCCGTGTTGCCGTGCTAGGTTCTACTATCACTCTAGTCCCAATTTAAATACTGGCTTGGATGCTTTAGGTAAGCGTGCCCAGCCTGTCAGTCAGCAAAGCCAAGGAAAACGCCAAGGTAGGTTCAGGTTGGGATGAACCATGGCAATGTAGACCAATGTAGACTATTGCAGAGAGACGCGTCATTGGACGGGCAAACTGGCCAATACCGTCCACACTCGACAGGTCTGTATATGGCCGGAATTTTTCTTCCCTCGACAAGGGACATCTGCATCTTGGGGCGCCTTTGATGCAACTTGCAATGCGGCTCGTAACCGACTTGAGAGCCGCGATAAACGATTTAAACGAGTTAACCGACATTCCTTCACCTGAGGGATCCAAAGAAGCCCAAGAAAAACAGAATGGACTGGTGGAAAATTGAATTGTGTTGCTGTCGAAACAAAAACGTCGTGGCTCTGACCAAGAGTCAAATTAAGGCAATGCACCACCCCCATAGTCTGAGCGGCTCAACTACCGCAAGGCAGGCCCCATCAAAAGGAAGACGTCAAGGCACATATATCGTGGGTCTTTTTGACCCCGGAGAGTTGCCGGCTTCTAAGAGTCGGGGGTCCGTTTTCCACCGTTTTGCGGAGCCCTCCTAACCAATTGCTGCCGGGATGCTGGAGTATAACCAGCAAACAGCTTACGAGTCCCCCTGGTGTAACTCCAAGCTTCGAATGCTTGGCGATCTGCATACTCGTGCAGTCGATGCAAACAATCTAGAAGTGCTAAAAGGCGCGGGAGAAGATCTTGCGAGTATAAGACATGACCACCGTCGATCCCAAACTGTTTTTGAAATCATCAAGAAACTCATCGGCCACTCACTTGCCATTCTCTCATTCAACTCAAATCACAAGCAAGTCTTGAATTGGCAACATTCATTTTGAGTTTTCAGAAACACATTCGCTGCTTCCCTTGACACTCGTTTCTCACAATGGGTTTCCAGTCTGCTCGAGCATTGGGTCTGCTTGCCCTTGCGGCCGCAAACATTGTTTCGGGTCAGGACTCGACCAAGCGTGACTCGATCCCAGAGTGCACAACGCTGAACCAGAGAAAGGCCTGGTAAGATTACAATCTGGAAACCAAGTAAAAGTTGTCAACACTAACCATGTGCCAAGGTCTGCCCTCACCGACGATGAAAAGTCGGCATACATTGACGCCGAGCTTTGCCTGATGGCATTGCCACCCACCATTGGCATCGAGGGTGCCCTCAACCGTTGGGATGAGATGATGTACGGCCACATTGTGCAGTCCAACATTATCCACGGCGTGGGAGCGTTCCTGCCGTGGCACCGTCTGTACATGCGGGCGCACGAGATCATCCTGCAGACCGAGTGCAACTACACGGGCGCGCAGCCGTACTGGGACGAGCTGTCGGACACGCAGACGGGCACGCTCGAGGAGTGCTCCATCCTCGACGCCGACACGGGCTTCGGCACCGGCGACCTGGACGACGATGGCTGCGTCGCCAATGGCCCCTTTGTCAACCTCACCATGCACATCAACCAGACTAGCAACTATGCAGACTACTGTCTCACGCGCGACCTTAGCGATAACGCCTTTACCTGGGCCAACAGCACCTATCTCGATGAGTGTATGGCGACAGACAATTACGAGGATGCATGGTATGTTTGACCGCCCATCCGAGCTCTCTTCTCGACTACTACATGCTACAGTATATACTAATATCCAACCAGGAACTGCTTCGTCTCCTCTCCCCACACCGCTGGCCACGGCTCCATCGGCGGCACCATGCTCGACGTCGTGGCCTCACCGGGAGACCCCCTGTTTTTCCTACACCACACGTACCTGGACCGGGTCTGGTGGCAGTGGCAGTCGATGAACCTGTCGTCGCGCCTCACGGACATGTCGGGCCGCAACATTCCCACGCAGACGTACCTGGACCAAAATGACTTTGACTACCCGGGCACCGACGTGACCGACTACTTTGGCGACGGCGGCGGCAACGTCACGACGCTCAACCACACCCTCTGGATGGTGGGCCTCATTCCCAATGCCACCATTGCCGATGTCATGGATCTCGGCGGGGACCTCATCTGCGCCGAGTATATTGACTAAACACACCGTTTTTTTACTCTGTTGCCCCTCACCAATATGGAATTGTTTCTCTTTGCATTGTAGGCGCATTTGGATTGTTTGGGAGGATAGAAACCACCAAGGGATTAGACTGTATATAGGGTAATGATGGGATTCAGAAAGCTACATAGGTGACGAATCTTGTTTATGAAAAGAAGAAAAATGTACAAATCACACGAAACTATACATTTGCTTGTATACATCATCATGGAATCAAGTTTCCTACAACATGGCAAAACATTACATGTGTTTGTCACGGCTTCGCCACGAATTTCGACATTTCATTCACAAATCAATCATGACCATGTACTATTTCGAATGTTTATTATGATGATCCCATTCCATTATCGCTATGCTATGATTCTATGAAAACAATGATACACAAGATCTACCTCTTTCCCTTGCCGAGAAGAAGAGCTTAGTGGAAGGCAATGCCCTCGGCCTTCTCTTGGCAGTAGGGCACACTGGGGGTGGACCACTTGGGGGTGCTGGCGGCATCGCTCAGCTTGACAACGGGGTTCAGGATGCTGAGCCTCTTGCCGCCGTCGTAGGCGCTCTGCTCAAAGGTCTGGAACCAGCCGCTGTTCTCCTCGAGCTTGTCGCCGAGGACGCGCTTCCAGCCGTTCCACACGGTCAGGAGCAGGTCCAGCACGTGGTGCGAGCCGCGCATCTCCTCCCACTGGAAGCGCTCGGCGCACTCGGCCACGGTCTCGGGCGAGTACAGGCCGACCTCCTCCTTGAGGGCAAAGGTGTTGACGGCCGTGAGCGAGGCGTGCACCGAGTAGCTGCCGCCCTTGGTGGCGCGGTCGCGGAGGGCAATCAGAGTGCCGAGGGCGCCGAGGACACCAGTGGTCATGTCCGAGACGGGGAGCGAGGGCAGGACGGCCTCGCTGCCGGCCAGCTTGAGCGAGCGGCCGGTGACGTAGGCGGCACCCGAAGCGGCGTCGGCAATCTGCTGCCAGCCGGGGCGTTCAGCGTAGTATCCGTCAGGACCGTAGCAGTTCTCGGAGACGTGGACAATGCCGCGGCCGCGCTCGCCAGCCATTCTGAGAATGTCGTTGATGCCGAGGCCGAACTTGGGCATCTTGTTGAGACGGAAGCCCTGGATAAAGACATCGCAGTCCTTGATCAGGTTCTGCAGGATGGCAGCATCCTCGGGTTTGCGCAGGTCAATACCAATGGTGCGTTTGCCGGCGTTGAGGGTGAGCTGCATGATGTTGATGTCGGGCAGGTGAGGAGGGTTGACACGGATGACGTCGGCACCGAAGCTGGCCAGCATGGTGCCGATCTGGGGTCCGGCAATGACACGGGTCATCTCAACGACCTTGACACCGGCCAGGGGACGCTTGTCGCTGGGGTCCAGGGGCGGGAAGGCGACGGGAGCAGTGGGGATGGCCTGGGTCTGGGCCTTGACGTTGACAAAGGGGTGAGCAGCCAAAGACTTGCCCATCTCGCTCTCGTTCCACTCCTTGGGGCTGAAGCAGACGCTGCCGCAGAGACCGTTGAGCAGGTTGTTGAACTCGAGCTTCTCGGGGGTGAGCTGGCTGGTGTGCTTGGCAATGAGCTCGGCAGCCTCCTGGTTGGACTTGACGGGGGTTTCGGGGTCGATGCCAATGGATCGGAGCACGGGGGCAGCGTTCATGGATCCGTGGAGAGAGTACCAGACGTCCGGGTTGGCGGTCGGGTAGAGACCAGTGGTACGGTATCTCAGAGGGGTGGCAGTCCAGCCCTGCTCAAAGTCGGGGAGGATCTGCTTGAGCTTGCCCTGCTTGGTGAGGGAGACGACATCCTCACCCCCAACAAAGGCGGTGGCGATGCAGCCGAACCAGAAGGCGGCGTGAGTGGTGTTGACGGTGATTTGGCGGTTGTCGTCCTTGACGCCTCTGATGGCAAGGATCTCGTCGGCGACGACACCAGCCATGGCGTGCAGGGAAGCGGCCACGGAGACGGCCTTGAGGGGACCAGGAATGACCGGGAAGTCCTCGCCAACAAACTTGACCTTGGACAGAAGCTTCTCATCTTGAGTGAAGCCGGGTGTTTGAGCAGCAATGAGTCTGAAGATGCGCTCAGTGTCCTGGGTTACCGGGACAAAGGTCCGGTCGGTGTAGGAACCGGGACCGTAGACATCGGGGATTCTAGATTCTTGAGACATGGTGATGCTTGTTGTGGTTCGTTGTAAAGAAATTGGTCTAATAAGAAGAATGAAAAGAAAGAAATGTTCGCAAGTCTATAGGTCTATAGGGGTATCTCAGAGAAAGGATGGTGATGTGAAGATGCGAGGAAAAGGATGGTGATGATGAAGACGGATCATGGACATATATATCCATTGGAAGGAAGGTGTCTGAAACTTACCGCTACCTACCTGCGGGCGTTGATGGAGACATATTTTTTCTTAGATCTACGCATATCCATCGTTGATTCCGCCCTCCTTCTCCGAATGTGACAGGCTCTCGGCCGGTGCTACGGGGCCTTGCATATGTGGCGAGGGACCCACCGGGCCCGATAAACACGGAACTGGGCAGCAGGCATCACAATGTCCAGAGTAGAGAAATAACACAGTTGCCCAACCAGTCGCGTTCGCGGTGACGGTCAAGGCCGAGGGGGCGAGATATTAGTAGTGTACCAAAGTGAGGTAGATATTCATGGAAGTGGTCAAGGCCAAGATGAAACAGATTTCTTAGGGGACACCGAGGCCTCGAATCTCGATAGTGCGTCCCACAAATGACAGAGGTACGCACGGCGAGAGCTTGATTGTAATAGCTGCAGTAGTGGTGTCTAACTGCGACCTAATATCGGACCTCGAGCCGCTCAAGCATAGATCAGATGGTAGTATTTACTCACCACGGCAGCCAAAATCGCGCGTTCTTTTCGAGCCGCCTGTCTGTGCTGCAGGGGAACATGCGCAGGTACGGTACCTACCCGCATCTCTTCCGGATCGTCCAGACCAAGGCTAGCAAAAAACATCTTGGTTTCCGATTATGCGCATTTTTCTCGCTTTGCCAAAAGGCCGATAGCTGATGAAACCGTCGAGGACGCGGCTGACCGTTGGGAGAGTCGAAGCATTATCGAGGCGGGAGGGGCGCCGTAGTTTGGCTGCACACTGCATTAGGTGCCTGGTGCTCGAGGTGCTCTCTCCACTTGTGGCGGTATTCGTTCCGCCGTGGACTCTGGAGGTGGCAGAAGCTAGTCCCGATTAGTAAATTGCATCCCGCGGCGGAGACACAATTGGCTGCAAAACTGCATAGGGCTGAAGAAATGTTCTGGAAGAATGGTGATCTTGGCTGACCGAGAGTTGGCGTCATTCCGCAGGGATGCACCGCTAAAAAAGGGTCGTCACTGGCGAATGTAAAGTCGAGACGAGCAGCGAAACTGAGTCGTGAAGCTAAAATATTTTTTAGTGGCGATCCTAGTACGTAGCAGTAAAATTCCTGTGTCTTGTTTTTTGGCTGGTTGATGCCAGATGAGCATAATTTTTGTTGTTCTATCAATTTCTCTACGTACCTGTTCAGCCCCAAATTTTTTTTCCACCGTGTGCATCAAGTCCCGACCACCACGTGGGTCGACGTCATCCCCTCCCAAGAAGTTCGGAGCTCTTCCGGGCATCGCGGTTCCGCCGTTGTGAAAAGCTTCATTCAGGCGATCATCCCCTCATATCTCCGGGGGCATGAACAACGGGCACCTCTCGCGCGCCGAGGCCAGTTGTACCTCTAATCAATTAGCCCCGTATGGATTGTGGCTCCTGGGCACCCCTCGTATAGGTATACTCGTACACATGTCCACCAGCCCAGAGGCTCCGTAGCATAGTCGCACTATATATCAAGCCCGGCACCCATTCCGCCATTGAATATATCTATCTATGATTATTGTCCAAACTGCAATTATTATACCCGCCAGTACTATTTCGTCTTTTGACCTTTTACTTGTTTTGATACCCCAAAGCCATTCATCATCATAAGCGAAATCACATACTCAACAAATAAAACCACAAATAAATAGAAGAAATGTCAGCCATCCAGAGCGTCGCAATCATCGGCTGTGGTGCCATTGGTGCCTCTTGGTCAGCACTCTTCGTGGCCCAGGGCCTCAAGGTCAAGGCCTTTGATATCAACCCAGCAGCAGAGGCATCCCTGCGCAGACAAGTGCAAGATGCACTACCCGTCCTGTCTTCCATCGGCCTGCTTAAGAACACCTCCGCCAAGGCTGAGGATGTCATTTTCACAACAGACATGGCCGAAGCCCTGAGAGATGTCGACTTTGTCCAGGAGAACGGACCCGAGCGCCTAGACTTTAAGCAAAAGCTCCTCAACGACATGGCCACCCACCTGAAGCCAGACGCCATCATCTCATCCAGCTCTAGCGGTCTCACCTGCTCTTCCATGCAAGAGGGTATGAAGCCTGAATCCAGACCCCAAAGACTCGTCATTGGCCATCCCTTCAACCCACCGCATTTGATGCCTCTGGTCGAGGTTGTCGGCGGCAAGCAGACTGACCAGTCGGTCATTGACGCGGCTCTGGAATTTTACAAGAACATGGGCAAGAAGGCCATTCACGTCAAGAAGGAGGTCGTCGGCCACGTGGCCAACCGCCTGCAGGCCTCGCTGATCCGCGAGGTCATGTACGTGCTGCAAGAGGGCATCTGCAGCGTCAGCGACATTGACGACGCCGTCTCGTACGGCCCCGGTCTGCGCTGGGGAATCATGGGCCCCAGTCTGCTCATGCACCTCGGAGGTGGAGAGCGCGGCATTGAGCACTTTGCCAACCATCTCCTGGGGCCCCTGCAGACCTGGTGGGCGCCCACCGACCCCGTGGTCAACGACGAGCTGAAGAAGAAGTACATTGACGGAACCTGGGATACCCTCGCAGGACGGGAATACAAGGACCTGACTAAGCAGAGAGATGAGGAGCTGGTCAGACTCTTGAACGTGCGCAGGGACTGGGATTCTTATGCAGAGAATGCAAAGAAGAACTAGACATTATACATTTTTATATAATAATTGAAGATTTTCGAGCGTGTCAATTGCTTTATTAATTGAATACACTGATTGTGAATGAATGGTTTCTCACGTGTCGCGTATTCGCATTCAATCGAGTTGCTCCTTGGCATGAGAAGTTACTGGCGCTGTGTGATCAAGTACTATGCGACGACAGATCACTTGAGCAGCCATCACGAATGATCCGGAACTGTCCACCAACAACACCGCCTATTCTATGATCGAGCCCCAATTCTGGCATGATTATCACACGTGTCTAGGCTGATTCCCCTGAGTCCAGGAGGGGGAACCATAATAACAAGTCCACACAGCATGAAGCATAAAATTTGACACCACAATGGTCTCCTCTGAAAGAATACCACTTCGTGAAGCTCACCGCTGCATGGTGAAACTTGACATCATTTGGTTTCAAAGATTACCATCCAGGTACTGCATTGCGACATTTTCGAAAACCCGCGCTGGCGCAAGCAAATAGAGTAGGTACGTAGCGAGCGAGATCTGACCAGATGCTGAAGGTATGGGGGGCAGGGAATAGAAAATGTGGAGTTTTCCCACAGTTTTCCACTTTGTCTTTTCTCGCGTAGATCCAATGTCCCCCTGGAGCCCCGAAGTTTTGGTTCGTAAGAGCGCATCGAATTCCGCGGTGGGTCGGAGAGCCCCGGGACACTGACCCACCTTTTTCTTGCTCTGCTTTTCCGGAGTCTCGGGAGCCACAATTTTATCGCGACGATAATGCGACAACTGGTACTAGGGGGAAATTTCCTACTCTTTCTCGCCTTTTCCCTATCACCAAGAGCAACCAAGGTTTTTGTTCTTGATAGTACGCAGGTACTTGTCCTCACGTGGCTGTGTCATTGCCGTCGCTCTTCAAGGCTCGCGCACACGCATCATCGTGTCTTGCTAAGTCCGAATGAACTCCGCAAATGGCCCGTCACTTTGCCTCAACGGAGGCTCCGTCCTTCAGGACCCAGACGGCATCTAGCCGTGACATTTGGCCTCGAGACATCTTTTAAAAAGCCATGGACGCCGCTACTGTCTCGTCGTCTCTCCATTCACATTGTGCATACACTATAAACTAATAAGCGATTTCATCTGTATATATCTTTGCATAAGACTTTAGACCATTCAGATACCCCCATATACCACATCTACATTACCAGCATTATACCAAATCACTTCAACGTTACATTTATTCTCACTTTTATAAACAATATCAGTCAACATGGGTTCGATAGCACTGCCGCGTCTCTACATTCTGGACACGGATCTGTCCAAGTTCCCCAACCAAGACAATGGCCGCATCATGTCATGCAACACGGACGGCAGCGACCTGCGCACCGTGGTGGGCAACATGCGCACCATGCCCGACGGCATCGCCATTGACCACAGGCACGGCCACATGTACTGGACCAACATGGGCCCGACCTTCAAGTCCAACGACGGCTCCATTGAGCGCGCCAACCTCGACGGCTCGGGCCGCCAGACTATTGTGCCCACGGGCACCGTCGGCGTCTACACCCCAAAACAAATCACCCTGGCAGCCAAGTCGCGGAAGCTGTACTGGTGCGACCGCGAGGGCATGAAGGTGATGCGGTGCAACCTCGACGGCACAGACGTCGAGGTGCTGCTGTCGACGGGCTCGACCGACGAGGACCGCAAGGACATGCTGAAGTGGTGCGTCGGCATCGCCGTCGACGAGGCCCGGGGCTACTTTTACTGGACGCAAAAGGGCCCCTCCAAGGGCGGCCAGGGCCGCATCTTCCGCGCCCGCGTCGACGACCCTTCGGCCATCGAGGTCGTCTTTGAAAAGCTGCCCGAGTGCATTGACCTCGAGTACGACGAGGACGCCGAGACCTTGTACTGGACCGACCGCGGCGACCCGCCCTCGGGAAACTCGTTGAACCGCGCGCACATTGGATCCGACTCGCTCCAGGGTGCCAAGCGCGAGATCCTCGCTACCCGCCTGCACGAGACGATTGGCCTGGCGCTTGACCGGAGGACGCAGAGGGCCTACGTGACCGACTTGGCAGGAGGTGTTTACTCGGTAGACCTCAAGACCAAGACCAAGACGGTCTTGTTCCCCGAGCTGGGTGATACTACCGGTATTGCATGTTACCAGCACTAGCGAAATTGAGCCGCGGTAGGAAATTCTGTGTTTGTTTCATTTATAGAGGTGGCACGACAGCTTGGTAAAAAGAAGAGGCGGTGAAGCTATAGGCGGATCCACCATGATGTCTTAGAGTTCGTGGGCTTTCCTTTGATACCTCCTGCCATGCATGAGGTTCTGAGAGGATGGATCTCGCTCGGCCCAGCCCGTAGCCGAGATTGGAAGCACTGCGATCTGATGGATCTTGCATGCGCTCGCGATCCTTGATTAGCTACCAGTTATCGTAGAAACGGCAACAAGATTTGAGACATTCTTCCCGCTTGCGCCGCAGCTGAGCAGCCATTCGACTAGCGCAATGCACGTGAAACGATCGACACCATCTGTACGATGCGAGTATGACCAGATATCCAGTATTACTCCACTTTACGCGCTGGTCCTCCCCTAGGAGTCTTCGAGCAGATTACAGGTAATACAATTCACAATTACAGGTAATACAGTTCACAGGTGGACTGCGTCTTGGATATCCCATCTGCTGATCGGCTACTCGGCTTCCGGTTCCCACGTTCTCCAATCCATACACGGACTCTGAGTGGCGGCCTCGATGCTCCAACGTATCATGTAACTATTGGCGGAAACAGTTTGCCTCATTTTCATGCCAGGATCGCCATCTACGGCCGAAGACCTATCCTTGTCGTATTATCTTCATCTCGTTAAACAAAGTTTCAACATGCTAGTATAAATATCTTTTGAAATCGTTCCTCGTATAACCGCTGTGGCGTTCTCAGTATTGTTTGTTGAATTTGAACAGGTCATTCTCGATGTGACTTGTGTATGGTGACTTCGGGTTATAAAATGTCCAAGGCCCAGATCTTTCCTGGACCGGCATACTCTACATGTTGATAACATTGAAATGGCTGGTACAAGATCCTCGAGGCCAGGCGCGACCTCGTTCATTCAGCATTCCATCCCTTTACCACGCTCTGCTTACGAAGGAGTTGAGTACTTTTGTCGGTTCAGGCCGCGGATCCATCGCGACGCCATTCTTGCTGATGCGGGCTCATGGCAATGTCAGGTTGACTTCTTCGGATCCAGCGCGACAGCCCGGGCCGATTCTATCCGCAACAAGAACCATACGAGCTATGCCGTGGGCTGCATCAATCCAGTTGTCGGGAACTTCACGGCTCTGTGTGCCTGTGAAGCTATACCAGATAGACTTGCGCTCACTACGTATATGGTTGAGTACGCCTACATCCATGACGATGGTAGGAATACCCCATCTCCGAACTCGCAGGGGTCATTCAAACTAATTTTGTATTTATCAGTGATCGAATATGCCGAGAACAAGGACGAAGACAGAGTGAGAAATCCGTGCTAGCCTGTTCCTTCACATACATTTTACCTGACAACTGTAGTAGCTTTGGGAGACGAATAAAGAACTCACCCAGGGCCTCACTTTAGGTGACGAAGTTGGCGCAGCCACCAAGGATAATGTGAGAAGACGCCAGCTGCAAGCCAAGATGGCTGTGGAGCTTATGGACATCGACAAGGTTAAGGGAAAAGAATGCCTTCGCCTGTGGAAAGAAATGTCAGATGTTTTCGTTCAGATCCGAGAGTTGAAGTTCACCAAGCTCGACGACTATCTCACCTTCCGCGTGATTGATGCAGGATGCCCGTAAGTCTATATTCAAGTCACGAACTTCTGACACCAAGGCTGCGGCTGATACTTGACTCCAGGTGGACCATGAGCCTTCTGTGCTTTTCAATGGATTTCACCTTGAACGACGATGAAGTAGAGAAGACCGCGGCCATCACTTCAGCAGCCTATGACGGTTGGGTCCTCGTGAATGACTACTTTTCGTGGGAGAAAGAGTGGAAGAATCACCAGGCGAATGGGGGTAGTGGCGTGATAGCAAATGCTATATTTCTCTTCATGAGATGGTATTCCGTCGACGCCGTCGAGGGTAGACGGATGCTACGGAAAGAAATCCTGGCTCGAGAAGAAAAGTATTGTAAGGCGAAAGAGGAATTTCTGGTCAGTGGCAATGTTACAGACAAGACATCGCAATGGCTGGAACTACTTGACCATGTTACTGCAGGAAATTTCGCGTGGAGCATGACGACGGCCCGTTACCAACTTGGTGGCAAAGACGCATACCCAGCTCTCCGGGCTGCAAATACGGACAATTGGGAGACTAGCACCACCGATAGTCTCAGTAACCCGATCTCGCACAATGCTGATAAGATAGCGAGAAAGATCAATCTCATTTTCAAAGAGCAAAAATTCTTGGACGCACGAGGACTCGTCAATCATACCGAAGACTACCCACCCATAGTCCTGACTGCTCAAGTGAGCCAGCCCGATGAGACGCCTGAGTTCATCCACTCCCAAGTTACGCAGGCTCGATCCTTCACACAATACGAAAAGGTGAGTACAGTCTTTCTGGTTGGTATTATAGTTCACTGATAGCGACACAGATGATCCTACAACCCCAGAACTACCTAGAGTCAATGCCCTCGAAGGGTGTGAGGAATTCGGTAATAGACGGCCTCGAGATGTGGTACCAAGTTCCAGAACGATCGCTTGCCACCATTCGTAAAATCGTCAACTTGTTGCATAGCTCTTCGCTGATGTTCGTCTCACAGCCTTGTTGATATTTTCAATCACTGATCTGCTTTCAGGCTGGATGACATCGAAGACAATTCTCCATTGAGGAGGGGACTTCCTGCGACCCATACGGTCTTCGGAATTAGCCAGACTATCAACTCGGCCAATCTTCTCATGTTCAAAGCCCTGAAAGCGGCGGAGTCTCTTTCTCCTGCCGCCGTGCGTATATTCATAGAAAGAATAATCGAAGGTCACATTGGTCAGGGAATGGAGCTGTACTGGACTTTTCACACGGAAATACCCACCGAGGAGGAATACTTCGTGATGGTAGATGGAAGTGGGTATCTTCGATCCTTGATCACCCAACGATGCTAAGCACCTTGCACTAGAAACTGGGGGTTTGTTTATCCTTTTGGCCGAGTTAATGCGCTCTGAGGCTACCAGACATAAAGATCTCGACACCAGTCTTCTCATGAAGCTCGTGGGTCGTTTCTTTCAAGCGCGTGATGATTACCAGAACCTCGAATCAGCCCAGGTAGGTCAAATGGTGTCAATTGCGAAGCGTTGGCTGACCATTGATCTCAGTACACTCAGCAGAAGGGATTTGCTGAAGATATCGGCGAAGGGAAACTTTCCCTGCCGCTCATTCATGCCCTTGGTTCAAAGACACCACAACGCGGCCGCTTGATGAGCATTCTACAGCAGCGAAAGTCGACCGTTGACCTTCCGTTTCATATTCGCAAGCTTGCGCTGGACGATATCAAGGCTACTGGGGGACTCAAGTATGCCAAGAAGATGGCCATGAGTCTGCAAGACTCCGTGAATGAGACCCTGACACAGTACGAAGACAAGGTAGGAGCGAAGAACTGGATCTTGAGGTTGGTACAGAAACGATTGGAATTAGAGGTATAGATACAGCAGCATCGAATGCCCTGCGAGGCCCATAAGGGTCCTAGTAAAACATAGAAATGGCAGGGAACAAACACATTTTTAACTTAATTAAATCTTTGCTACTATTATCAATCGCTAAGTGTTAAACAAAATGGTGCTTTTCCTTAAGAATTTGAATTAGGCCAATATAAGTATTAATCATATAATATATTAATTTATATTTTGCACTTCTGTTCTCAACAAAGGGCACGCTTATCTGGATGGCCTTGATTAATCCCCGGGAAACCTTATATATTTATTTAAATATTTTCATGCTAAATAGTGTGCTTAAGACTTTCATGTATGGATTTTAGAATTTATTATCTAACATTTATAACTTATATTTTATCCATTTGACCTTTAATAATTAAGGCCTTGTATCACGACAATCGGATTCAGAAGTAGTCAGGTACGACATGATATTATATAGGTAGGGGTACGTAAAGTACAAAGCTGAGACTTGGATCTCAAGTGGGAAGTGGATCACCTGGGCTACTTAAATAGATGGGTCCGATACAGTCCCGATTGTCCCTTTATATCCAAGTCCTGACAACTGCCTAAAGAGTCACAATTATATGCACGAAGTGAAAGACTGTCGCCGCCATGAAGCTGCCAAGAACAAGTAAATCCACTTAAAACGTCGAATCATACCATCCTTGGCTGGAGTATGAGCTGCCCAGGACAGTCGAGATGGACACGGCCGACGAGAGAGTCTTGGCCCAGCTGACCCGGGGCCCGGTAGCACCATCGCCAGAGTTGTTGTACTCGGCATAGTAGACGGTCGAAGTATCGGTGCTCGAATCCCACACGGTCCACCCTTCAGTACGAACGACTGAGCTCATAGCCGTGTTCTGGAAGACGACGCGGGCATAGGTTCGCCATGGTCGTCCCAGGTCTGACGCGATAATAGGTTAGCTTACTATTAAACATGCCAGTTTCTAGTGTTAAGGCAGAAAAAGAAAAAATAAATAAATCAAATCGGCGAACACTTATCAAGTCAAAGTTAGTGTATAAATGCTTCGAGTACTTACAATACGTGCGGCTTGACACTGACTCGCCAGAGGCAGCAGCAATGTTGCAGTTGTTGAAGAGGTAGTACGACGGGTTGCTACTAGAATCACGACCATTGGCTGAATTGAATATCACGTCAGCTCACTGGGCCCTGGAATCAAACGGTTCTTGGGGAAGGAGGTTGCATGGCATTTTGACCTACCAGTGATGTAGTATCCTCCGTTCCTGACACGAATGTCACAAGCCTCGAACCAGGCCTGAGCCCGCTGGCCAAAGATAAAGTCGGTCGCGCCAGTAATCTGGCATTTCTTGTAGTACTGCTGGTCCTCGTTGGCCAGAAGCGTGTCTTGGAAGCCGTAGAGTGAGACGCCGTAGTAGCCGCCCGAGCTTTGTGCGCTGAGGGCCAGAGCTTGGGATCCTTTGCCGTCTGACACGCGCACAGAGTGTAAGTTGACGGCCAGGATAGGATTCGCTGCACGACATTTGAATTTTGGACTTACATGAGTTGATTATGTTCAGATTGTACATTTTAAAGTTGTCAGACCATACACGCACAGTGGCGCTTGCATCATTGTTGCCAGCGCTGGCCGCATTGTTGTTGTAGGTAATGGTGGCCCCGTTGCTGGCATAGCCGGTAGTGTCCGTGGTGTAGCCGTAGACGGTCAGCTTGGCCGAGCGGGCGGGAATGTAGACCTGCTCCGTGTACGTGCCCTGGTCGATAAAGATGCACTGGTCCGCCGTCGAAGATGTCGACAGGGCATTGACGGCCGCCTGGAATGTCGTGTAGGTGCCCCCCGACTTGGCGACGTGCAAGCAGCCCGATGGTGCTGTGGTGCGGCTTGCAGCCAGGACGGCCGTAGCACTGGCAAAGAGCGTCAGGAATGTTTTAAATGCCATAGTTGTTCCTAGGTTTCAACTAGTCTTTGGTTTTCACCACTATGCATCCAGACTTGAAGTATTGAATATCGTATATTTATACCTCTTTCTCACCTATGGTCTAGACTATCCCTCCCGAGGCTTGGATCTCAGCTCTCGGAGGATGCAGATCCATTTGGGGTACGGAGAATATAAAATCTGGGGCAAAGTATGGGGTAGCAGGGGGGTTGCCGGCATTCGAACAAGCGGACTTTCTTGGCAGCTATCATGGGGTCATGTTCGATCTCGTCTTTCGTTGGTGGATAAAGCTTTTACGGTACGACTTTATACTAAAGCATTGCCTTGGCGGGGAAAGCCGCGTCGAATCGTGCTTGAGCGCCTACATTATTGATCAAATATTATAAAGAGAGAAAATGCCACGATTTCGTATTCTCTAGAGTGATCGACTCAAATGAGAAAGGGAGCTCGGTCCATGTTAGAAGGCAATGCAAAGCAAAAAGAAGAATTGAAAAGAAAGAGACGGCAAGGACCTGAAATTAGTCAAGATGTCGTGTTTGCGGCAATCTCATCTCTTAGTACAGTCTGAAAAAGCCACGCCAAGCTCAAATATTATAATCCAAACACAATAAAAGCAATGTAATCCAATCATACTTACTTGACAAATGACAATCCTCAAAGATTTGTTTGCTTCTGTTGAGCTAGATGGCTCATCATGAGGGACTCCATTAAGAGCCCGATGAATGGTTGGTAGGCCGATATTCTTGGCTGTGAAACAGTTCAATTTCACCTGCAGTGACTTTGATCGCCACGCCTGAAATTTGCCCCAGATCTCTATACAAACTGATATCATTCGCAGGCTGCCAAGTAGTGATATCCTATCAGTTGGAAATTTTATAAAAATCCACCTATCCGAGCCATGAGTCCTCATGTCCAGCCCCAACTTACGGATCCAAGTTGACGAGGCGGCAGGACAGTCTGATTATTGCTGATTGTGAGTAATGACCATCGTATTTGGAGTGCCTGTGGCTTGATCTCGCTCGCTGTATACAAAATTCATCTCAAGCAAATGAACGATCCACATTCAAGTCTAACCAGGTATCTATATGCTCTGAAATTCACATCCCAAACTTTTGATTCATGCCGCTCAACCAAATGTCATCATCATGAGGTACCGTTAGTCTGGTGCTCCTCCTCGTAGCCCTCGACCTTCATGTCCTTGAGTCCGAGGTCCTCCTCTTCCTCGTCTGTCCTTTGGTACTCCTCAACTGTCATCTGGGGGTCCTCCTGATCAGGGTCCACCAACTTTTGGACATAACTTGAGGCAAGGGGATCGGTCAAAATGATTGTGAACTTCTTGTCGCCCTTGATAGCAGCGTCCAGTCCCTCAAAGAACTCTGTCCACCTCGACTTCTCGGTAGGGGCCAAAGAATCGCCGCCATCGCCGGCCTCAAAGATCTGGCTGTGCAAGTCATTTCGGACCTGAGTCAGGAGGCCTTCGACAGTGGTGAAGCGACCTCCCAGAGTACCAGGGTTGACCTGGAGTTGAAGTTCTGGGCATTCGAGGGCACAGCTCTCGCTCTTCAAGATATCACGAGCCAAGTCGACATTGGACTCGACCTTCAGACTAATCTTCTTTCCAAGGTCGGGGATTTCTCCACCAGTCTTGACATCGTTGGAACGGTATCCACACTCGTCGCAGACTGTGGACATGAGAACGACAGCCTTGAAGTGAGGAATATCAACCATCTTCATGTTTGTAGAGCAGGGCTTCATGCAGCCTGGGCACGTTGCGGGGAAGGCATAAACCTGATCGGGAATAATGTCCTCCTCGGCTGTAGTCTGTGTGGCATCAATGACGGACTCGACGTGTCCAAGACCGAGTGCTTCATTCTGCTCTGGGGTGCGAATATAATCTCTCTTGGCCCACTTGCCCACACCGTCCTTCATATCCGGTGAGATCCACGAGTTGCCGGCGGGATCATCCACCGAGACTCTGAAAGGGAACGACTCTCCAGCGAGCATGGAACGGCCCTTGGCAATGATCTCTGCAACCTTGGGGTAGATCTCTGGTGCTTGCTCTTTGCGGGCCTCCTGGCCAAGCTCCAAGTCGTCGATGATGGTTGTAAGAAGACCCTCGACATTTGTAAGTTGACCGCGGCCGGCGGGAACCTCGACGTCAAGCTCGATGAACTTGACGACCGCCGAGTCAGACTTGACAACTTGGCGCTCAAAGTCTGCCATATCGGTGAGTCGGAGCTCGTATCGGGTACCTCGGGTCTGAATGACTCCAGCGGCCTGGATTTCGGAGTTTGAGAAGCCACACTTGTCGCAAGAGAAGGACATGACGATGACTTCGCGGAAGTAGGGGATCATGGTGAGCATCATTCTCGTAACGCCCTGCGTCAATCGAGGTTAGCCTGTAATAAGCCAAAAGATAGGATCAAGTAGAGCAACATACCTGCTCGTGGCAGTTCATGCACAGCGACTCGATCTGTTCGACCGCCTTGGGCTCGGCCTCATCGTCCTGGCCGTTGGTGCCATTCAGCTGATCGGCCTTCTTGCCGATGGACTCGAAGAATTCGGGTGCAGAAGCGCCCTCGAGGGGAGCTTGTTCTCCGTTGGTGGACATTTTGAATCTTCTATGAGTAGTTGCGACTGTGTAAATGTTGTTCTTGAAGTTGTCGCAAACTTGGATGCTGTCGCGGGGTTTTGGGCCTTGTCGCTGGTCGCCGATAAAAATTTTGGAGGGGCAGGGAACACTCAAAATGGAGGGGTCAGGCGCATTAGCGGGGCAACGCGCCTGGGTACCGCCTATGACGAAGCCGCTGAAATCACTAAGCCGATCCGCTCTCTCTTGGCCAGACTGCCGCCGACTGGCAATGAAGTCTCTGAGCCGGTTCGAGAATATTCCTGTACTTCGTGCCCAGCTTGCTTACTCATCTATGCTTCTTCATTGTGGCCGATGAGTAAAATCATTCTGCGTTTTGAAAAAATCTCTCCAGGAATTTTCGGATCTCCTTGGCTCAATGACTCATCCTGGGAAATGCTCGAACGGGCAGTCCGGACAGTAGTTGGTACTCCAAGCATTCCGCGGCCTCATTAAAGGACTAGGTTACCTCATTACGGGCGGCTTATTTCTTCATGAAATCTGTCAAGCTCAAACCAAACCCACTCTTGGCGGACGACGACTGCGACTGTTGAAGAAGCGCTTGCAGTCCTTGCTTTCGATTCTTTGCTCTCTTTTTGCTGCTTGCGTTTGCCGATACCGCGTTGCTGGTAGGTTCCGTAATAACTGGCGGTGGAAAATGGGTGACTGGCAGATTTTCTCTCTTTGGTGGCTCTGTCTTCTTTCTTGCCGCCTGTCTCAGCTTGATGCGATTTCGCAAGAGGCTGGGAGCAGCTGGCACGTTGATATCGGTATAGCTGCCACAATTCGCACATGTCAAAATCTTGTGTTTTGTGCCTTCGGAAGAGCTGGGTGGTTTGTCCTCTCGTCTGCGACGACTACGCTTTGCACGAAGTGTCTTATCACTTTCCACCTTCAAAAGGTCACCCGATCCCAAGACCATTATATGGCCACACGAGCCGCAGACCCGCTGTCGTTGCGCATCTGTTTGCTGGAGGTCGCTGTGGAACATGAGGCCGTTGCGCTGGCTCATGAGATATGCCGAAGTCTCTGGAGCCGTTTGTGCAATGAGATGAGCGGCATCAGTCATGAAGCTGAGACTAGAAGCAAGAGTCTCATTTGTGGCCATGTTGGGCAAGAGAAGCCACTGATTGCATGCAGTCTGCTCGAACTTGGAGACGAAAGCAGGGAAGTTGGGCACCAGAGATTGTTCATTCAATCGCCGACACCCTCAACGTTCCTTATGGCAAAGCAATTTTTGTGCTAAGAGCCCCCAGCCAACCACTGCAACTGGAAACTACACTGAGCCAATCAGCATTGGTCCGAGCTTGACTCCACTAAATTGGACCCTGAATCTCAATTCACCACTACTACGGCCGGCCATATATACACAATCAAAGTAGTACACCAACGCGTCTAGCATCCGTCATTACTAGGTATGTAGCCGTAGATACACCTGGTCTTTCAAGACGAGATGGACCTGATTGCCAGATTCATTGCCCATAATGCGTAACGCAGAAATTTAGGGGGAACGGCAAAACTGACGATACTAGAAAAGTGGTCGCTGTTCAAGTTACAGTGCCTACCTTGTAGTTGAAATCGGCGCCCTGACAATTGCATGTGTAAAGGGTGGTATCGTACAACTGCGATGCGTGTCTCTAGTTTCTATCCAGTGATCTGAAAAAATCATTCTCAAGGGATCATTCACCGGGGTTTGATAGTGTATTCAATGCCTACAAGGACATTGCGAAAGGAAAGCGACTGTGTTTGACACTTCTGTGACTTTGAGATTATTGAGATACCCCAAGCTCGTCAATACCACCGCCATCTTGATCGGTCAGTCGTAACGTTTCTTCGTGGCTTGAGTTAAAATTTGAATGCAGTCAGGTTGTTAGGGCGCCTCGTTTTGAGGCGTTAGACTTGGCACGAGACAAACAGGTAGCTGACAGCTCAACACTTAGCGTCCAGCATCAAGGCCTATCAATTGAAATAAATGGCAACAACATGTGGAAAAGTTGACTTTTAAAGTAATAGGCACAACTCTCATATTACCGGATAAAAGCATCAGATCCCGGAACCTTCCGGCTTGACGGGTATTTCTAGTGGGCAATCAGAGGCAAGCGGGTGGTGTGCATTTTTTGCTTGCTTCACTGCATCCACGTAGCCAGAGCCTTTTTAGTTGAACTGAATATACTCTTAGTTCCCGTACTTCTAGTGTAAGATAGAAGGAATGTCACAAGAAATACTTTTCCATTATTCTCTAAAAGGCTGACTGCAATCTAATCCATTAGAAAACGTTGACAGACTGGCAGGGTTTGGCGAATCAGCGCTAGTGAGGAAGCTGAAAAGATCGTGCATGTCGGTATGCCAACGTCCGGCAACAGTTCAAAGCCAGTTGCGACTCAGCCTTGTATAGATTCCCACTACTACGCCTGACTATCAAACGTTCCCTTATCTAGGGACTTGGTGGCAAAGTATTGTTCGCCGGCGCATAACAAACAACAGAACGACAGCGAATCATCTAAGCAAACATGTTTCGTCGAGCAGCTGGCAATACGCGTCCGTACCACACTAGCACACCATGCACCATCGATATAGACATAGTCGAAATGACATCTATACTCTGCTCTCACCGCGCACGAGCTGGAGTTCTCTTTCGCTAAACCATCAGCGTAGACATTGTATTCGGCATCGAAGCAGAGCCCAGAAGATGGGAGCATAATTGTCACGGAGCAGCACACTTGCCATTATACGATAATTGGCAAGAAAGCATGGCCGCCATCGTTGAGAAACGACCACCAACTAGAAACTATACGCCTACGGATGTGTAGGATAGTGCGCTGCCATGACACTGCCTCGGCCGATACTATGGTGTTGAAATTGAAGTATTGGCTCTCCGGGCTTGTGATCAAGCACGGAGGTTTCCGAGGCCGGTATTTTCTCTTCGGTAGTTAACGGCAAGAAGAACTTAAAACTAAACTTAGACTATCAAAATAGATAGGAATACTGTTCAATAAGGCTGTGATTGATGGCGACCATGGTTCGGGGATGTAGTCCATGAGAGACTAAGTAATACATTTGATTTGTGTCGGAAAGGCCATTCTGGGATTGGAAGATTGTCTATAAAGGTCCTCCCAGGTTCCCCCAATGCCCTCTCAGAATCATGCATCAAGCATTCCGCTCTCATTCATATACATCTTTGAAACAAAGCCAAACCAGCAAAAACACCTTCTTCAAAACATTACATTTTGCACCATTTGCAGCAATCACCTGACAAAATGTGTAGCCACATCTGCAGCGTCGTCCCCCCTTACCTTCTCCAAAGCATTGCAGAGGCATCGCACAACCCTCAGCATGTCCGTGAAGCCGCCCAGAATACCTTGCTCGTCCAGAAAAATCTACTGGACACTCGAAAGTCGCGCTCTCTCAGTCGTTCCAATTACAACTTGGGACACGGAGAACATCAGTCCATTGTTCCCGAGCAACTTCTCGAGCACATTGCCAACTCCAGTGCCGTCGACGACTTGACCCGCGCCAATGCTCGGCGCGATCTGCAGCATATCCGGGACACTATAGCTCACTATCAGCTGTCGCAGCAGGACTTTATCGACCAGCAGACTTCCAATCAAGGGTTTCTGGGCATCGGCCGGGCTAGGCAGCAGAAAGCTACCGGTACGTTTCATAGAAACGTCTATGATGCTGGAAATGGAACAAAGCTGCCTGGAACCCAAGTGCGTGCCGAAGGGGAGCAGCCCGTGGATGACGAGGCCGTCAATGAGGCCTTTGATAATGTCGGCACGGTCCTTGCCATGTACAGGGACAAGTTCAACTGGATGTCGATCGACAACCACAACATGGTGGTCAACTCGTCGGTCCACTATGGCAATCACTACCAGAACGCCGGCTGGTTTCCCCAGCAGCAACAGATGGTCTTTGGCGACGGCGGGGAGTTGTTGTGGAACTTTACCAAGGCGGTGGACGTCATTGGCCACGAGATCACGCACGCAGTGACTGAGAAGACTAGCCCCCTGGCCTACCTTGGGCAGAGCGGTGCTCTCAACGAGCACGTCTCTGATGTTTTTGGAATCATGGCCAAGCAACTTTCCGAGGGCGTGACGGCGGAGCAGGCCGATTGGTTGATCGGTGAAGAATGCTTGATGCCTGGGACGAAAGGGGTTGCTCTTCGTAGTATGAAGAATCCGGGTACCGCTTACGATGACCCACGTTTGGTAAGTTGTCAAGAGAGAAAAAAGCAAGCAACATTACAGTTCCCAACAATTAGCGCGCTTGGTTATTTAATAACTCGAACTGACATATACGCAACAGGGCAAAGATCCCCAGCCGGATAACTTCCAGCAATACAAAGAGCTCGATGAGAATACTGATCATGGTGGAGTGCACATATACTCTGGTATTCCCAACCGGGCTTTCTACCTTGTGGCCACAAAGTTTGGTGGCAATTCCTACGAGAAAGCCGGGCAGATTTGGTGGAACACGATGAGATCAGGTCGCATTCCGCCGCTGTGTAAATTCCTGCAGTTTGCGGATGTCACTGTTGAGGTAGCTGAGGAACTTTTCGGATCAGCTGACAGTCAGATCGTTCGTGACGCATGGAACAAGGTTGGCGTTGTCAGGCAGATCTGATGGGTTTGCACAAGCATCTGATAGAGGTCTGCTAGCAGACAATCAACGCCTAGATGTAACCATGCTTTGAGACCAAGTCTTTACTTGGTGAATTGACCACAATCTTTTATATATACCTATACACACAGAACCTTGGCAAAGCATGTCATGTTCCAGGCATGTGCTGTGGCGGGGCCCTGATCAGTGAACCTATTAGCCTGTTGAGGTGCCAAATCAAAACGGCCATTATCAGTCGTGTTTTCAGGGTTTCACTCAGTTTCGCATGCCTTCTACAACTCTTTTCATATACGTCACGGCTGGTATTCAATACATCCAGACTTGCACTCAAATGCGACCGCACTTAATGCTGCCCTGAAGTGATCACCTGGAGTTTTTGGTCGTGGTGTTCCGACCATGCACGAGCTCCCCAGCTCACAGGTACTGGTAGCACTAGGCATGAGCTGCGGCTGGCGAAAACGAGGGCTGAATTGCCAAAGTTTTAGACTTTTCACTGGCGGTTCAGCTCAATGGCCTGTCCCTAATTTTCCCGTGCTGCAATGGAAATTCATTCAATGAGTCACCTTGGCCGGATTGCTCCGTGTGCAACGTAGACGTCTTTAAGATAGCAAGGTATTTGAATATTATAGGGCATGGTCCCCTTGGACTGAAATAGACATTTTGCTGTTCTATATCCTTCTTTTGATCCATTATTTTACAAATCTGATAGACGTCTACGAAGCGAAGTCTCTCACACATTGTTCCCAACGATCATGGGCATCAACTTTTATCTAAGCTATCAATGGCTGCACTGGACGAGGCCAAGTGGTCCTCCATCCTCGTTGCCCAACGGCATAGAGAGAACGTTTATCAAGACGGCGGGCGGAGACATTGAGCTTCTCTCCGCCAAGCCGTCAGAGCCCATCTCAAAGACACCCATTGTATTTGCGCACGGTGGTATGGGCAGTGCCTGGGTCTGGATACCTTATATGAAGTACCTCCAGGAACGAGGAATCACCTCGTATGCCGTGTCGACGAGGGGCCACGGGGAGAGTTGGCACCCTTCCTTCTTCCGCATGATGTATGCAACTACGAAGCGCATGCTCGGAGACGACTTGGTGGCGGGAATCAAGGCCGTGGAGAGGATGGAAGGGAGCGAGGTGGTCCTCGTTGGGCACTCCAGCGGGGGCGGCCTCAGCCAATTTATCGTCAACGAGGGCGATGTCAAGGTCAAGGGCCTTGGGTTGCTTGGAGCAGTTCCCGGTACAGGCTCGTGCGTATCACACGCGTCTTGATTGGCACATGGCTTCTGTTCACTGACAGATGATTAGGTATCATGTCTATTACAACTGGTGGCGTTTCGATCCCTGGTAAGTGAGCCATCCTGTCCAAAATGGCGCTTCTCCTTGTGGGCATTTCTCCATACGTCCTTCCCAATTTCTTTAGCTTGATTGTTCGCCGAGATATTGGTACAATACGCTAAGAGGCAAAATAGGTTCAGTCTCCGGATGATATTCCACGGCTGGCATTCGAATTCACCCCTTTCCCATCCGTTCCTAACTAGACAGGCCTTCTTCAGTCCAGAGTACCCTGATACAAAGCTCCTTGAGTTCCAGCGACATCTCAACCGCTACGAAAGCTTCCTTTGGCCCTTGGGGATGCTTTTGCCCTTTATTGACGCCAAGAAGCTCGTGAGCAACATCGCTGGGTGGGGAAAGGGCGACAGGATTTTGATCATGGCAGGTACCGGCGACAAGATGATGACAAAAGAGGTACAGCAGAAGTCTGCAGCAACCTATCGCGAGGCCGTAGAAGAGATGGCTGTAGAGAAGCGAATCGATGCTTCCCTCGAAAAGGTTCAGTTGTTGGGTGGCGACGGAGAAAGGGATAATTCTGGAAAAGGCGTTCGACTGGCTTTTGTCCCTGGTGCTGGACATCACGTTCAAAATGACGTGCAATGGAAGATTGGTGCTCAGAAACTGCTTGAATTTCTGCGTCAGCTCTAGGCTTCGGATGGATCAAATTGAGAAAAGAGCAATTGTGGTTGGTACCTAAATCTAACTGGGAGGCTCAAATCATAGTTGGTGGTCGTCGGATATCTCTCCTCAATATCACAAACGCACATAGTCTCATCGTTATGCATATTCTATACAAGAAACCTAAATGTCGGAGAAAGCCAACGTGGCGCCGCACGCTCCAATTTGTTCACAACAGATGGTAAATATCATCGCTACTCGAGGGATCAAAACGTACAAGAGTGTCAGAACTTGCTCTGTCTCGATATTTCAAGGCGCATCACCGTTCCCATATCAGCTCTGCAGGAGCGGAGCCAAGGGGATGATGAACTTGGTGTGGACGGCGGCGACGAATGGGCTTGGGATCACCTCTACTAATATGAGTGGTTGGGGGAAACGAGAGGGTCCAAAGGATGATTAAGAAGGGAATCAGACAAAAGAGTTTACCGCATCCAGAATCAACTGGTCTTTTCTGGTCTGTTAATGTGCCGCAAAGTAGCTGAGTAGTGTGGCAACCTTCAGGTGACATCCTGTCTTGATGGCAGACCACTGTCCTAGCGATGGTCTTTTGGGTGATTCTTTCAGATCTAGGCCGGGTCGCACGGTGGTGTCGTCGTCGTTCAAAAAAGCGACACGTGGAGAATCGAGCTCGACATTATTTTCGTATTCATTCATGATGACATAATGAATTGGACTCGCCATAAAGATTGTGCTCTTCCGCGATGTATACGTCCGGCAGGAGCTCTAGGGATTTGTAAAGCTCAGTGTATATAGCGACAGCACAAGCTCGTCCGACTTGACAACGCAAATCAGGGTACGTTTTTACCAGCCTCGCATATGACTCCTCTGTCGCTATATCGAGGTACCAGATGCAGTATGGATCATGCTTCGGGGGATCTTGCCACCCATGACGAGACGAGCGTTTCATGTTTACGCAAACGATAAAAACTCATTAGCCGTGAGCTTTCAAGATTCTTCCAAAACTTTGGACTCTGCGAACTTTAGATGCCTACGTATGCCAGCCAGAACACATCGCTATATGCCGTCCTTGGCCAGCGTGCGATGCGAAGGGAGGCGCTCGCCTCGCAGGGCGAAACTATCTTGTTCGGACTTGGTGTATAGCGCTTCCTTATCAGAGCTACTCGAGCTATCGCTATTATCGTTAGACGAATTAATCAGGTATAACCCGTTTGCTCCAATCTTTAGACATCGCATTAAATAAGAGCCACTCAATGTAGTGCAGGAATTGTGGCGAAGCAAAACAAAGCGATGACTACCTAGGTAAGGAGAAGGCTGTCATCGCGACCTCGGCCTACGACTGGCTATTGAGTTGGATAGCGGAGGCACAAAACTTGGCCCCCGAAGATTTGGAAGTTACCTTTAATCCAAGTTATAATGGATTCTGCACTCTGCATAGCTGTACATATTTTGAGTTATCCTGACCCAGTCAGTCACCAAGTACTTAGGTAGTATATACTCGTCAATCAGTACCTCACCACGATTTCCCAGAGGTGCATCTGCTTGGTTCACTAAATTTCTTTATTTGTGTTGGCATCAAGAGACTCGCGCGAATATCTTCATAGCAGCAATTCCAGAAACGACAATAGGAATAAGCGCGTGGTTGGTTTCGCGACCTGTTAGGTGCTAGGCACCCACGCTAGGTACTACATAGTACCTAACTTCCCCCACGGCTGCTACAAGCTTTCCGCCTAATTCCTACATCAACTTTTGCTACCTACGTTTTGCCATATCCAGATTGAGAGGATCACTAACGCCTTATCACCATCAGTCTCGTGGCCTGTAGCTAGTTACATAATCGGTTCCATCCAAATCTTCGTTACCCGTTATTTCCGTGAAGTAACCGCTACTTTCCACCCAGGCGCTGGCCCTACACGAACCGAGCCGCATTTGGCAAATGTGGATTCACGTGGTGATATATCATATTTCCATCCATTGTTGGCCTTTCCTGCGTTTCAGCTCGAGGAAATCAGTGCAATTATGGATACTCAACAGAAGTCGCTTACTGTCTCTTGCATAGACTCACTATCCCATGTCTGAAGGCGCCCGTCCAATGGTTCATCTGCAATACTCAAAGGCCCTTTGACCTTTAGACTCATTGTTGCATCCGAATAGTACCAGAGAAATAATAATAGTATATATACATTTACGTTCCAGTTTCGGTGCAAATAATTCGTATGACGGCGGCACTAAAAGCTGTTCGATGGTAGAGTTATCAACAATCGGGGAAATTTAGAAGCTTCTCTTCTACGGCTACCCAGTGCAACGATGCAGCTTTCAAAGCGATGCACATACATGGGCGGCGGTATCACCCATCCCGCGCTTACCCATGCCACGCCCCCACTACAGAGCTTATCAACAAGTTGCCCTTTGTTTTTTATTTACTCGACATATAAGAAAAATGATCACTCACACGGACTGCCTGCAAGGCGCAGGCGATATGTAACATCAATGGCCCATTAGTCGGTGGTCCTATTACGGTTCCATCTGCAGGTCTATTACTTGTGGCGTCCCCTGCCCTTCAGCTAGGTGCCCAACAGAGGGGTTGCACGCTGCAGTGTGACCAATATATCGGAGTATTGTCTCAGAGCCGATAGAGTATCAGCATTCAAATAGGCGAGAACTACAGAAGTTCATTTCAGCTGCATTGGGCTTGCTGCATTCATTGACTGTATGAGCATGCAGCCGGATTCCTCCAATCGGCGACCATCTTTTCAGCTCGCAATGAAGCGATCCACCCATGCCAACATTCGGTGGAAGAACCCTGCCTCTGTGGAATGGTAGAACTCGTCCTGATCGATGATCAATCTTTTGATTGTTGTATGAGGCAGCGATATATCTCGTGGATATCATGTTGCAATTCTGCAATGTTCTATATCATATAAAATATCGAATATCTACCTAGCACAAGTCAAGCGATGGGTATAATTTGTACTGTTTCTCACGCCCCAATTCTGCGCGCAAGTACTCTTCAACATCTCACCCATCGCAGATAATCTTTCATTGGTCTTGGACATAAGCAAAGAGAGCCATACAGCGCCCGGACGCAGACGTTGAGATCATCGATATGGCTGAACAAAGTTCTACAGCGGCCGGCCTCTCCAGCCCGGCGGCCGATTCCGCAATTCTTACGGAGACTCTGACGACATCAGACGATAAACATCCTCCTCACGATGACGAAGGAATGAGTGACAGTCTCCGGGCGATCGCTTCAACTTCACAAGAGCCGCAAAGTTCTGCGAGGAACATGTCCTTATCTACAAAAATCAAATACCCAGCCGCTGGAGTTTCCTCCGACCCGAACCAAGGCCTTGTTCCCAACCCGCCTGAAGAGACAGCAAGCCAAATTACATCAAGATCGGCTTCAATTGCGTCTTTAGGCAACAGCTTGATCGCCGCGATTCTGTCAGAAGATGAAGAAAATGTAAAAGGATGTCTCCATAAGGGTGCCAACGTCAATATGGACGTTGGCTTTGGATTCGGGACGACACTCCATCTAGCCTGCCGCTTTGCAACCTATGAAGTCGTCAAAATCCTTCTAGATGCAAAAGCCAGCATAAAATCACGCGATGCAAGGGAAAATACGGCGCTGATGCTAGCATGCAGAAGCAAAGAGACAGGCACTGAGGGCCTCGTTCAGCGCTTCCTTGATCACGACAAGCATTCATTTGATCGCGAAAAGGACTCAACTGATCACCACAAGGATCCAGCTGATCACGACGGGGACTTAGCTGTAAACTTTGCCAACAATCACAAGTCAACGGCCCTCACTATTGCATGTCAATGGTCCTCTTCCGTCGTTGTTGAGAAGCTTCTGGCAGGCGGTGCAGACATCGATGTTGCAGACAGTGATGGAGACACACCGCTTATTTTGGCGGCAAGATATGGTGACAAGGAAATGATGAGCCACATCATCTCTTATCACTATAAGAAACACCCAAAGGACCCGTCCAGGTTTTATGAGGCAAATGGTTCTGGCGAGAATGCATTTTACAGTGCGATGTTGAACAAAGATGCTAAGAGAAGAGCTAGCATCTTGAGGCTATTATCCGACAAGATACCATCAAATTCCGATGAACTTGGAGATGACTGGAAGCAGACGCTTCTGTACGCCGCCAGCGAAATGGGAGATGAATATGCAGTACACCTTCTTGTGGACAAAGAACATGCGAGCATCGTTGCTCAGGACTATAGAGGTTACACGGCACTACATCTCGCCTGCCTGAATGGCCATGCAGGAATTGCGAAGAAATTCTTGAAACTACGAAAGGGGATGGAAGTTGCGCAGGATCCACTGGACAGGAGTCCTTGGTATATGTTTGTGCAGTTCTACATTCGGTCCTGGGACCCATCTCAAGCGTCAAATTCAGACGAGATCAAAAAGTTCGCATCCATAATCTCGGACTATGTACGCCTCGAGGAAATGATATATGCCATGGTGCTGGTAAGCAGACTTGAGATGCTACATCAACTTGTGGAATTGATGAGTCCTGATGCACTTGATCACAAACTATATGAGCTGATGTGGAGCCAACAAGGCCGGTCCGAACATCAGTCACGGATAAACCAAGAGCTCAAAGATCAATATCTCAAAGATCAATATCTCAAAGATCAATATCTCAAAGACAATCTATATTGGCTAAAGCCTGAGACACCATTGCAGTGGTGCACATACTTTGGAAAAACAAGTCTGGTCTGGTCGCTCCTGAGAAACCCGATATCGAGCAACCCGTTGGATGATATGGAAAAGGCAAGGCGAATATACGATTATATCTCGGTCCCAGAACAAACACGCCCAGACTGGCTAGATGAGATCTGGTGGAATCGAATGCATAATGATGGCTCAGTGATGTTGTATCCACCAGAGTCGTATCCACGACGACCTAAAATATTACAACAAACGACTTCCGGCCGCGACGAACGTTCCCTAGAACTTGAAAAGATTCTTGAATACGAGCAAATAAGAGAAATGCTGTATGACCCTCCCAGTGTGGCGAACATTCCAGACACTACATATCGAATACCGTCGTTGGAGAAAGCCCATGACGAGCAGGAGGCAAGGGAATCGACAGCGATCATTTTGGATTTCTACGAGTATGACAAGGGGATGGAGCTGCTTAGGCGCTCCCGTGCTGTTCACGACGTCATCTACGCAAGTGCCAACGAGGCGGCAGGTGGACCAGAGAAGATCATGAATAGAGCCAGAAAGGCAGCAAGTGAGATGGAATATAGGCTAGATAAACTTTTGATGAGATGGATCCATCTTCCCGCGAACAAGGTATGGAACGTTTGAGAACTCGACTGTCTTCAGAGCTGACCAATGCCTATTTTAGATGATGTGGATGGAGGTAATATGATGTACTATCTGTTGGGTATCTACAGCTTGCACTGCTGACAACCAATATCAGGACCTCGCAATGAGAGTTTACAAGGACAAGAGCAGATCTCAGCAAGATTGGTTTTCACTAAAGAACTTCCTCTGGAGCAGCTGGCACCAACCGATGATGGGCACTTCAGGGACAACACGCGTGAACGCTATGTGCCTGGTCAGTAAACTGTTAAGAAGCGTCCATACTTTGCCTCTGACATCTCCACAGAAAGCAGGTGTACCAGGACGTCTTCGAGCATCAACTGCAACCAAAACCGCAGTAGACTCCAAGGGGACATCAAAGAACAAGTCTGCAAACACCACCCTGAATACTGACAGCGGTAAGGTACAGAATGGTAAATCAAAACCTTGCCCTAGCCTCACTTTATCCCAAAGCATAGATTGATAGTATGTTCCAGGCTCACAGGAGAGAGTGATAATTCGTGTAGGTAGAATCTCCTGTACTAAAAGCTCGACTAACATAATAGTTGCCTTACGTCACACTCGCCTACTGCGAGAGAAAGAGCTTTGGTGAGACTACAGAGCACGAGACGCCAAGTCGCGATAACAATGCACGCGAGACGGGCGGCACAAATGCAGCCACGCGACACAGCAATGACATTGAGCCAAGATCCGAGGTCAACGACGAGGAAAGGAGAAACCGAAAGTCATCCAACCGCGTCAACCCGCCTGAGCCCAGTATGAGCCAGGCAGCGATGTCTCTAGATGAGTTCTACTACAATTTTGGAGATATAGACAGACGGAACGAGAATCAGGTCATCACCCGATGTTTTCTACACGACAAGCAACAGGAAGGCAAAACGCCTAGGAATAGGCAGATTAGGAATGGCGACGGGGTTCCTGATAACTATAAAAAGTGGCCATACCTTGTTGTTGGCCAGTTATGGCTTTGCATCATCGACGAAGGTACGTATCTTACGTTGTGGCGGCTTATGATGTCGTTTTCTCTTTATTCCTCCACGGCTTCTCTTCAATCATATCGCCCATGCCTCTTGAATTGAAGAATCAAATAAGATGACCAAACCCCAGTCTGATTAATTCTACATAGATACCGTTGTGACCTCTACACATAGTGGAGACGGAGTTCGTGATTATATCCTGGAGACTATGTTTCAACAGATGCGGGAGGCAAAGCTGAACAATCCAGCACCTGCGCAGCCTCTTTCCGTCAAAAATATGAGTCAATTACTCATCGAGTTCTGCGTCGATTTCATTGAAGACTTGACCTGGAACCGTTTATTCAGAGAAAACAACGATTGGCAGGATACGAGTGCAGCATCCAAGTCTGTACTAATGCTATTTGGCGAGAGGCTGAATCAAGTTGTGAGTCTACCCTATCGCAAGAGGATCGTTAAGAACCACTTGTTTTATCGGGGAGACTGGCCTTATAGAGTAGAGCAAAGGATGCTGACTTAAACTTGGCACAGGCTGCGAGCCGAAAGAGTCTTTTTGACGACTTCAAGCAGAGAATGGCGGATGAGCAAAAGATCAATGATAGCAAGGTCGGGAGTCTATTGCCTCAAGCTATTGACAGACTCCGAGGAATCGATAAACGAACGCAGCCGACGAAGCACGAGACCCATGAGAGTGCCCTTCAAAACGACGCCGCGCATTCCAGAGCAATACAAACGACTGCAGAACTACTAGACGAGGTGAAGGACATCCTAGAAGAACTCACAATTCTCAAAGGGCTCGTCAAGCAACAGCAGAATGTCTGGGAACGCTTCGTTGATAAGGACTTGAGAAGCAGCAACTCCCGTGGACCTGGCGCGGTATATGAAAAGGTCACTGAGATGATTGATACATCCCATTCCATCCATCAAGCTGTAAATATGAAATACTGTTCATTTTACAGCTCACATAGTGCTAACGCTTCTTAGGTTAACGATCTAATGAATCTTGAGCTCGCCGAGGAGTCTAGAAAGCAGACTAGGGAAGCTGCCAGCCAGGGAAAGACTCTTATGGCATTCACAATTGTCACAGTCATTTTCGTGAGTAATAAAACAAGAAACTCAGAGTTGGGAAACTATGCTTACAGACTCACTTAGACACCTTTGTCTTTTCTCACATCACTTTTTGCCCTGAATATAGTGGACTTCCAGCACAGCGCCGATGGGCAGCTAGAGTACGAGCCGGGATGGATTTACCCGATCTTATGTGAGTTATTCAAAAGCATCCCGAGAAAACAAAGAAAAGAGAAACTGATTTGAAGCATAGTTTGTGTTGCAGCTGGCGTCATAGGGCCACTGATGCTCTACGCTGCTCATGATGGACTAAGGAGGGTCATTCTCCAAGTTGCGCAAAAGATCGGTACATCATACGAGAACTTGATGTTGAAAATTGCTTTTGCAAGGAAGTCAAAGTCCGATCTCGAAAAGGGACTATGAGTCTGACACTGCCTGATGTCTATATATCGCTCAAGATACAGGATGAACAAACTGATTTGAATGGATGATGATTGGACTGCATTCTGTGCTAGACTAGCTACAATATTAGCACTATGCCTAGTGAGCATGACCTTTGCCGTAGACCTTGCCTGTTGACATTGCATTACTGAGCCACGTATCTTCAAGCAAATGACAGGATTAAACCTTGCAAAACGTATGACGTCGCTAATTCGCGTCGAGGCCGAACCAACTTTATTGTTGTATGCTAGTTGAAGCGCTGGACACAAATTTCAAAACTGCTGTTGGCGTTCGCGAAGGCGACTTCTTCAATCCAACCACTTGAGACTAGGCTGTTTATAAGGATACCATCCGCGGTACGGAGGCGGTCTTTCAGAACCTAAAATATCCCGGCCAGTCTTTCTTTTGCAAAACATGCACGTTGGATATCAAAGCGTTCCATTAAAAACACCAATTGATTTTTTCAAATTAAACACAGGGCGATTCCGACTCCAGTGCAGGTCAAATAATAATACGAAGATATGCCCAAGAGAAAAGCCGCAGTCGAGATACCAGAGCAAGACCTCCGAAAGTGGTGAATCATTTCGAAGAGCCCAGCTCTGTGCGCACAAGTGCCTAGCTCCATATTGAAGCCATATGTCATTATATGTCGGATATGAAAAATAGTACTTAAAGGT